GAGAGAGAGAGAGAAAAGGCGCCGTCGAAGTCACAAATTAATTCCTCTTCACCGAGCGTAGACCGCGAAAAATCTCGTTGAGATCGCTCGCGAGTGTTCCTTCGCGAGAGTAAATTGTTTTTCCGATACGCAATCGCTGGAGGAGCGCTCGACAGCGGTACACACAGATCGACGATCGGAGTGGATAAATCTCAAAATGTGATTGGTTCGTCGTAGGGAAATCAAGTAGGAAGGAGGAATGGAACAACGAATATAAGTTTCGAGAGATTTCAGTCGCGTTAAGAGTTAGTGTATAGTCCAGGTTTTTGTCGACACACACACAGCAGCAATCTCTAGGTCTTAGCGCTCAAGGATCGCGAGATTCCCGAGGTTTCCAGCTGAAACCACCTGATCGCGAAACCAAACGACAAACAGTATACCGACCGATATTAGTCCGATAGGATAGTTGATAGACGACAACGATAGTTATTCCGATAGAGGCGATTCTCAGTGCGACCGATCCCTTCTTTTTCCTCGGCCAGGTCAAAATTTGTCACGCGATCGCTCGGGTTTGAGTCGCGAACAAAGAAGAACTCACGAACCGTTCCGTTCCTCCGACTTCTTCGTGCGTTTAATTAACGACTACTTCGATCCTACTTAAACTACTTAATAAACGAGAGAAGAAAACCGCTCTACGAACGAAAACGGTGTAATAATTCGTAAAAAAAGAAAAGAAAAAAAAATGAGAGAAGAATGAACGAAATAAAGCGAAAGAATCTCGTTAGGTCCCAAATAGCGCCGAAAATTTTAAGGATCAACGCGACAGACCTTACGTTTTCTCCATGTACATAAAAGAAAAAAAAAAAAAGAAAAAGAAGAAAACTCCTTAGGGACATCTCGACCTACATTTTAACGTTATTGTTTCTACGATAGTTTTAAAAATCGTAAAACCGCACCGAGGGAATACGACAAAAGGGAAGTTAACAATACGCGCGGATTTCCCCGCTTCTCCTCGACGACGGAGAGGTTCGGTTCTGCCAAAGTTCCTAGGTAAGATCCTTTGAGTCGTAGTCGAGACCCGCGGGATATAGAGTCCGAGGATCGATAAATGTTTTAGATGTTACATAGATCCCAGCGTTACTCGGATCCTCGTATCTTTGGACTCTCAAAGTTGTCGCGCGGCCCACCGCATTCACCGATTCGGATCGCTAGGTAACGCGAATTCTTGGATCTATGAATTCTCACATCCTCGGAAATATAGATTGTTGAACTCTTAGATATTTGCGCCACCTAGGATTTATAGATCCCCGATTTCTTAGATCCAAGAATCCCTCGACTCGCTTAGATCTCGCTTGTTTTAACGAAACTATAATAATTAACTCCCTCAGCCAGGGATGATTTCCTTTCCTGTTGGCGTCGATCCGTCGATGGAGGTACCCTCAAATACAACACGATCGACAGGTTAAAAGTACTCGCTCGACCCACGCGAACGAGTGAACAAGTTTTCAGGGCCAGAGGACGACCAATCGTTTTGTAGATCAGTCGGCAGAATTTTACTTTCGTATTTCGACAATTTCATCTTTCATACGTATGTACTTTTCTCTCTGCCGCGTTTATCGGATTATCGCTGTGCGCGGTAATCTCACGTTAAAGAACATTTGTTCGTTCAAACAAGCCAATCGTTGTTAACGACGTCTCGAGGGAACGCGCTGGGAAATCCACGAAAACCGACTTGGCTTTTCAGAGACAACGACACAACGCATTATAAAGTAATAATGATAACTTAATGTTAATCGATTATTATTACAATGACTCACATCGCGACAGGTGATGACGATGATAATTATCATTCTGTACTAGGCTGTCCTGACGGACTATCGCCTTTTCCCTTGAATACGATTTGCGAAAGGTCAAATAAAAGAACAATGATGAACGTTCGAGTGTCACGACGACTCTCGGACTCTGGTGAGCGATTTAAGTCAACAACCGACGACAACAAAACGCATCGTTCTTGATATACTGTTATCTCTTCTTCATTTATTTTATTTCTCGCACCGAAATCCAGCCGGCGATTCCGAATGTGTATCTCGATTATGAAGATTATTTGCACGATATTTTACATTTCAAACTCGCGCGACGCTCATCCGTGCGACCGTCATTGTTGTTCCGGCGCTCGAACCGGCGAGTCATTGTTCTTTTCCTTCCGCAATGTCGACGAGGGAAAGCGCGGGGGGTACCCCGCGAGTACACCCGTAGCTAGAATTGTACAAGAAGTTAGGGCGTTAAGCAAGATATATCATTAAGAATGAGTTAACAAACAAACCGTGTGGTTAAATAAATAGACTTTAGCTTTATACATACGACAAAGAGAGAAAAAAAGAGTGCTGGAAAATATTCATGAGAATCCGAGAAAAAAAACGAACAGAGAGAAAGAGAGAGAGAGAGAGAGAGAGAATGTATGTGTGTGAGAGAGAGAGAGAGAGAGAGTGAGAGAGAGAGAGAGAGAGAGAGAGAGAGAGAAAGAGAGAGAGAGAGGTGACGGGAGAGAGAGAGAGAGAGAGAGAGAGAGAGTGAAAGAGATAGCTTTGCCGATAGCCTGAGAATCGCAATAGAAAGAGCGTTAAAAAGAGGACTCCGCATTTTCGACAGTCTGTTATCCGATAGGAGCGATTCAAACCAGCATGTCCGAGCGAACTTGTGCGATGTTTGTGGGAACGAGTTTTATTCGTCGCTGTCACCGGATTTTCGTATCGTCGCGAAGCGTTACACCTATCCTTAAATTCGCCTGCGTTTACTATACTGAATGTATGTTACAATTAATATATAATATATATATATATATATGTTATAGCCTTCTGAATTGATATTAAAATGCGTGAAATTACACCAAACGGAAGTTTCGTAACGAAACTGTAAAAAAAGGGAAAAAAGGGAAAAGAAAAAGAAAAAAGAGAAGAAAGATGTCTCTCGAGAAAAAGTACTCTGTAGATCGTAGGGGGATGAAAACACACCACCGATATCCGATGTAGGTTAACGATCAACGTGGGAAAATTTCTCGATGGTTTAGATAGAGTTCTTGTGTCCTATTTGGTGTCGACGTTCGTCATATTTGTTCTTGACGACACAGCGTGCGTTCGATATTGTTGCGGACCAGACTCTTCGTGATTTCGTTAAAACCGAGAAGCAATACTGTTGATGCCTATAATTACTATTATCGAGCGGAAGCTTAAATAAATGACGATTAAACCAATCCCGGAACCCTAATGCGAAGTCATTGACCTCAACACTACACTAGTTTCGTAATTACAAAGAGATTCGATGAAGTTTCGCTAAAGTTTAAGAGAGAAATGCGTTATCATTCACTCCCTGCGATTACTGGGATTTATTTATGAAAAAAATACTCCAACTAGTAATGTGAGTCGAAACGCGACGGGGTGTCTCGGATTAAACTCGTTACCGTGGAGAGTCATCCTCCAATTAGGGTTCTGGGGTCGACGGTGAGAAATCTGAGAAAAATACTTTCGCGACAGCTTTTCGCAGATAATACGAAACTACGTCTCCGCAGCAGAGGCAAGAGTTTCGGCAGACGTCGTGATCCGATGATTCGTCGGAGGAAATAATTACGAGCGTGGGGGAGTTAAGTTTGAGTCGGAGCGTAACTTAAAGAGCTCGGCCCGAGCTTACTTTCACCTCATTGGCAGGTATCTGCGAGGAGGTGTCCTTAAATTAGAGAGCGATTTAGAGTAAAACACATTCGGGGAATTTAGCAGCACGAGTGAGCAGGAGTGAGAAGAAACGCGTACGAGAAGAATCGCACGAAGCTTGCTCGGAAAATGGATGGGGAAGGTCGCGAGTTCATTACTATCGATCTTGAGTCTTCGAAAACTGCGCGTGAATTCTTTCGTTCTCAGGTTCCCTAAGATCGTCGGATCCTTGGATCTCCGGATCGCACAGAATCCGCATTTTCAAGAATTCCTAAAAAGTTCGGGAATATACAGGGCCAGCGATGAAGTAATAAGATTAATTTTTTAAAAAAATGCGTGTATACACACGCGTAGGACATCCCACTTCTAACGCATTACTTTGCAACAGCAAATTCTCTGGACGGCTTGAAGATGACTTTAGCGAAAAAGTTGAGAAAGGTAATTGTTTCTTTTTCGTAACATTTTCATTTTTTCTAACATTGCGTCTCTTCGCAAATGAGTCTCGAATCAAAATTTCATTAAAGCAAAGTCTGCTTGGGATCAACTGAATAACGCAGCCTTGATATCCACTTAATTACCTGGCATTTACTTTGCCAAAAGCCCTTCCATTTCAGTCACGCTTATAATCTGAAAATTATTGGAGTGTCAACATCTTGGCGAAAGAAAATTCGACTCTGAATGGATCAAAGAATTTGACATTAAAGAGCAATGCGGTAGAATGGAGCACCTTGTATATATATATATATATATATATAAAAGAGACGCTCTCCGAAACTTCATCACGAACAACGGGAGGATCATTGCCGATATGTGCAATCTCAAGGGAACTACTTTGAAAGTAATCGCACTATGCTCTTTTAATCGACGAGAAAAAAAATATATCCTTTCTTCCAAAAAGATCTCACATCGCTCTAGAATCTTATTACTTTCTCGCCGTACCTCGTACAATTCCTCAGTGCATTTAGCTAGCTCTTCGAGCTGACCTTCGATTTTCCACTTTAAGGTCTCGTGTCCACCGAATGTCCAATATTAAATATCTATTCTCTTAAATCAAGAGACCGTGGGCACATATTCAATTCGTATGTATTCTCTTTGCTCTTTGAAAATCCGGGATTTACGCGTCCTCGAGTCTCGAAGGACCACTTTGCGGCGGATGGAGGAAACGCTAGAGAAAGAAACAGTGGAAGCTCGCGTGAACAAAGAAAGCGTAAACGGGACAAATAGCGGAGGAATAAAACTCTTGTATAAAGTAGCGTGCGTAGAGCAATTAACCTAATCGATAAAGGAACACGGACGAGTTTATTGTTGAGTATAATAATAATGTATTATGTAACATTAAAACAAAGAATAAAAAAAAAAAGAGAAGGACAAGGTGGAGGAGCAGGAGGCGGTAAAGTTGAAGCGGGCGATGATGATGATAATATTATATTGTTGTTAGATATATATATAAATATATATATATATATTATATATATATTATATATAAAAATAACCTAGGTATTAAGCGACCACCTAATCACCGACACAAGTATACACTCTCGCAGGATATACAGGGTGTCTCGAAGAAAAATGTATTCCAGTAGGAGACGCTTACTGCTCGAGTAATTTGCGTTCGTTTCTTTTCTAGCGACGACTTAATCTGAGGTATTTGTTGAAGATTAATAAAAAGCGAAAACAATCCGAACGTGTTTCATTCTCTCTTGTTTCATTCTCACTTCCTCAGGCGGAGTCTGATGGAATCGCCGAGAAGTCATCGCCGAGATGCGTACACGCACCCCAGGAGAAGATTCGCGATCTCGTAAATTTAAGAATTCACTCATTGGCTGCGAGTCGGAGGATCGCGCCGAAACGCGCATCGATTCGCGTCGAAAAGGATTTCTGCTGTGCACGCGTATTTCAAGTTCGTCGACGAGCTCGGCCTCTGTGTTTACGCAACGAAATTCCAATTTCGAAAGTCGTTCCCCGTTCCGAGCGGCGCTAAGCAATTTTTTTTACTGCATGACACGATTTTACTCGAGCACACATCTCAGTGCGTGGAAAGTCGCATCTGAGTACGTGTGAAAAGCTCGCTCGCATTGTCCTGCCGATTTTCGCGCGAATAGACGCTCGAATCCGATTATTCGAGCCGAGTTGAGGGAAAAATCGCACACGCGCTCTTCCGGTTACCTCGATGTTGACGATACGTGACGATAACATGTGAGACTTATACTGAGGTTTAAAAGTAAAGAAAAAAAAAAAACAAAAGAAAAACGAACGAAACAAACGGAGGAAACATTTCCGCCAAGATGAAGCACCACCGACAACAATGCATCCACTTGCTCCTGCAGGTGATCCTGCTTACCGCGAATTGCCTCGCAGAAAATCTGACCCTTCATATAAACTTCAAGAGGCCAATATTCGTGACTAGCGGCGCATTCCTCAGTCTCACCCTGGATCCGGCGACGTTACTAAACACCACCGGTGTTCTCATGTAGGTATCAAAAATGGCAGAGAAATGACGAAATAGGAGTTCTATTAAAATTCAAGGAAGACTAAAATTCACCTCGTCAATTTCTACCGAGATTCATTATCGAGATCAGATCAAGAATTAGAATTCGGATCAAATTATAGAATTCAGCGAGCCCTTCGCTACTTGCCCTTCCAACCGTCAGGTTTGATTTCTACGTGAACATAGAAAGTTTAGGATGAATCCACCGGACGACAATGTCGCGCCCGATATCGTACGTGCATTATTACAATCCCAGTATTGATTTCTTAGAGAGAACTTTGACAAATACACGAACATGGTGCGAGGCTTGGTACCAGCCTATGTTCGTCTCGGAGGGCCAGGAAGTAACTCTTACATCTACGACCGAGTCAACGTTCACCCAAACGACGTGCTTTTCGGTAAGAGATCATTTCCTCGTCTAATCGAAATCTAATCGACTTTCAAACGATCGATCGAGACTGGATTCATTTAATCCAACAAATCGGTAGGATAATAATTCTCCGACGTATACGGGCGGTTCTTACGCGACATTTTCTTATTCAATTCTTATTCAACGTGATATTCAATACTTATGGAACACATCGATTGCCGTTTCGTTGCGCTCATATTAAAAGCTTAATTGACGATAAAATTATCAGAGATACGGCATATAAATGTAATTCAAGTCGCATATATATATTGGCAAATAAACGCAATTCAAGTCGCATATACATGTCTCTTACTTCGCGTCTCGTTGGCTCTCTGTCGAGCATTTCCGACCGAGTGTGCAAATGCAATTAATTACGCACTTTGTACGTAAGTTAATGAGACACATTGGCGCGTGCGCGCTCAAACGTCAAGCGTTCCGGCGATTTTTGAATCCTCTACAAAGGGATCGATTTCGCGTCACGCGAACGGAAAGTTCCGTCGCGCTGCCGCGAGTTCGCCTCGCGCGGTACCTTTTGGCGAAGCTCAATTCAACATCGGCTGACCGGCTACCGGCTATCGGCTGGCGGCGCCGCTAATTAAAATACCACGCCGGCGAATTTTCGCAGCTTTCGCAACTCGACCGGCGCTATTATCTCGGCGGAACTTGTCGACGTTGCATTATGACACCCGCCGCGCCAATGGAACGCTCTCGCTATCAAGGCTAATGGACGCGCCATATAACCGCCGGCCGCAACAAAATGAATTAACGACGTTAACGTTACGTCATCGCGCGCCATCGTCATGCATTGACATCGTCCTTGCTATCCTTTCAGAGAGCGCGGCCTCTCGTCGCACGACCAGGAAATTCGGAAATTGCCGTATCCATTAGAGACGCGCCGTTAACAGTCAAACTAGAGCGTTTCCAGACTTCTCCGTCTGCCACGCGAGAAATCCAATCCCGTCGGAACGGCCACTCGCCTCGGGAGCGCTGGTGCGCTCCCTTTTTCAATGAGTTAGCTGCCATCATCGTCGACCGGTTGACTGTGATCTCGCCGCGTCTCATTACGGTTACGGCCGGAACGTGGCTAATTGCACTTAGGAATCAAATATGCGGCCAACCGAGAGCCGATGAAATTAGCTAACAAATATCGTATACTAAATATACATGCGCAGCGAATACGCGTGTCCGTCGAAACTTTGCTTATTCAAGCCCCAGTTAAGCTTCGGGACAATACATGGAGATCAGCATAGTAATCAATGTCAATATTTAACGGTAGGGTAAGTCCGGGATAGATTGGCGTAGGGGATAAATGGTCAATTGCTATAATTTTGTTAATATATCGGCGCTAGGCGCCGATCGGTCAGTTGTGAATTGGATGTACCACGAGTAAATGTGTTTCATCCTGCGTGCACAGAAACACTGTTATTGTGAGCGAATAAATGTTTTGTGTTTCCAGCAACTTCCAAAATGTTCCACACGTCGGAAAAATACCTGCGGAAAAATATGCGAATACTATTCTATTCTATTTTGAGTTGCAACATTAGACCTGGGCTCAAACGACCAAACATCGTATTTAACCTAATTCATTCATTATCGAGATGACGTATGCCCAATTATCGTCCTTGACCGTCTAACCCGGACACCTGACCACTATCCGTCACGTAATATTTTTAATATCTCGTTATTACTGGCGTCCCATGAATTTTTTTTCACAGAAACTCTTCTGCACCTCAAACACATTGTCCTCTGCTGAATGTGTTAATATGCGTCGTTGACCATTGATCGCATTACAGCACAGATGTGTTGCAATAAAATTATTTGCAATTAAAAAAAACTATGTCCATCTATCCCGGACCCTTCACTATTACCCTAACCCTTCACCGCGTGCGATGGTGGACGCGCGTACGACAACAGAACGTTACGGAACGTCCTTTGTCCCCTTCCCAGCCTGCGGAGGATCTCCTCTCTGACTTCGCACTCGCGATTTTTCCAGAGACCCATTCGACACTGATACATCGATGGGCGGAGGACGCCGGGTTGGACGTGATCGCGTGCATTTCCCCGCACTACATCGCGAGCAAGTCGGCGACGCACTCGTGGGAGTCGACGAGCCTGGCGCAATTGCTCTCCTTCAACGATCGGATGGGTCACAACGCCAGCTGGCAATTGGGTTACGGTAAGGTTGCGTCTCGAGGCGCGCCTCGAGGCGAGAGAATAACGAGGGAAATTAGACTGCGACGTGTCGCGAGAGAGATCCGTGCGAAGTCCTGCATTTGTTCGCAGAGTGCCAGACGAGATGCGATCTATCGGCCGATGATCTGGGACGATACGTCGCGAAGCTGCGCGAAACGCTGAAAAGCTACCCGAGGTACTCCGATAGCCTGATCACTGGCCCGGACATTGTGGCATACAGGACGGCGCAACAACGGGAATACCTTCGGGATTACCTGAGCTCGGCGGCCGATACTCTCTCGGCGATCACGTGGCACCCGTGAGTATTTCACTTTCATTCACACGTCCAGTACAGTTTAATTCATTTGTCATTAATTTACTAATCATTTGCTATTACGTCGATACTTTTGTTATCGTCTAATCTTATAGAGTTCGCGCAAGTAAATACAGATCGCACGCGAGGACTCTCGTGTCGACTATTCGTCAGACTCGTGGCGCACAGAGCGCAGGAAACGTAAGCAATAAACAAATGGACCAAACAAAGTCGATCGTTCTTCTCACGGTCCGAGGATAATCGGCTGTGAATGAACAATCGCGCGACTTGTTAAATTTGCTTGCTGCTCGCGTTGTTGCCTACGCCTGCGTTACTTTATGATGCGTATGATACTTGAGTTACTCGAATGTGCGCTCAGATATGAATTTGTCAGTGGAATCGCGATCACAAATATAAACGTTTCACCAAGCTCCGGCAAAGCTCCACAGGGCTGCGAAGTGTCGCGTTTTCATCTTGATGACTGTCAAAACTTTTCGACGACCGTTCCAGCGACTTCGCCGAGGTCACTGTACACGGTGACGGCATTTCCGTGCATCCGGACAATATCGCCGCCGAAAAGGACGAGTTGTACAAAGTCATCGGTCATGTCGCGGCGAACAAGCCGCTGTGGATCGGTAAGGGAGCCAACTCAAACTTACACGAGTGCTAATCTCGGAGACATCGCTTATGTCCCTCGATTCATAATTCATTCGATGCCCACTGTACTGTAATAGCGGAATCAAAGCCGGAAGAGTGCAAGCATAAATATGTGGGAGCACTTACGTGGACGAGAAGACTCGGGAACGTCGCGAAGCTCGGTGTGCAAGTTGTGATGAGACAGTTCTTGCAGTTTAGCAGTGTGACTCCTGTAAGATAAATTATAACTCGGTAAATTAAATCTCAGAGAAAAGTAGTCTAGGAACTTAAAGGTCAATTTCCAATTTAAGTTACAAGTTTATTCTGGGCAAAGGTCGGAAGAGCTGAATTTTCTAAATGATATGAGAACAACATAAGCGTTTCTAATAATATCGTTGCTTTGATCAGGATTACTGGGTGTCCTTATTGCATAAGACTCTGGTGGGACGCGAAGTTTTGAAGATGGAAGTTCAATCCGACAACGAGAGTTACGTGCACTTCTACAGCCAATGCACGAAACCGTCCGCGCTATACGAGAGAGGAGCTCTCACAATTTTCGGGGTGAACTTAACGCCGAGAGAAGTGACCGCCAGTCTGAAGGGCTTCAAGATCAGAACTTTTCACGAGTATATCCTGTCGCCGGGTCCTGCGGCTGGCAATAAAATGTTTGCGGAGTAAGCTGCGTCAATCCTACAAGAGACGTTTCTCTTGCTACTTTTTGAGAAAAGTATTGTTCCTTTTGCAGGAAAGTTCTGTTGAACGGCAATCCGCTCGACTTAACAGACGACATGAAGCTACCCGACTTGAATCCAGAAATAGTCACCGATCCCGACGGTCTCAAATTGCAGCTTGCTTCTGGCAATATAGGTTTTTGGGTTATACCCAATGCAAAGGTAAATGTATAATTTCATCTTACCAATGCTTTATACGGTACAAAATGTTTGCCCCGAAAATTTTACGGTAGCAAATCGTTTTATTAAATGCGCTACTAACGACGATGATATCGATCGAACAAGGTAAAGGCTTGTACACACGAAGAGGAGAGTACGACCGAGGGCATGAAAACGAAGAAATTGTCGAAACGACATGTCGCTCGACGAGTCGACGGAGAGGAAGAAGAAGAAGAAGAAGAAGAAGAAGAAGATACAAGTCCGTCTAATTCGGCAAACCGAAAACTCCACGCGAAGCAAGAAAGAACAAAGCGGAGAAACGACAGAACTACACTACATATCTTGAAAACTAAATTATACAGGAGATTAAAAAGACTTTTGCAAAAGAATATGCTGCAGAAGGAGAATGGTGAAACCTCGAATTTGCAAAAACCATTTACGCGAATCTTGGAAGAGGAACTAATAAATCCACTCAAAGACGTGCAAAATCAGCAGAACATGGACGACGAACATCTTGAAGGAACGGAAAAATCTGACGAGAAGGCGGAAATCAACGACAGCCAAATCGCACCCTTAAAAAAGTACAAACGCATCTTGCTGAAGAGAAAGCCTCGAGCCGAAGCGGAATACTCTCTCGAGCCAGAAGCACAGGACATTGATAAAGCTATGATGCTGATATCAAGGATTAAATCCTTGTTTCAACTTGAGAAAGACGCCACATCCAACGACGTCAAGTACGAAACTATAAATGAAGAGGACACCACAATTGGGACGAGTGGCGAATTTAACGAAAAATTCGGCGAGCCAGCGAAAACGCTGAGACTGAACGCAATCGAAGGATACGTTAACATTCTTCATGATTTATTAGAACTCGATAAATTAACGACAGAGAGTGTCGAGGAGTGTCAAATTTCTGTTCACGAGGACTCGACGAACAAGGGAAGACACGGAAGAGACCTGAGCAAGAGATCGGAGGATCTAAAGAAGGATTTACTTGCAAGACACTCGAGAATGGGCGATCTGAAGGATCAGATTAAACGAAAGATGAGGCGCAGGAATGACGACAGGAAGGAGACTTCGCTGGTCGCACCTGATCTGACGAATTTCGACCATCGCAGGAGTACCTATCACGATCTGTTTCGGCAATATCCTTCCAGGAGATTCGTCCGGAGCAACGGCCATCCTCAGCACGAAAAAGCAACGAGAGACGTGGACAGGATGTCAACCGAGATAGCTCCGAGGAAGAACACTATCCTCAGGAAGCGTCCGCGGATCGACGACACGAAGGATCACGTGAGCGAGAGGAAGTCAAAGCGGAAGGACGTTTCCAAACGAGAAGGATTGTTGAGCCCGCTTAATCCGAGGATCACCGACAGCGGCGAGAACGGCTTCAACAGCTTCCTCCGACGAGATGCTATCAGAGGATTCCCCGAAGGCGATGTTTTTGTCACCACGGGCGACTCGGCCGAGCAAAGTGGCCAAGATTACGACTACGTGCAGGATGACGAGGATGACGAGGATAGCAAGGACCGGCAGGAAAAACAAAATTCGACAGTCGAATACGCCAAGGACGTTTTCTGGAATCGACTGAAAATCGACGATGATCAAAGCGATTACACGCCGAACGAATTCTTCGAGAACGTCCATCTGCCGAGCGCGAAGATCCGCGAGGGCGCGAAGGACTACGACGACCTGTGCGAGGCGGAGTTTGCCTTGGATAAGCGAGAAAATAACAAGGATAACGATTACAACAGCTCGACCGCTGCAAGGATTACAGTACAGCCGCTCAATGAGAAGGAGACAGTCGACAGTCAGGAGACAAAGACAATCGAAAAGAGAAGTTTTCAACAACTGATAAACTACCACGACAATCCTGAAAAGGGAGAATACAATCCGGATACTAATTACGAAGCGCCAGGATCTCACTTGGAACTCTCGGCGCCTCTTCGCCGACTGACTGAAACTCCAACGATAAAATACGACTTCACTAATTATCCAACATCAGACGCGCGCTCTGAAATCGCCAAGCAAAAGCTACAACCAGAATTGGAGTTTTCGAGCTTCTTTTACCAACCTGCTCTAGTTTCCCTTACGAGATACGATTACGGTAATTCTCAAGCATCAAGTGTCAGACCTGACGTTGACCATATGGAGAATCCGATCAACGATGTAGTTCTCTACAGCAGAAGAAGCAAGAGAAACGACTGGAAAAAGTCGCAAGGGCTGTTCGCCGAAGAGATGATCAAGGAAGACGCGGCCAATGCCAGGGATTGCCGTTGCAGAGTTATCCGAGCCCTTAAATCGCCGAAGAAGCTGTCGAATCGTCGCATAAAGCGCGATGAGACGCACGTGACAGAATTCACGACGCAGTCAGAGACTGCGAATGAAGACGCAAACGCGAAGCCAAACCCGCTGCGACTTGCGAGAACCGTGCCGAGCCCTACGACGAAGAACGAATTTGATAGAATCATGACGGGGGAGGTACTTCCGATTACGAGTGTGACCGAGGCTGATCCTGATTACGACAAACGTGAGATCATGACTATAGACTCAAACAAGTCGCATGAAGCGATGCGGACGATGGACGTAGCTTCGACACCAACGACATCTGCTTCAGGAACGAGCGGCGAGCATTCCGCGCGACAAGTCATGGACGAGCAATTGTTTTTTCGTGCCCAATCATCAACCGCGCCGTCGGAAGTCGAGAAAGCGACGTATGATTCTGCTGAGGCTGCTCTTCAAGTTTCTTCGCAAAATACGGAAAGTCGGCAGGAACTTGTTGCATCCGGTACTGAGGAAGCACAGCAAGCATCAACCTCTCTTTGCGAGGAGACGCAAGACCTTCAGAAGAAGATCCAACAAGAATCGATTGATGCGGCCACCGAGGGCGGAAAAGCGAAAAGGAGAAGATCCGACGATAGTGAAGTCAATTCAAAGTCGGACGAAGAAACACCGAAGCAAAAAGTGCGTAAAACGCCCGACTACTCGAGGTCGAGCTCGAGGTCGAACAAATTAAAAAGAAAAAAAGGACCCAAAGAGACCCGACAAAATGAGAACGACCTCGTTCGTTTGAGTAAAAAATGCGCAGTGCGAGCTAACGAAAGAAGCAACCGGAGGAGGATAACGCAGTCCACAGTGCCGCTTCTCTTAAACTCGGAGTTCAAAAATCTCGCTAGGTACGAGGAGTTCTTGACGAGACTCAACGAACGAAGAGAGAAACTGAGAGAGAGACAAGAGAAGCATCGCCAGAACCCAGCGAAGATCAGCGACGAGCAGACGCGGAACCTCAGTAAGAGAGAAGCTTGGGAGAAATTCTGCGAGAACGACGACTTCTGCCAGCTTATCCAGGAGAAGCTATTTCTAATAAGCAACGACGACAGCCACGTAGACAGCCACGACGACGACTACGATGATGATGTTAACGATGATGACGTTAATAATGATGATGACGACGGCAAAGAAGACGGGCATCTTCCCATGAAATTTACTCCCGAGCGATACGACGCTCTTCAAGATCAAACGTATTCGCGCGCGAACATGAAGCACGAGCATTATCCGGAATATAAATTGCATTACTACTTCCTCCGGCATCCGAAAGTCGTCGAGATCGAACAAGAACCCACAACACGACCCACATCTTCGGGTCGCAAGATATTCGCGATCGACCCTTCGACGTATCGCGGCGGCGAGCCGGTTTTGGAGCTGCACGACGAGTATTTGGATTCTCCTCCGAAGCATTCGTCGAGGATCGAATTCCAGACTCAGACTCCAAACTGGACGCTGAAAGACTTCTATCAAACTTCCTCGAGACCGATGAAGGTTTACGGAGACCAGCAGATGTCCAACGACCACGACAATTATCACGGTCGGGAGTGCGCGAAGAAATCGCAGAGTAGAGACGCCTTCGAACGAGGAAACGCTGTTGTTCTCTATATATTGGACAAACATCGACAATACGACTTGCGGAAAGAGCTTGCAGAACTCTCACGAATCTATTTGAACACCCTTGACCGACGAGACGTCGATCAGATCGTAAGAGATCAGACAGCCAGTGACTCGAACAACGGCGATTCGAAATCCACGCTTACAACGGCCAGAAAAGTTGGTCTAGCAAGAAAGATTGACGAGAAATCTGCGGGAACCAACAGATATATACGACGCGAGAAACTCGACAATCGCTCTGATAAAACTGTTGAGAAAGAAGCTAATAAGTCCAACGAAATGAACGATAAGGTTGAAGACAGTGCAAATACCGGCGCGTCTAACGTGGAAGTTCGAAGCGTTGAAGAAGAGATCGTCGACAACGGCGATTCTAAAGAAAGCGGACTTCTCGACACTTCGGACACCACTCTCCGTAGTCGAAGAAATGCTGAGGAAGAAACGTCCGACAAGTTTCGACAGCCAACTCGGTATGTGACATATCTAACTTGTTCGAACTTGCGATCGATTTTTTATCCTTGATTATATCCCGATTTACACAGCAGTAATTTAAAGTGTTTCTGGTTTAGATCTTCTATAAAGTTCAAAAGTTAAAATATTTCACTGATATGACACAAACGACTTCAAAAGTTAACGTAAAATATTAATTCATAAAACGTTATTTTATGTGCGTAGAGCAAGCACAGCGGACGTGACAATCGGTGATGACAGGTACATCTGTATGAAGGAGCGGGATTCCGAAGAGGTATCTAGCGAACAGTCGATACCGCTTTATCAGCTGACGAGACTTCCGTCGGATGCGGTTCTGTTCCGCAAACCGAAGAACTACGTGACTTCCTCGAGTGGAAACTTCGGTCGACAGGGAGAGGAACAGTCGTCGAAATATGTGGTTCTTATGCCCGATAAAATCGAGAACACCTATCCGTATGAGATGTTACAGGCGAAGAATCCCGAGAGATCTTTGAGAGTTTCGAATTGGCTCGACTCATATCTACCAAGAATAACAGACGCGATGATCAGATATTTGAATGATGTATCCTCGGGAGAACTCGACTATGAAGACTCTTCGGAGGAGATTTCGGATGAAGAAGTTTCGTATTCATTGGATTATTCGAACGAGAGCAACGAGAATAGACAGAATGTTTTCAGGAACATCGCGGATGAGGTCGAGCGTGAATCGGGAGAGGACGATCAACATCGTAGAGCGAAGAGCAAAGAATCCCACAGGCGTTCAACAATGAAGGATCAGATGCGATCCGAGCAACGTCGAGTATTTAAATCGTTTCCCAAGGAAAATGAGAAAATGAAGAGGCAACGGAGACAAGCCGAAATCAATAAGGTAAATTATCGAAGTGATTGGCTAATAAAATTTTCGATGATGACGCCATTTTCATATATTCTTATCTTTTTGTTATATATATTTTTATTTATCCTGTGTTCTAATAATTTTATAATTTCTTTGCATTTATGAATAATTGTTTTAGAATTCAAGCAGTAAAAGCGAATTTTAGATTCTTGTTTCGAGAACATTTCAAATATCGACAATATATTTCTGGCGTAAGAAAAACACATGCAATGCGTTTTAGAAATTGCATGTTTTCTTGAACCACCGCTATGTGTTGGGGTTACGCTAAACAAACAGATTTATGAGACTCGTGTCGTCCTGCCTCACATGAGATTCTTCTTTTTCAAGATCAACTTTCTTTCTCCATGGTCGGAAACAAACAAGTCCATTCTGACCGATGACACGGCCAAAGATGAAAACGATAAGGATTATTTACAACGGAGCAGTATTAACGAAGAAGTTATAGTGAAAGTAGATTATCCGCATTCGCAAAAGAACAGAAAAAACCACGATGATCTACCCGAGAACATCGCGAAATCTGAAAAGAACGATATTACTTTTGCCGAAAATAGAGGGAACGATGAAAGTTTAGAAAATAGCATTACGCAAAGCGACAAGAAATTAGTGTCTTTCGTGGAGAAAACAATTCCGAAATTACAAGGCGTTATTCTTGATGGAGTAGAAAATGCGAAAGACCTCACGGAATCCGTGGAAAAATTGGTCAGTAATTTCAAGGAGAGTTTCAATGAGACTTTGATGGAGGACGAAGAGACAAGTTCAATAAATAAAACTTCTGAGAGTATCGACAATGCTTTCCACTTTGCAATTATGAATATAAAGAAATTTTTCACCCTCTTCACAGGAATATCCTGAATCCTGCGTGTATAAAAGTTTTAAAATATTTAATAGAGTTTATATATATATATATATATATTGCATATTTCTGCGATAAAGACTCCGATTTTTAACATGTAATATGATATGAATTTAATAAATATTTGCAACATTCATATAATGATATCTAAAATACCTTTGTAATAACGCTTTTTATCCTTTATACTTATATATTATCGTTGTAAACATACTCAAACAAATATGTATAATTATATGTACATGCGCGTATGTATATATGTTTATGTATATATGTTTATAAATGATGACTTAAAAAAATAAAGAAATTTTTGTGAAAGACAGTATTGTGCTATAATGTAATGTATATATCATTTATTATAGTCAAAGAAAATCACAAAGTTGAGAAGTTAAAAATCAAGAGAAAATATTATAGAATAATATATAGTATCGAGTTTATTAATTTAATATTAAGATCAGAAGTAAGATCAGTAATATTAAGATTTTTAACACATTCGCTAATTCGTGAGGCTACAATACGTGAGTTAAAAACATTTCGTACTTTTTATTAAAATTTTTTGTGTGTAGAAAGTTTTGTGTTAATTTTTTTACACAGTCGTGTGTTAATTTAACATATCGTGGTTGTGTTACTTAGACTTTCTTTTGTTAAATTAAGATTAACTATTTTCAAGTGTTAAAATAACACAATTTATATGTAAATGCACGAATTCTTGCTCTGACATATTTTATATGTCAACATATAAAGTCAACACCTAAAATGTGTTAATTTCCTCATTATAGCGGTTATCATGTGTTATATTATATAAAGATTGGATTTTTAACACATAGATTATGTCAATCTAACATTTTCATTTCATCAAATCATAGATCATTACTATTCCCAAATGTTGAAATAACATTCATTGTATGTCAATTTAACACAAACTGTGATTCTTGACGGCATTCAAATGTTAAATTTTTGTGTTAATCTTTCACCCATTATGCGTGTTACTTTTTAACATATTTGCTGTACGTTAAATTAAGACATAAATGAGAGTGGATGATTTGAGACACATGAAATATATTAAATTTAACACATCATTTCTTACAGTGTAATATTATCTCACGAAAATTGCAGACATAGCCTTGTAACTATACCGTGACTGTTTATATCAATTAAGAAAATTATCAATACTCGTGGAACTGCTATAAATATCATAATAGCAATCGATTTTAAAAGAATCAGGTCACGGTGTCGCTGCTCTTGAATAATGATTGTAATCAATGTGTGTATATATACGAGTGTATACATAAACATTACGACATAATCCAACCGATGAGTGAGATTTTGTAATGACACGATGACAAAACCTGTGTGTAACCGCGCTCAATTATTCAGTGCACTTTCGATTATGACGGAGTTCACTTCGACTTTCGAGGCATCAGTGGAGAGTAAATTTTGTTATAATCTCATTTATTAGTATACTAGTATAAACTAGGGTATAAACTAGTATAACATACCAGTATAAATATATTACTACTCTCATACTTATGTATTATTTCTTACACACACAGTAACAAGGGACGAGGTTCGTGCACGAAATTAAAGAGCATGGTAATGCCGATCGCCGTAATCGATTGTCAAATTCGTGTGCAGCAGTGAGTGCGATTGGCGATGTACGAGAAAATCGCTTTGATTGTTTTGGCATTGCTCGCGGTTGCCTGCTCGGGAGAAGTTTCTCTCACCGGAACAGACGTGAAGGATGCAGATTTCTCCGATTCAAGGCAAGTGATAATTGATCAAATGAAAATCCCGAATTTCTACCAAAATTCTCCTATTCGACGATCCCTTTTGCACTAATGGGAGCAGATATAAGCCGTTACTTTGCCGGTGCTTTTGCCTACCATCCCGTCTTGTAGCCCGAGTTTGACTTGTGAAACTGTACTCGAGTCTCGCAAACATTAAAATGTGTTAAGCGTAATTGCACCACTGTTTACGTCAACGACTTTTGCATCGTGCGTTCCACGCTCATGCACATGCTGAGCTAAGAACTTTGCGTCTAGAGTTGCTAAATTTTATGATGTTAATGCGCGTGACGGTTGATCCTACATTCGTTATAATTATAATTACGTTATAATATTAATCATTGATATTACATTCTTCATCAATACATTACATTATAGCGTTATACGTTATAATTGGCATAACCGATATTGTAATTACAACATTATAATTGACATAGTCGATGTTAATTACAACATTATAATCGACATAATCGATGTTAATTATAACATTAAATAGGTTGTCAAGGATACTCCCCTTCCCATCATCATACAATAACCAACAATATATCACGAAGGCCACGAAAGCTAATCAAAGATCGGTCCTTTCACCATCGTCGCTACCATCGCAGATGCGATTTGAACAACGACAGCCGAGGGAAACGAATCAGAAGGGAAAGCGTTGCAGCGCGCATCTTCGGAAGAGCAGATTTTCTCCGTCGGTAGGAAGAGCCAGAAATTCGGACGGAAACGTCAATATGAAGACCTCCCGGGACATTCCCTATGTTTCTGCAAGAAACCCCAGATATTCGACTGAAAGCTCCGCGGCCACGAGCTGGACGATGGAGACGCGCAACGAGAACAAAACGCTCCTGCGAGCCCTTCAAGACAGCCTGAAGGACGCGCAAGACGCGAACGTGGATTCTCGAGAAGAGACGAAGAAATGCAACACGTTCGTCTGTTACTGCCAGGAGGAGAACTGCGTGCGAAAATCATCGAGAACCAGCTCGTCGCGGACGTCGGGATCTTCCAGGAGAAAGCTCGGCAGGACGAACCGTCGAAGGCCAACCGAATACGAATACGGAAACACCGGACCAGTTCTCGAAGCGAGTGTCCTGCGCCCAGAATCGCCGAGATGGTACCATGAAGCTCGCCATGAACCGCACGTTCTCGGCCTGATCAACTCTGTCCCGATACAACCGCCTCAAGAAATAATGCATCCCGCCTTCTTCGCGCCGTTTCTGCACGGAGTGCCGCTGGTTGCGCCTTCGATGATCGGAAAGGATGACCCCAACGTCGCTTTCCCGAGCGCCTCGTTCGACGGCAGACCCGACTTTGCCGTCGGAAGCAACAATGTCAACCAGCATCAACGCGGACTGATTCTCCGTCAAGGTTCGCAGGAATGGCCTCAAGAAAATCGACACCTCGATACCGTGACCGTGCCGAATACTTCTTCAGCATCGATTGGCAACCTAGCAGCGATGATCAACTTGAGCGAAGAAAATGGCACCACGGACTTCTCCATTTCGCACGAGACAGTTACCGTGAATCACCTCGACGCGACGATCAGTTCCGTGACAGAAAATGATGTCCTGTCGAAAGAGACCATCGAGACCAGCGAAATAAACGAAGCGGATATCTCTCCAGGATTACGTGCGACGCTCTCGACGGATCACGTCGTTTCAACGACTGAGGCAGGAGCGAGCGGTAACTTCGAATCCTACTCTCTAGGAGCAACAATCGGGGCGGATTTGGACGAGCAGTTTCCTTCCAGATTCATCACGACGCCGGAGATAAGTGTGAGAACTGGCTCGGAGGAGACGAAGAGCCATCTCAATCCGTATTATTCCGAAACAACCACAATGAGCACAAGTCGATCGGAGTCATCCACGGATCTTTTATGGGGAACTACGTTACCCTGGACGGATAGGCCATACTTGAAAGCAGAAAATAATTATGATCAGACAACGAAGATCAGAAATGTTCCGTTAACGAGCACCAATACACCGCACGAATACACGAGACGTTCGCCAACAGAACTTTATCTGTACGTTGCAACCAGTGAGCGAACTGATAAGCTACGTGACGGCTACAACGTGCAGTGGTATCCGGACGCGAGCAGATCACCTGACAGTAAGCAAGTGGCTGACAAAAGTATTCCGATGAAGAAACTGGCGGGGCAAACGATCGACGAGATCGAAGAGAGTACGAGAGGTGAATTGTTAGAGAAGAGCAAGAGTCACGCGACGATGTTGTTGGGCTCAAGTTACGACGGAGAATCAACTACGGCGAGTTCAGCGGCGAGTGAGAAGTTTTATTCCACGATCTCGCACGAGTCTAACGTGGACGATTACGTAGCGACGAACACAATCCACGACAATTCAGAGACGAGTATTTTTCCGTTCAATCCGAGATCCCACGGAGGAAAAACGACAACTTCCTATTACGATCTCACGACTGAGCGTAAACTCGAAGAGGCAACCGCGGACGTCCTGATGGAATCGATAACTGAGACCTATAGTCGAATAGGGTCTCTTCAAGATCAACTTACGGAAGCAGAGTACTTGAATTGTGAAGAGACGAAGAGCGATGATAATAAAGGAGACCTGGAGTACACCACCGAGAGTCTCGTGAAGATAAGCGACTTGTCGACGAAGAGATTACCTTTTTACGACAATTCTCTACTGCTGAACTCCATCAGGAGAGTCATCAACAACTTCGCGTTAGATAGTGACTTGGCGAAGGCGCAAGATCTCGACGAGGACGCGCTTCGGGCGCAAGGCAAGAGTCTGCTGCCGGAAATCCTGCAGATTCCGAACCTGAAGGACATCCTGTCGTCGTCGCTAATAAAAGACACGATTGTAGGGAAGGTGAAAGGCATCCTGTCTAAAAGTATAAGCGAGACGAACGGTTGGTCGCACGATGTGATCAGGAACGCGCTGCGCGACTTGTTGGAGGGTTTCCACAGTCCTCATCATGTAATGAAGTCTTCTCCGATAAAAGTCGAGGAGCACCAATTTAACAACGGGCTATGGAACACCAAACTGGTGACTTTGCCGCCCGTTCACGAGGAGAAGTCTGGCAAGCCGTCAACAGTGCCGAGACGCTTGTGGGAGAACATCAGAGACCTCCTGGGATCTCCAGCGGTTGCCTCGCAAGCGGACCGGCAGATCGTGCGGAACATGATCGTGCAGAGTCTGAAGAATAGTTTGGCTAAAACAGCGGAGAGAGAAATTAACAACCTAATTAATGACACGGTAATCCTTGATACATTGAACGGCGCGCTGCAATGGCTCAGAGGATCACAGGATATGAGTGCGAAGGATGCGTCGAAAGAAAGCGAAGTGAAACCGAAGGTCGAGTCTGCCAATGACGAAGAGGCCGTGAGCATTTCGAGAGGGACGTCGACGTGCTACGAGAGCGTAAAAGACGACTATGAGACGAAAGGGGAACTTGAAGAATCGGTCACGAGCGATGTGAAGCAATTCGAGAAGGACACACCGCTGGATGGTACCGAGACACGGAGAATGAGCTACCAGAAAGTTAAGAAACTGAACAACAATGTCCAAGTATTAATCGTTACCGAGCCGTCGGATTTAATAGAGCTTGGGAAACCGTACGAAGGAAAAGATATAAGCCTGACTCTGCTTCCGGGAGCAACTACTGAGGCTTTCCAAGGAATAGAGAATGTCCTGAATTCAATGTCGATGGAACCTGTTGAAGCACAGCAGAACGACGAAGAAGCACGAGACGGTGAATCGTGGGAGCGTACGACGACTTATCAGCAATCTTCTGAAACATATATCTCGCAGGCAACAACTGGACGCACGAACAAAGATGTTCACACGACGGAAGGAACCGATCGAGACAGTGTCTTGGACAAAGCGGAGCACGTTGGTGAACAGGAGCCATCGAGAATAACGATTTCAGTGGACAACATCGAAGTGACAATAGCTTCCGCGCAATCAAATCCACGGACGAATGAATTGCCTGAGACGTCGAACGAGGAAAGCAACGTGGTCTCGAGAACCGAAGCAGTCTCTTTGCAGAATGAGGCAACACCTTTGGTTTCGCGATACTCGGAGACAAATACACAGGAGAAGACCACGAGGGAGTTCTCGAGCTCCTGCGGCTTCCTGAAAGAAACCAACGAGATCTCGTCAACGAAGAAGCCGGAAGGTAAAAAGAAGGAAATTCTCACTTTCGGAAAAATAGCGAAGTGGAACAGCGAAGTGACGACTAATCTCGATGAAGTGGCCACTGAAATCACGAAGCAAAATAGTTTTACCACTGAATCCTTAATTGTTGACGAAGCTGAAGCGTTTGATAAACAACTTGCTGTCGTTGCTCTTGCGCCGAATTTGATGTCATCATCGGCTGACGACGAAAGACAAAGCAGCACGATAAATGTTTACAACGAAAGCTATTCTGACGTCGGAACGGCACAAGACAACACGATGAATCCGATGAAGGAGTGTTCCCACAAGTACGATGAAATGGATCCAGCGATGATGCGCGCAACGAACATTGACGTGTTGCCGATCAGTTATTATTCGCCGAATAATCGAGTTTTGGATTACGTGAAGAATCATCGCGTCGATAACGAAGATGAGACCACCCCGGTAATTGTAAGCTCCATGCGGAAGTCGTCATCGGATTACGCACGGCCATCGGAGGACGCAACTTTGAACCAAGGCATGAAGGCTGCTGCGAATACGAAGCAGGGAATAATATATGTTTTGAACGAGAACGTATCTTCACCTAGCGAAGATACAGCTAGTAACTCGACTTTGTCTGCGAATGATGATGAAAATCGAAAAATGGAAGCCACTGTCTTTTCTTCTTCCTCTTCCTCTTCGGATGTTGATTCTCTGCAGTCACAACAGCAGAAGTTCCAAACAGGAGATATGATTAAAATTCACGAGGTCACTACCGAAGTAGAGAAAACTTACGCGAAAACGGTGTACTTCCAACCGCGGCAATTCGATCTCGAAGACAACTCGAGAACCAATTCACTTGCGATTGCTCTTTCGAGCACTGCAAGTAGCAATGATAATTTCAGCAAAAATGGGAACAGCAAAGGCACCAACAACGATCCAAGAGATAAAAAACTCAATGACATTGGTATCATTGTCACAGAAGCGAATAAGAACATCGATTCCGCTACCGAATCATCTACAAACGATATTTCTGACACTCTTCAGCTATTTCCTACTTTAACTGCTTCCGAAGAAAGTATCGCACAGCTCCAGAGATCGCAGCTTTACTATATCGACGACGGCATCAAGCTACCATTGGAGATAAAGAAGTTAAAGGATGGTACCTATACGTTATCAGTTTCCAAGAACATATGCGAACTGATCCTGAAGAGAAAGTGCTGTGTACCACTACAAGGACACGTGCTTCAATCATCGAGACCAGATACACACATGAGTGATGTCGAAGAAGATTATCAATTGAACACTCAACTTCCAAGTGCCACGATCACGTTAAGAAACACACTGCAGAAGTTGGAAGAACTAGAAGAAAAATTAAATCTTACCAATGGTCGTAGAAAGCGAGACTTGATCGAAAGCGATTCAAAGCCGATCATTTCGATGCCAGTCCTCGATTTTGTGAAAAAGTACAACTTATCACTCGACTTCAACGAGGATGAAGTGCCAATGATGGAATTTAGATCAAGCGAAAAGATCCGGAACTCCGGTAACTCATTAAAGCAATTAGTTGAGGAATCTGAAGAGAGTCAGATGAAAGAAAAGAATCGTGACGTTTACTCAGGAAAAGAATTAATACAAAATGAATTACAAAATAAAAAGGAAAATAAAGTTGACAAACTTCAAGGTTCGATGAACATTCGAGATGAGGATATATTGGGAGGAAATGTCGAGAATTTAATGAAAGCTAAATTGCAAAAGTCTAGAGAAAAAGTGAGTCGGTCGAAAAAAGTCAAGACATCAAGACTGAGTAAATTAGAAGCTGAAAACGATAATCAACGAAGTATGAATATCAATCAGATTATGGATCCTGACAGTCGAGAGGACAGTTTTATTTCAAAAGAGACTGACATTTCCAAAGGAGAAACAAAATTCAAAAGCAATGAAATGAAATGGGGTAAGTTATTGAATATTACAGAGAATAATTATTATGCATACTAGTGCTGAGTAAGTATACGTGTATATTTGTTAATAACATGTAATAAAGAATTCTAAGTAAATCTTTCTTACCTTTAGAATAGAAAACAGCCGATAAATAAATGTAATCAAACGTCCAATCGATTCAAACATCTTCAAACAGAATCACCTGCAAATAAAATGAATTTATTTTTTCTCTCGATTTATTTATGAACAATAGCATAAATATTAATATAAAAGTAACATGAAAAATAATTTTGTTTCAGGAGACTTTGAAATTCTTGTTAAGAGGAAAGGAGAGATACCTGAAGAAATAAAGTTGGTTAAACTAAACAAAGAAAAGGAAAATGAGCAGCACATGGATAGTGCTGAGCAGAATAAATTTAATGTTCCAGAGGTTAACATTTTCAAAAATATGAATGGAAGGCCGTATAGATATCAAAGAAATATAAGAAATAGTCCAAATAAAGGGACAGAAATAATAAAAGATTTCCTCTATTGGCTGAAAAGCCTTTTCTTGAACACAAATTAATCACAATAAATGAACTAAAGATCCACACTTTCTTTCTTTTTATATGTTAAATATTTCATAATATTAGAAGTAGGCATATATATGTATAATTTGTATTATAGACATCTAGTAAAAATTGTTTATTTCAGAAACAAAAGATTATGTATCATCATTAAACCTGTATCATCATTAGATCATCAATATACATTGTACAATTTAAAATTAAAATCTTTTATATTTATTTATTTTAAATCGTATTAAAAATAAAAGATCTAACTCGTCGTAAGGTTATATTGTATCAAAATTAAAAATTCGTGTGCGTTGAATTTTATTACAATTTGCAATATAATAATCGATATGCTACATTTGTTAAATGAACGACTAATCTCCAAATTATAATAATAATAATGATAATAATAATAATAAAACACATCTTCCCATATAACCTTTGTATAAAGGATTTGTAAATGAGCAAAGAGAGAGAGAGAGAGAGAGAGAGAGAGAGAGAGAAGTCGCACTCGTATAATATTGTTGTCTCTTTCTTTCACAGTGCAACAATCCTATACGTCTCTATCAAAATTATAATCAATGTTACCCAATAATACATCGAAAAATAAACATGCCGGAAAGTAATCAAACCGATTTCTTAAAAAAAAAAAACAATTATTTCAATTATTATAATTCATTATAATCACTTAAATAATGAAAGAAAACTATATCTTTCTTCTCTTTGAGTGTGAGAGCGAGATAGACAAATGTAGTTTGAGAGTGATCAGTGAATTATCTCTCTTTTCTCACCGTAGATGTTACTAAACCGATTTTATGCTCACATCTAAACGTAGTCATAATTAAACACTTGTTACTTACTTTTTTATCCCACAGTCATCACTGTAAACGTTGTTATCGTCGTGAACGAAAACTCCAGGTCAAAGTACAACTTAACGGTTGTAGGCCATTTTCCTTACGTTCAAATTGAGTGTTTATACAATTTTCAAACCGTATGATTGTGCTGCCACAGAACTCATTTCATTGGCTATGAATTATCTGAAAGTAGTAGGTAACCAATGAAATAACTGCACCAAGGCACATTAGTCATGAAAATCAGCACTTATAGTGCAGTTGGGCGGCAACGTTCAGAGGAATCTTTATTTTGAAATCATCTTATTTAACCACGAATAAGACGAAGTTTTATCCTTTAGTAAAACGGCAGAATATAAGAATTGGTTGAATTTAGATTTTCCTCTGCGAGAAAAAATATGGAAAATAGCAGATAAGGAAAGTGTGCTACAGCTACACTAGCTTGACCCAAATTTTCTGCTCTTGCGTTCGTGCGAGCAATGTATTAAGATTTATATTTACACGAATATACACCTACGCATAAAAATCCTAATTCGTATTCTTGTCGCATACGGCCATTAAAGTCCATTTGAGATTCGCTATTGGCTCCTGTAGACTTAAAATTGACTCTGGAAAAAAAACAAAATCTGCCCCATCGATTCATCGATTGACTCTCAATTTATTCCTACTATCAAACCTCTGGAGAATTCGCCTTAATAGACGCCTGAAGCTAATCTCATATAACCTTGAAGAATCTGAGTCACACAAGATTATTTCAAAGGTTATGTCACTTCAGGTTCGAATGTTTTGACGTTTCATTAACAGTGTAATTCGAATGATGGGTTTGTTTGGAAAATCACAAGAGAAGAATCCCAAAGAAATGGTGAGTTTTGCATACAGTACATTGTCATTCTAAGTATTAACATTTAATAATTCTACAGGTTCAGGAATGGACTCATAAGTTAAGGAAAGAAGGGTATCAATTAGATAGACAAGTTAGAGGTAAGTTATGAGAAAGTATTTCTAGAATACAGAAAAAATGAAAGAAATGATGAGTCAATAAAAGTTTCAATCTCCCATGTACAAAACTTGTCTTTTTCCTCAGCGATCCAGAGGGAGGAAGAGAAAGTAAAACGTTCTTTAAAAGAAGCAGCAAAGAAAGGTGACAGAGATGTGTGCAAAGTGCTGGCAAAAGAGATTATCAGAGCTCGTAAAACCTGCAATAAGATATATACATCCAAGGCTCATTTGAATTCAGTATCTCTACAAATGAAGAACCAGCTTGCAACAATCAGAGTTGCTGGTTCAGTTTCAAAATCCACAGAAGTAATGCAGGCTATGCAGTCGCTAGTACGAGTGCCAGAGGTAGCTGCAACCATGAGGGAACTGTCGAAAGAAATGATGAAAGCAGGAATCATTGAAGAGATGCTGGATGAAACAATGGATTCTATTGAAGATTCCGAGGATATGGAAGATGAAGCAGATGAAGAAGTTGACAAGGTAAATAATTTTACAGTTATAATATATTCTATTAATATAATAAAACAAAAAAATCAATATAATATAGCAGAAGAGAATTTTTTTAATGATTAGAGTAATATAGATAAGAATAAAATATGTATGTCTTACTGGGATATATTAAAAGTTGATATAAAATCAATATAATTTTTGTACAAATAATATATAATTCAACTTTGATAGATCTTATGGGAAGTAACAGCTGGTCAACTAGGTACAGCACCAGCAGTTGTGACAGAAAATCCAGAATCAATTGCTTCCTCTACTGCTGCAGAAGAGGAAGTACCAGAAGATAATGATAAGGAACTTGAAGAGATGAAAAATAGACTGCAAAGTCTACGCAGTTAGATGAAGAATAATAATCGAAGGTCAATCGCACCAAATTTATCCGTGATAAAAGTATTTTCTCGTGATAATACTAAACTACTGAATAGAAAATAACAAAAGTTAGAAATATAAATATATATACCGATGCATTGCTAACTGAATTTTTTCATACACTAATTTATATTCAAAATTTGAATTTGTATGTAGCAGTCTGCTTGTTAATCATTTTCACTCCAATGTGATACCAAGATATCTTCAAATAATGTGAGATTTTGAGATGTTCTGGTAATTTTTACAAAGTAATAGCTTTTTTTATCAAATAATGATATATTGAAAATAGAAAAATTAGTATATAGCAAAGTTAAATAAAGCAAAGATAATTTGATTATTCTGAAAATATATATTTTTATTGAAGAAATAAAATTGAAGTTAACTATATCTCCAAGCCTCACTATTTAAAATTGACACGCTGAGAGTAACAATATGTAATTTCATTATTTAATGTAAATATTGTATGTATATTTGCTTCATAGAATACTTAAAGTATGTACTATATATCTATTTCTATAACCATTACAAAATGATTTTCCTTTAGCTTTCTAAACTCTGTTCCACTAGTTTTAGCTATAAATGTAATAAAAGATATATATATATATATATATATGTATATATAATATATATATAAAATGTATATTATATAATTTCATTTGTTTACTTCTTCATTCAAGCTGCTACTGCATTAAGGTATTAAATGAAAAAAATGCAACTTAAAAAGATATAGTTGACGCGAGTTCTCTAATATTATATTTATTATTTATACTCCTTTTTATAAATATATAGTAAAAATAACATTCTTCTCAATTGTGAATATACATAAAGATAGTAATTGATTTTTTTTGCATCTTTACAAATTGATTACAAACTTCGCAATATCAACATATTTTTAACTTAACTCTTCCTCTGTGATTAAATCATTCGTTAAATAAATTGTTCTATTTTAATTTTAGAAAATCTATGTGCCTGTTTATAATCAATATAATGTTACAATTCACCTAAATTGTTTTTTTAGGATTTCTTGAACACTATCTGGTAGATAAATGAATGCAACTACAAACTTCAAGAGTTTCCTGAAGTTGGATATTTTCTAATGCATAAAGTAATATATTTTTCACAACTTCAGAGATGATCGATTACCATATTAACAATGGAAAGCTTCGTCTGTGCTCTAGCCTTCTTCGGCAAACGATGCATCAGCGGCGTTAACTTCGCTAGGAAACGACCAACTTCACTTGTAATAGGAAACATGGTCCTCCTCATGGTACCTGTGATCCTCTTTGGCTTTGTTTTTTTCTTCTTTATATTGACGACTTCCAGTTTTTTAAAATATGGTTCCTTCTTTATGTCCACTTCCCTCAAAATTTCCAGAGAATGCGGGAGAATTACTTCTTCCTGCACTTCCAACTCATCGGAATTCAAGGTCTCTTCCGTTGGCTCCGGGGATATCGACAGAAGCTCCATGAAGTTTTTATCCACGTGCGGTTTGGTCTTTTGTAACACGGCAGACGTTTGGCCGTTGTTCTTCAACCAAATTTCGTTGTTGGAAGCATTCTTATTTGTCATTTTAATCTTGGCCATCGTCGGTTTCTGCTCCTTTTTCTGCTGCTGTTCCGGTAAATTAATTTTAATCAACAACCCTGGTGGTATGCTGGACAGGCTGTGCACTGGTATAGGCGCGCCCAAACTCGATATATCCCAGGTAAACGGCATGATTACTTTTCTGAGTCCGTCCGTTTGAGAATTGGACATTGTTACATTGGAAGTTGCGTTATTCAAGGCTATCGACTGCAGCTGTTCACCCAATTGAATCTTCCAATTTGCCGAGGACGGTAGCGGTAATTTCCTGACTACTCGATTTTCCACATTACTGAGATCAGGTCTGGGGATGTTAATAGAGGTTGGCCGTCGGGATTTCCCGCGTTTCTTGGCCAAAGGAGCAGGCTTGTTATCTATCTTGGGTTTCTTGCTGGATACCAACGGGATAGAGAACTGTTTTGTATCCTTAGTCTCTTTGGTATTTTCCCCGATGTCTTGTTCTTCATAGTTTTCAGAGGCTACAGGCATCAAAGACTCGGAAACGTCCTTGATGGTTGGTACTGCGTCGCATGGACCCTTACGGAAATTCTGACCCGCTTGAAAATGACGAGAACACAGCACGAGCTTGCGTATCTGATTTGGCGACATACTGAGCAAGTCTTCACGACCTAAGAATTGACACCAACGCAAGCATCGGCCGATTTCGTATGCTGGAAATGGATGGAATTTGTAGTGTTCGAGTTTATTACGCGGATTCGACCTTAAGCGACCACAAGCCGCACACGCTTGACTCTCCAATATCTCAATGGGCAGAAGCCCTGGCTTTTTGCACCGCTCTGGCGCACCAAAAAGCTTCGGCTCCACCGCTGATTCTGTGACTTTTAACTCCGATTCGTCCAGCTGTTTGGGATCACGGATATTCGGGACCGCATTTTCCGCTAGTCTTCCTTTATATCCCGGAACAAATTGGGAGCGATCAAAATGCTTGGAACAGATGTAGCAGAAGAGAATCTCCTTTCTGGTTAGCCTATAATATGACTCGACCCCTACGAAATCCAGCCATTTGAGACAACGAAACTCCTCACCGGGGAAATGATGAAACGTTGTGCCGTCGTAATCAGGCCCTGGTGGATCTTTTCGGCTTGTACCACAGAGAACACAAGTGATATTGTAGAGACTCTGTGTAGGATCGTAGACAGATGGTACTGCTGAACAGTTGAGACGGTCAAGATACTCAGTAAGAAAATCTTGTGGCTGAAAATGTTTGGAGCAGACCATACGTTGCAGCAGTTGCTTCTTGGACAGTTTGTATAGATCTTCGCGGCTGCAAAACTCAAGCCAACAACGACAGCGCGCCTCATCGTTTACTGGGAAACTGAAAAACATATACTCCTCCTCACGGTTGTTAGGATTCATGCGAGAACGACCGCACACCACACATGGATGTGGCATAGCTGAACTTGTTTAATTTTCAAAGGTCAAATGGATATTTCCAAATCTTTCCTCTTCATAGTTCACTGTTGTAATGTTAACTCTTGAAGATCACAAGATCTTCAGATTCCTTTTTATCATAGTTTGTGATTAACAAATAGCTCAAAGTTTATGTTTCAAGATTATGAACAAATTTGAAACTAAAATAATGCTTGCATCATTATTCCTTATAATTTGCAATGTAACATGTATCTATCAAAAATTGATAAATCTTTGCAGTCCTTTATAATCCACAATTTGTAAGAATTAACGGAAGTTTCAAGCAAAAATCTCATTTGGATATTCTTCTGCTGCAACTGAAAATAAATAAAAAGTTTAAATTTCCTAAGAAATTAAGAAGACTATACTACAGCCAAATAGCATGCAGGTTAATATCAAATTATATGTAATTTAAAAATTTTAATATTACCTTCCTTCATTTACTAAATAAATCACGTTATTGTTTTCTGTCCATATCTCTATAAAATTTTATTTATTCTTGAGAATATTTTTATATTAATTTTGGAACTTTTCGTCAATGAACAAAAAATTTAGTAAGCACTATATGTTGTGCACTTCAATAAACTCACAAAACTGTTTGAAAAAACAATTGTACTGAATTATTTCATAAATATTCATAATTACAGAATCAATAATAAAACGTCAAAATTATTTAAAGAATTTGCTGTACTTGTTGCGCTTTCAAGTAAAAGAACAAGGTTACGTAGCATCATACAGCGTTCGAAGATTTAACCTCCTTAACCTCCAAACATCGTGGAGACACCATGGCAATTTGATCAATACTTACCTCAGAGATTCGAAGAAATAAAAATATATTTAAAGAAACAATATTGTTATATTAAAATCAAAACTGATATTGTTGCTTAGAAAATAAACATAACTTAATATCGAGATCCATATTTATTAAAAAGTATAAATATAGCATGTCATATGAAGGTTGACAGTTTATGACAGCTCATCATAAGCTCATCAAGGAAATTACAATAAAAAATATGATAATTTATTATTAAATAAGATTGTAAGTAGTTAATAATGAAAGAAATCAAGGTACTATAAAAAGTTGAAAGAAAATATAAAAATCTAAGATTCTGCGAATCTAATTTAACATTGCAAAGTAAAAGGATCTAACTATTAAGAGTAATAAGCATTATAAAAAATTAAAAACACAAAATTCTTAAATTGCTCTCGTAATAAAAAAGAAATATACAGGATGACAGAAAATATAAACAATCCATACAATATTAATGGGCAGCATTTCAATTCCGATATGTACTTTCAAAAACTGTTAAAGGTAAACTAAATATTCTCAAAAATAAATTAAATTTTAGGTCATTTTAGTCATTTTTTATAAGTTGAGGATATATCTTTGTTAAATATTCGACTTTTATATGTTTATATGTATATGTTTTATATGTTTATATGTATATGTTAACAGGAATGTACATTGAAGCAAATTATGGATCATGAAGCTGAGATCATAAGAAATACTCAAACTTTGCATTCAGACATGCAAACTTTAGTATATGAAAATTATAATAAGTTTATATCTGCCACTGATACTATCCGCAAGGTGAGTTATTTCACAAAAAAAGAAAAAGATGTTATATAAGTATTATACATAGAGAACTACTTTTATCTTTAAATATAATTTTTAATATATATAGATTATTTTAATACATTCTCAATTTATAAAATATTAAAATACTTGTAATTTTGTAGATGAAAACAGATTTCAAAGAAATGGAGGATAGCATGGATTTATTGGCAAAAAATATGGATAGTATCACTTCCTTCTCAGAACAGATCTCTACAACATTGCATGGAACCAGACAACAAATTGCAAAATTGTCCTCTGTACATACTTTGTTAAGGAAACTTCAGTTTCTTTTCAAGCTGCCTGGTAATCTCAAAGAGAGAATGAATGAAGAGAATTATGCACAGGTATGTATTAAATTGTGATTGAAAAGAATATAGGTAAAATGTGGATTCCAAAAACAGCTCTTTACTTAAAAATCGTTGAACTTTACAAAAAGATTAAATTATCTTTAAAATTTCATACAAGTATTTGATTTTTGCAGGCAGTTAAAGACTATGTCCATGCACAAAGAGTACTGAATCAATATGGCAATATGCCATCATTCCAAGGCATTCAAAAGGATTGCGAGGACATTTTAGAGGAACTAAAATCCAAACTGAGACAGCAATTTCACAAAAGGGATGCTTCCACTAAGGCTCTAGCAGAGAACGTCGACCTACTGCTGCAATTGAAGGAACCAGTCGACTCTTTATGTACTGAATTCCTTGTACACGCTGAAGGAAGATTGACAGAGCAATTGGAAATGCTGAAAGACACGTGTGAGAAAGATATCATTGAGTTCGTGGATATGGCGAATTCGGGATTTCTCAATGATTTGTGCCTCATTGTATCTTCTTACAACGATATGTTTATAAATTTATCACTGGAAGACAACGATTTGACTGAAGATTTTGATACGAAAGCTGTTAGTCACGTGAATAATTTTGTTGTGAGGAACATGACGAAGTACTTCGATTTGGTAGGCAAAAGGGTGGAAGATGTGGCAGATACAGCGATCTTGGTGAGAGCCCTTGATCGCTTTCATCGAAAACTACAAGCGATGAATATGTTGTACAAAGACATGGACTTTGCCAAGTAAGTAGAGAAGAGAGAAGAAATTCGCGTAGAAAGTTAAAAAATCTAAACTCTATTGTATATCAACGTGAAACTAAATATTTTTGTATATAAAATGGTCTGCATTTTGTCATATATATTTTTGTAATTATATATATGTAGATATGTGTATTAATATAATTATTTATTTTTTGCAGAATCGGGACTGATATCGTCGTGAATGCCGGTCGTAAGCAATGTCGTAGCCATTTGCACTGCCTGAAGCAACACTTAAGTGAGACTTTGGCCAAGGTCAGACAAACCTTGGCCACTAAAGTCATGCAGGATAGTGACGGTGGTCTGGCGGAGCTTCAGGGTATACTCATCATGCCTACCATAGAAAAAGTCAAAGGAGTCCTGCAAGATTTATTGGTTTGTACTTTTATTTTTACAAAAGCATTAGAGAAAGGATATTATTTTGCTCAAGAATGGAAGAATATAACTTAGATTATTAAATATAAACATGTATTATTTTTTAAACTATAACAAAGAATTCCACTGTTTCAGGTCTTTTTGCAGCCCGACTTATCGTTTAGCTTAAAGAATCAATTTCTACAGAGCTTCTGCGTGGACGAAGTGAGAGAGGGATTAGTCGTAGGTTTTCTACATCATCTCACGATTACGGCTGCTGGATTCTGCAACGGATCCGACGTGCCGAAGTTTCCACCTACTCTTTTGCTTCTGCTCAGCAAGATGTGCATCGAATACAAGGAGAACAACGTGCGATACTTGGTACTTAGAAAGAGAGAAACATTCTATCCTTTCTTCATCAGAATATCTTTTATAATGGTCAAAGAAGTACATGTACATATAATACACATCTTTCAATATCTTTATATATTCACACAGCTCACGACAACGGACGAGCTCTTCAGCATCGAACAGTATACATCGTCGGAGAACATTGTCACCACAGGGTCGGAGATGTGTGACTGCTTTCAGAGTGCAGCGCAGAACCTACTGAACCACTACGTGCGAATTCAAGGTCTAACAGTGTCGCAAATGTTGAGAAAGTCCGTAGAGACGAGAGATTGGTTGAACACGATCGAACCTAGAAACGTGAGAGCTGTGATGAAAAGGGTGGTTGAGGATGTGACGGCGATCGATTCACAGGTCGCCGCTTTGTACTATGACAATGAAGGTCAAGTTGACCGGAGTAGCGACAGCAGCAGAAAAACTCATAGGTACCATACCTGTTTCGGCTAGTTGATCCTTGGATTCTTCAAGCTTCAGTGTCAAGTAAAAAACACAAGATTTGCATGTTTTTTAGTGTCAGCGTATCGAGGCATCACTACAGATCCAATTGGTCGTCGTATACGCCCAGTCACATAGATTCCTCGCTGGCGACGAATATCCATAAGTTATTCTCTGAACGGATCGAGATCTTCTCATCTGTGAAGTTCAACAAGGCGTCTATTTTGACTGGTATCATCAAAATAAGCCTAAAGGTGAGCGTGAAAATTGCTGCTCTTACTGTTACCGTGGAGTAATACTTTTAGCAGACGATGTACGACGTCGCGCAATAATCGCTCAGGTGCTGCAGAGTGGACGCAATGACAAAATAGCACCGCCATTATCCACTTTGCCAAGCCGACTTATCTTCCCGCTTGTACAGCACAAACTCCACCATCGCTCGCTACGCAATATACTTCGTGCTTCTGCCATCGCTTGCAACAAGAATCGATTTTATTGTCGGATTTACCTCTGAATAGAGAATGCTCCTTGATTAATTTATTTTATACAAATATGCGATAAATCTTATTATCTCATGAATTTTTTTCACATCCGGTATGTAATCATTCTTTCACTATTTACCATGTATAGACTTTCCTCGAATGTGTGAGGCTGCGGACATTCAGCAAGTACGGTTTGCAACAGATCCAAGTGGATACACATTATCTGCAGCTTTACCTCTGGAGATTTGTTTCGGACGAGAAGTAAGAACTTGACTTTCTCGTCGACTTATTGTAAATCAACAAGAGGGAATTTTAATCGTTATTAATGCTGGCTTTGTTGCTTGCAGTGTGGTGCATTGTTTGCTGGATGAAATTCTGAGCAGTGCAGTGCACCGATGTCTGGAACCAGTCCTAATGGAGCCCAGTGTGGTGGATATTATTTGCGAAGGAGGCTAGACTATTATGTATATACGATTATAAATTATAAATAATTTTTAAATTATTCCCTAATAAGAAACTAATTTTTAAATTGATGTTATTGTAAGCAGCATGAATTAATCACTACTTGCTATAACCAAGACAAGTACGTTTGTACAATAAACATTAAAATTATCGAATATCAGCTTTGATATTAAAATCAATATTAACGTTAAGCGGTGGAACGCGCTAAAAAAAATATTTATTTACTATTTCTACTCTTTCTGAGAGCGTCAATTTTTCTCATTTCTATCTTCATCTTCTTCGTTTTAATCTCTGCTTTTATTCTTTTATTTTTCATTTTCTGTTTTACTTTGATTTTTTTCCGTTTGTTATAAAACTTATTATTCACCATTAGTCTGCTTCAAATTACCGCAATAAAAGACTCTCGATTTCACACGCTACGGTCCCTCCTTTTTCGTCTTCCTCCTCAATCATTCGTTGTCTTGTTCTCTCCTCCGATAGTTCCCACCTATCCATCTCGCTCGAGGTATAAAGCCATATATTAGGTTTAGTGCGATGTAAGAGGCAGGGTCAAACGATTTTAATAAGTCTTAATTCTTCGCCACATATTCTGCACTTTCGAACATTTTCGTCGAGCTCGCTTTATTTAATTTTTCCTTACGCACGTCACCTGATTATACCTCTTTTTGTATATCACAGATTTCTATTCACTTTTTGTTCATTCTACCTTCGCTCCACTCATTTAACTCTTAACAAAAAATATAAACAACTACAAATAATTACCGTGATGATTACAACGACAGTATGTTTATTCTACAATTAATTTTTCGAAATGTAACTGATCGATGAAAGGCGACGAAAACGAAAGACAGAGGGGAGAAAATTGCAATGGAATGAATGCGAGTTTGCGAGGAGAGCGAGAAAGATAGAAAACTCATAGCCGTTTGACAGTGGCTCGCTCGACTTAATTCGAACTTCCTCTCTCGGGATGAGATTCATTCGGCGAGTATCCGGCGTACGGGCCCACGCAGCGCATTCTACCCAATTTAATCGACTCCTCTCGGAATCGCTCGTTGCTCGCTGGGGTCTACCGAGTTTTTTCTCCGTCCTGAGTTTCCCTGAAAATACAGCCTTCCTCTAATACGCCGTGCAATCGATAAAATTCTTAACAAAAAATCTAGAAAGAAAATAAGAATCCGTACCGAATTAGCTACCTTGTGCATATCTGTGCATATTTGCAAACACATTCTATTATACGGGACGACAATAGAAGGTAAATTGAGGTAAAAGCTCGAGATGCTAAGGAGACATCGTGGGCGAAGATTCGCGAGAAACCCGGCAGCAACTCAACATGCAGAGAGCAGAGATCTCTGACGAACAAAAAGGCGATATCGAAGCCGAGCAGACGAAGCGTAGCAGACACACATGTGGTCGGCACACGTGATATCCCAAGAAACACCTGTGCATGTGTAACTTCGTCGGTAATTTCCCCGGTGGCATTCCGCTTGAAACCGTTGTGCCACATAGATATGATGACGTGTCGAAGCGTATCGTTAGTAATGTGAAGCATTCATATGTCGCGCGATCAGAATAAGTCCGTAATTATTTTGATAACACGCTGCGGATGGATTCCAAGTGGAGGACAACAACACGGTCAATAATATCGGAGCGCATTACATTTGCATGACAATTGCAAATTGCACGCGCGACATGTATAACATTCTCCGAAGAGTGAAAATGTTGAGTAAATCTTGACGAGTACGGGCTAATTAATCCCGCCTTTGTTGGAGGCCCCGCTAAAATAACGTAAGTGCATCAATTTATCAATTATTATTATTATTCGAGGAGAGGCTCGCGGTAGTTTCGAAGAAAAGTACGCGGTGCTCGATTACATTTCGCGAAAGACAATGCATGAACAGGGGAGGAAGGGAAAGAATGGACATTGTGCACCAATTTCGTTTCATTTCAGTAAAATAGACCCGCATGGGAATGCCACGATGTGCTCGGTGAGCCTCGTGAAATCGCCATAGAATCCCGAAGCACTCGAGAATAAGGGCGTAGTTTTTGTTTCTCCTTGACAACCCAGATGACTTTAGGGACGAATAATAAATTTATAAAAATCACTATTAATTGCTGAACCGTCTGCTTCCTCAATACCGCTCCCTCGTTTATTATTTCAAGTTAAATTCCATCGGTTACTACTAAATAAGATATTTTTTTCACTCGCGTAAGTAAAAAAAAAATGCTGACCTGATGAAACTCGTTGTATCGCTATATAAATGTTTGGGGTCCCGCGGGGAACCATCATTTACTGTGCGATGAGAGCTGAGCGCGCAAATTTTTAACAGTCTGATCGATCGCTTTCAAACGTTTCCAATTTGTAAATTATCGCAGCCTCGGCAATTTCTCTTCTCACTAAACATATTTAAATGTTTACCCGCTTGTCACAGTTGTGTTTCAGGTTTTAAGAGAGGTGGCTCCGACTCTGCGACATATCAAGAAAGGAAATTTACAGATATTAGAGATATTTCGGTTTGTGACCGTAACAATGGGCGAATACTACACACGCTCGTTGCTGCGTTCACAAATCTAACTATCCCTTTCACGTCTACCAATCTCCTAATTGTAAAGAGATCGACGTGCGTTCGATGAAGTCGGTCAATCGACAAAATTCAAGCGAACGGACAAATTGTCTCATCTACGCGTTAAGTAGTTGCGCCGAAGGCGATGATCGAAAAAATTCACCTCGGTGCGCTACTTGTCACGTGGTTCGAGCACGCTCAGCGATGTGAAGAGTCGGCGGCTTTTCGGTTTCTCGAAATCCCTCTTTCAATTTTCACGAAGAAATATGTTGTATTTTTCGTATATATTACAGTAGCTAGCATATTTAGTATGTAGAAATATAGAGTGAAATTTTGAGGAAAAGTTCCGTAGTTATCTGAATTTAATTTCCGACACGGATGTTTCGACCTAACTTCCGCTTTTTCGTTTTAGTTTCAACAGCTCATCGTGTTACAAGATGAGGTGCATTATAGGATCGTATGAGAGCGCGCAATCTCGTCGCGGGACTCGAACGAGAGCCTCGCTGGCCCGGTGAATAGTTTGATAACGGCGAGGGAGGTGCGAGGACCACAAAAGAGAGCGGTAGCGAGGGAAGAGAGTAGGATCATCATTCGTCGTCGGTTGGCGGGACCATTCAGTGCCGCGACCGACACTGATTTCAATTGGTAAATTGACTCGCAACGAGGGAGAGGAAAAAATGGCGGCACGGTGACTGGCGATGACGTCGCGGATGGAGGGGAAAGTTGATGAGTAGTGGGGCGGGAGGGAGGGGGAAGGGATGACTGGGGGTCCAGCATCACAGAGGATGACGAAGATGACGGAGAAAAAAGAAATCAACGAGCGATGAGCGAGAAAATGAAGGAAAGAGAAGAGAGACCTTGCGATGAAACGTAATTAATGCGAGGACAAAGGAACGAAAGGGAAAGAGGAAAAGTCAGATTTGCAAGGGCAAAAATGTCCTCCAGCTTCGAAACAAAAAGCACGAAACAAATGGAAAAGGAGGGGAAAGTAGAGGTGAGAAAGTAGAAGGAGTCTCTAATGTCACTATGTCCCAACCCATGGTAGCAAAGAAGAAGAAGAAGAAGAAGAAGAAGAAGAAGAAGAAGAAGAAGGATGAGGGAACACACCGGGGACAACGGAGCGACGGTGGATCTCTTCTCTCTCGACAACGGGAGCTGCGGTTAATAGGCAGTGAACGCCGTTTGAATGCTTAATGCGGCGCGCTTCTAGGATTAAATTGACCAATCATTTCCCGCGCGACGCCGCGCACCGCGGTGGCCAATTGCGCCGCGCGCGTCCCACTATATCAAGACAATCAAGAGCATTTAGCGCTCAGTCGTTGCCGCGTCACCGCGCCATGCGTTTCGGATATTTCAGTTTGTTCCTCATTCTTTCCCGTTCGCGTTCGCGCAAGGATGTACGTAAAACGCGCGAGCGCGCGCGCGGGGAACGCAGCTACGATGCGCAATCAGTGAACGAACGGACAGAGTGAAGGAATGCACGTGAGAAGTTAATTAATTCGTAATGACGACGGTATCGGTGAGAGAAAAGGAGAGAATTCCGGTCGATGTATTTCCGCGGAATTCTGTTCAATGTTCGTACGAAATTCGTTCGCTCCTCCTAAAATCCTCGATTGATTCGGCGACTCTCTCAATCCTCGACGAATCCTTGAATCTTGGAGCCGTGAGATCGATCTGAAATATTATGTTTAATATTTTTGCAACAGTTACTTTTTCCACAATTATTAAAATATACTATAGAAAATTACTGTAGAAACTTAAAAAAACATATAAATGTACGGATGAGATTTTAGATAAACATCGAGGTATTGTATAATTTAATCACAAAAAGGAATTTTGATACTCAAAATAAAGTATTACATTATGCACGACGCGTCAAAGGGTTAAAGGTTACGCGGTTTCCTGCAATTGTCTCATGAAGCGGAGGAAGTTGTTGGACATAGCGTAAAATGATTGCGGTAGTAATTGAACACAAGGAAAAAAACGATGATCATCTTCTGTTAAAATTCCAAAAAATAATGACTTTATATTTTCATTTATTATTTAACGTTTTAGCATTGAATTCATGATGTTATATAATGTCTGGAAAAATTCATGAAAAGATCAGTGAAAAATTGTGTTAAGCAAAGATCGTGAATTTTATTTGCACCGGGTACTTGATTGATCTGCCGGTAAGAGGAATCGATATTATGTAATTTAAAATACGACTGACCTCATATCGGTATTATTAAGGAAAAATTCTTTCTCTCTAATTATTCAGAAATTATTTTTAAAATTTATCCGTCTGTCTCGCTCGAGTGAAACTTTCATTCTCGACAAAATACATTTTGTAATTGTAAGACATACTTCGTTATTCTGGAAATTTATGCATAATGTATTCTGCTCTCAGCACCAAGACATTTATCACAATGACTTCTTGACCTCGCACGAATGATAGTATAATGTATAGAACACACGAGAAAGGAGAAACAGATACGGACGACTAGGGTCAAAATACCAGTAACACATTCCGTCTGTAGCCCGCGAAAAGTAGGTGAGTCAGAAGGAAAACAGGCATTCTTCTGCTGCATTTAAATTAAATTCTATAGACGCAACATAAAACAGGAAATATAATCTGACGCATAAACTCTCATCTTTATACACAAAACATGTGTTTAATTTTTAACAAATAAAAGAGTGTGCAAAAGATAAATAGCTCAATGCTTAATAGATAAAATTAAAATCATATTTGGAAGAATCTTAATCTTAGAAAACGGGAACAAGCAAATAATATAAAATTCTAATTCTTCGAAAAATAGAAGTTTTAAGAAACACACTAATTGAATGATGTATTATTGGTGAAATAAATCCAGCGGTTCATTAATAGAAAACAAGACATTACTTTCCAGAATTACGTTATTATTCTTAACATTATTGTCGCAAATTTACTCTATATTTTTCGAATCTGATATGTGCACCACTGACACATCATTAAATATACCCGCAGACGAGTCATTTTCGAATCGAGGGGGACAGCGTTTGACGAAGAGGGACCAGCGACATTAACGAGAATTAACGTTAATTGACATCCCTCCCCCTTATCTTATCCCACGACTGGCTCTCCCTCTTTTTGCCGTCTCTCGTTTTTTCGCGTCTTTGCTACCACCAACGCCGAAAGAGCCAGCCGTTCCGTTTACAGGGTGTCCTATTATAAAATGACTAATCAGAAATTAACTTTAAAAATATTTTCTTAAAGATATGCAGAAGACACTACTTTTAAACCACTTTACGTATGGGGGAGGGAGGATCGTATGCATGTTGTGTGAGTGTGTGTGTCTGTGCGTGAATCTGTAATATTCGACGATGTCTCTAATCCTCTCTGGCGAGTGATTAAAACTTAATCCGCGAGCGATGTTAAAACATAATAATGAACAACGCAACATATGCACTGCTGTGCATTATTAATCCTTTCATCAGTCATTAAGAAAAAGAAAATTAAGATCGTATTTATATTTGTTTTATAATATTTATGGTTTTATCTTCGTAATCCTTTTGAATTAACTTTCATCATTATTATAATATTTCTATCTCATTTATACATGTAAAAATGAAAATTACAAATTATATCATTTACCTCTTATTGTCTTTATAAGTTTCTTTAATGCATATTTTATGTGTCCTTTATTATCTTATTAATTTGCGTTATTCTTAATTTTAACTATTTTATTCCCATGGTTTTAACGTTCTATGCAGTTTTAACGGATAATCCTAGCAGTTAGTGTTTCGTTCTTACTAAGCTGTGAGCGATGAATAGAACGTTAGTAAAACGAGAAATGCGTGCCGGACAGAGACAGAAAGAGAGAGAAAGACACGCGGAGAAATCAAAGATTCGATTGTACCTTCTCTCCCTTCACTCTCTTCCAGCTTTCGTCTTTGTCATATTACCAGGTTCCGAGCTTATTTCATTTTTTTAACATCATACGGCAACTTAGATCTATGATGCATGTACAAAACCTATAAATTTTATTCAAAACACTATCATCGTTTATTATTAGTAATTAATTAGCCCTAATAATATATAAATACAAAAGTCCGGGAACAAAATTAGAACTGTAAATTGTCACTTAGATGATGTTGCTTGAAACGAATTAATACATTTTCATATGTCACAGAATTAATTCATAATATTAAAGTTTTTACTTTTGATATATAAATACATATTTTTGTGTAATATATTTATATTGAATTATAAAATATCGAGGTGAGAAGAGATAATGTGATAATCGCGATGATAACGTGATAACACGCAACAGGTCCCATCTAAAAGCAGACTCGTAAGGGTGGAAAAGAAAAAGAATGGGAAACGAAGAAAAGGGGACGCGGGAGGGCAATGAATGTAAGGGGATTTGTGCGATACAGTGGGCGACTTTAATGATTTCTCGAGGTTGTTTCAATAGAGTACGACTGTCCGCTGTTGCATCATTGCTACGTACCGGGTGTACGGAATAATTATATTCTTATTTTATGCATAAATAGGCTACTATTTCTCATGTTTCTCTAAAATTTTCAATGACCAATTCTTTGGTTTTCCGTATCTATTATTATATCCGTATTATATTATGTAAATTTTATGCTTTTTATATTTTTTATATCTCTCCTTTTACTAAGTATATTTTGTATTTGCAAAACATACTTTTACCAAGTATATTTTTGTATTTATATTCTCCTTTTACCTTTCAACAGTGTGCTTTTGTATTTATTTTGTTACCAAGTATTTTTATATGTCTTATATAGTCTTATTATTTATAATTTGTAGAGAATTATGTTTTATCTTATATTTTGTTTGCAGAGGAGATGCATTGAGGAATGATCCTTCCAAGAATTCATTAGAAGAAGCGAATCGAGAATGTCCTGTCCTGTTCCTAAGTACTAGTGCCGCAGGAGTGATTAGGCTGGGCAAGACGTTACCGTATCTCCTGCTGCTCAAGTGCTTATCAACGGGTCTGGACAGCTATCAACTTTTGCCAGATCACAATTTCGGAAGTGATGAAAGCTTCAGAGATGCTCCTTTTGTTTCTTTTTGATTTCACATCAAGAGAACTGTAAAATATATTTAATAAAATACATGTGATTTTTATATATATAAACCAACATTACATTTCATGATATAATTATAATAATATTATATTACAGCGTCTATTTTGCATTTTCTTTTGCATTTCTGAAAATAGCAAAATTTATTCTATTAAATGACAAATTGAAATTCACAAATTTATTTTGAAATTTATTATGAAGATAAAAATAAAACAAATGTATCAATTTATATGTTATTTTTGTTAATAAAACGTGTTGGTATTATCTTCTACAATAATTATTTTATGTATGGCAGAAAAATGGAGATGTTTGTATAAAAAATATACTCTATCCTAACATCAATGCCTCTCTTCACTTCCACTTACAAGTAAATTTTCATCAAAAATGAATTTCATTTAAATTATGTACCTGTGTATGTACTGTTGTGTTTGTATCAAACTTCAATTCAATATTACATTAACAATAGACTCAATTCTTCGTACCTGTTCCTACCATTTGCAGTGTCCATCGCAATTATCATAGCGTCTTGCATGCAATGGCATGAAGTTCAACAAGAAACAAAAATTGCATCGCGTATGTCGTAGACTTCACAGTGAAATAAGTACGCGATTCATAACTAATTCCAGTTCACTTAGCGCACAAGCGCGCGCGACTTTTGCATTTTCATCCGCCAATCTCAAAGCGACGCTCTCGAGCTACGTTTAGGGAAAAGTTGAACTATACGTTGGTACGATAGATGGCGTTACAGGCATCGCTAGTTACCGCGATGGAGGAAATTGGGCGGCGCTGAACCGTATGCGTGTGGTGAACGCGGGTGCACACATCCGGGGATGCTCCGTGAGCGCAGCATTGGTGGCGTCGTGTACTCTTCCGTTCGCGCAGAGACCCTGCATGCCTGTCTGCCTGGTGCCTGGGACTGTCTGTGTGTGTGACATTTTTTTCTTCGGAAGTGCCGACTGACTGACCACCGAGTTCTCTACCACCAACGTGCAGGATGTTTACCCGGCTGGCTGGCCGCCGTCAGCACCGCGCCCAGCAGCAGCCCGTTATCACCGCCGTCACCGTCGTCGTCGTCGCTGATTCCGCTGCCGCGCGCGCGCCCGCCATGAGAATCGTCGCGTCGCTGCTGCCTTATCACTGACTTGTCGCCGTTGCCGCCGCCGCTGTCGTCGTTAGGTACGTGGCCCGCGCACAACTCTGAAACGGCGCGCTCTGGCCTTCGCGCGTCTGTTTACGTGTCATTGAGAGTGCACGTTCTACCGTTCAACGTCATCTTGATCATCCTCGTCGCCGTCGTCGGCATCACGATACCTTCCCTCCCCCCCTTTCTGTCGCTCGCGCTTTTCTCTTCTCGAGGACGACGAGTCTCCTGACCCTCCTGAACATCGTCGTGTTTCCTTCTGCCGCAGAAGGGGATTGCACTGGGACTCCATAATAACTGTGATCTTTCTGAATCCTGATATGAATTCAAGGATTAGGGACCCATTTTTGGACAGAACTTCTCCCAGGCTCCCAGTTGTACCTAAATGGGATACTTTGCATTGGCTATGACCTGTGGAAAGTATCTTGTGATCTACTCTGTATATTACACAGCTCAGTTGGTTTAGTATCTCGGTTCTTGAAAAATATATCTTGTAGTTGGAATACTTTATAGTTTAGTCAACTTAGTTCAGCAAAATTTATCGTATCAGTTTTAAAAGGATATTATATGATTAAGACATTGTAGTTGGTTTTTATAGAGTCTACTTTATCTATCACTGTTATGTCAAATATTATATTTCAACAGATTAAACAGATTTGTCCAGAAAGTGCCATGGATGATGAGGAGCGTCTTGATGGTGAAGAAGAAATGGAGCTGGACGAAGCTTCCGACGGTGAGGACGACGATGAGGAGAGCACAGGTATTCCTGTGTCACCAGCCAATTCGGACCAACTGCTCGGACAGACTCCAACTCCTGGTAATGATTAATAACCTGAAATTTTGTTATTGTTTAGAAAAGTAATAGATATTACAGAATTTTGAATTATATAATTAGATCTATAGAAATAATTTTAATTAAAGAGGTTCAGATTTATTTATTTTTCTTTTTAGTTACACCAGAAGAAGGGTTTCCCGATCCATTGCGGTATCAGAAGTTTCCTTTGACAGGAGGGAAACCTCTGAACATCCGACGTGGACCTGGGAGGCCTAGAAAAGAACGTCCTCCTGGCATCACCCGTGGAGGAGGCACCAGGAGATCTTTTGGCAGAGGTGGTGCAAGAGGCAAAGGGTTAGTTTATTATTTATTGTAACAATATTATATTATGCACACATACATACGTACAATAGCATACAATAATATAAATCATATAAGAAACTTAGTAGTCTTATATGTTATAATTGGGAAATTAATTTCTAAATTATATTAGTATAAAGTAAAAGAAAATTTTAGATTTATATACATATATATGTATAATATTTTATTTTTATCTACGAATGTATACATTTTGAAAATTATATTAAAAAAATATTGCAAAATATACATATCCGTATACTATTTCTATTTTTACTCAGTTTGGGCTATGCAAGAGGTGTACCACGTCGTACCAAAAGTAAGGATGAGGACACACACTCGGAATCACCAAGCCCTTTACGTACTGGGGACGATGCTACTCCTGACGGCGAGTCAAGTGCCGAAAGATCAATGCCAGCTCCTGAAGAACCTCCTTACTTTCCCGAACAATGGTAGTATCTCCTATGAAGACGCACATTATTTATATAAAATTAAGTAGTAAAAATCTGCTATTCTAATCTGAAAGGATAAAGTCAATTTTGAAAGTATTACATCAATATGTAAATATAAAGAAAAAAATCGTTTTTTTATTTGCAGGCCAGGAAAAGTTTGTGCGTTATGCAACCTGGGCGAAAGGAGTCAGTTGGGACAAGGTGAACTCTTACGATTGTCGTGTCCATCGGGCTTCACGCCAGAGAAGTCGACGAATCGTGATGAGAACACCACCGCTGAGCTTCATCATATAACGGATGTCGTCGTTAGTGGCGACAAGAGTCCGCGCGCTGCTACTGCTGGACCTGGAGCCGTTACATGTCGCCGGCAAAAGAGTTTAGCTAAGTGCAGGTATACGAAAGTTACATTATTTGAATACACATATGCTTTTCCTTCTCAAAGTATAGATATATATTTGCCTTTTTATCCTCATTTATCTTAGGAATACTAGTCTGACGAATTTTTCGGAGCCGGTGGAGGAATTGACGATCGTGGGCTACTCGGAAGAACCGGAGCTGGCTACACTTTTCGAGACGACAGGTCACTATTACGTTCACCAGTCGTGTGTGATCTGGTCCAGTAACAGTCAAGAACTAGCGCCAGAACTGACGAGTCGTGCCGTCGTATCGGCTTCGTCACGACGTTGCGCTTATTGCTCACATTACGGGGCTGGAATTCCTTGCAAAGTAAGTCACCTTCAACTGAGCAACTTTTTTGAATTCCAAGTTATTTTAAACAGATGAATGCAAAAGTTTGAATAGATTTTGTAATAAAAAAATAGATTAAGTAATTTTATTAAAAACGATTTATTTATTCTATCAGATAATCGTCATTGTTTTCTATTATCTTTGACATATCATATATCTATATATTTGTAATTAATGCTATAAAGCTAGATCAGTAACATTTTTGACCTACTCATCCAAACTTTTGCCTTCTTTCGATATATCTTTTATTATAATCATACAAGATAATTATTAAGAAGGAAATGTTGATAGGAAAAATCAAAATAAACTATCATGTAGATTATAATAATTTTATGCGTGTTCCTGAATAGTGAGAAATCCCATTGTAAAATAAATAAATGACGATATTCAACAGGTGGCATCGTGCAATCGTTATTTTCATTTCCCGTGTGCCGCAGCCTCCAGTTGTTTCCAGGATACTAAGAGCTTGTCTCTTTTTTGCGGTCAGCATCTGGGTCAAGTTCCACTTTTGCGTAAGTTTCTTTCAAGATTTTTTCTTTGATGTTATTTATGTAGTAGTACATAATTCTATGGAAAATTATAATACAACTTAGATTGAAAGGGGCTCTGAACACCATGATCTAAAGTATTTCTGATATTTTTGTTGATAAAGTATCTAAGAGAAAAATTGCGAATCTCTGTTAGATTTATACTAAAATTGTCGTAAACTTGACTATTGCAGTGAATGGAGATATAACTTGCGTGCAATGCTATGGAATGGGCGACGTATCGAATCTGGTCATGTGTTCCATCTGCGGCCAACACTATCATGGCAGTTGCGTAGGACTGGCGTTGTTGCCTGGAGTCCGTGCTGGTTGGCAGTGCGTGACTTGTCGCGTGTGTCAAGTGTGCCGACAACCAGAGGATGTATCCAAGGTTTGGAAAATCATTTCATTCATAACTTTTTTATAGTTAAAATTTAAAGATTTGGATTTCTATTGACCTCTCTCCTGTGTTTGGCGACAGGTAATGTTGTGCGAACGCTGTGACAAGGCTTACCATCCTGGCTGCTTGCGTCCAATTGTAACGTCCATTCCAAAATACGGCTGGAAATGTAAATGTTGTCGTGTTTGCACTGACTGCGGTTCTCGCACACCTGGTGCCGGGTTATCTTCTAGGTGGCATTCTCACTACACAGTGTGCGACTCCTGTTACCAACAACGAAATAAAGGTTTCTCCTGCCCTCTCTGCAGAAAAGCGTATAGGTAATAAAGCCGATATTTAGCATGTTTTATTCATTATTGCTATCATGATTCCTATTTTATGCGTGTTATCATTATTATTCATCATACCATCCACAGAGCCGCAGCGTATCGCGAGATGGTACAGTGCAACATATGTAAGAAATTTGTACACGGTACATGTGATTCGGAGGCCGACCCGGCTGTGTACCAACAACGCAAAGAGGCTAAGCCGGATTACGAGTATGTGTGTCTACATTGTAAGAAGAATGTGGCGGCCTTTGCGCGTCGCAAGGACAGCATGGACGAATGCGGCAGCGTCGCTATCAACAGTGACCAGAGTACATCTCAGGATAACCTTTTTTACGGAGGTGCTCCTCGTAGTCCACGGAGTGAGTCCTCGGAGCTCGATTGTCAAAGTGGCGGCGCCGACGAGGCGCTCTATTCCGTTGGCCTCGGAAAGGGCAAGCCTTACTATGCTAATAAGATCGCGAAGAAGAGACTAGGCCTTGGTCTGGGACTAGGAAGCGGCGGCGGCTGTGTCGGTAGACCTAAGGGTGTTGGCAAGCTCGGTTACCAAAAACGCCAAAAAATGACTGAATTTGGAAGGAAGAGGGGTCCTAAAGCGAAGATGAGGGGCATTTTTGGCGTTCCTGGAGTAGGTTTACAGGTATGTCTCAATTGGTTAGCTATGTGTCAATAACATTAAGCTATATTTACTGGCAACTTATCAAACCACTTACTAATTGTACAAACTAATTGCTAATTTTGAAATAAATTAGCAAATATTTCCGATATTTCAGCGTCCGATGTCAGATTCTTTCTCAAAAGAGGATGAGCCCGGGGTGGAAAACCGCCTGGTCCTCTGCTCAGCCAAAGACAAGTTCGTGCTAACTCAGGACATCTGTGTAATGTGCGGCGCGATCGGTACCGATCAGGAAGGCTGTCTGATCGCGTGCGCACAATGTGGCCAATGCTACCATCCGTACTGCGCCAATGTTAAGATCACGAAAGTGGTCCTGCAGAAGGGCTGGCGCTGCCTCGATTGTACCGTCTGCGAAGGTACTTTTTTGATCAATTATAATATGTTCCTTTATATAAATTATATGTTATCTTCTTTTCTTTAAATTATTTACATTCAATTTGGATTTTCTTAGAATTGCAAGATTGTGTTGTTTCAAAAGTGACATATTTACTCGATATCTCTTTTATTTTCTGTAATATAGAAACTAAATTCTTAATATTAACATTGAATTAATAATAAGATTTAGACATCAGTCTGTATTTTTCGATCATACTTAGCACCCTCGGTACACTGCAGGTTGCAAATAATTGAAATTATTTGTACACGAACGATTATCTAAAACGCACGAGCTTTTCAATGTTAGTTGACAAATTGCAATCTCTTGTCTCCGCAGGTTGCGGAGAACGAAATGATGAGTCACGTCTGATTCTGTGCGACGAGTGCGACATCAGCTACCACATCTACTGTATGGATCCACCGTTGGAACACGTGCCCGAAGGAACGTGGAAGTGTAAATGGTGTGCTCAGTGTCAGACTTGTGGTTCCAACGACCCAGGTTTCAACAGCTCCTGGCAAAAAAGTTATACCCAATGCGGTCCATGCGCCTCTCACAGTGCATGTATCGCCTGCCAGGAGACTTATCAGGAGGGCGATCTTATTATTCAATGTGTGCAATGCGAACGTTGGTTGCACTGCACTTGTGATTCCATCAAGAGCGAAATGGAAGCCGAACGATGCGCCGAGGAAGGATACATCTGCCTTCTCTGCCGTCCAAGAGACGTGCCGCCACCTCATCTTCTCTGTGTACAGCCTAAGATTCAGCCAAAGTATACCAGGTTCGGAAAATGAAAAATAATTTATTATAATACATTCAATTTGATATTTAATTGATTAACAAGTTTAGCATCTGTTTTGCTCTAAGTTGCGGACATTTTCTGAGATAGATCACTAACCTAGCTTCATTAATTTCATATCGAAAAATGATTATGAAATTATGCTTTTATTTTTTGTTTTGTTTTGTTCATTTCTCCTTACAATCGGGTTTATCATTACACCTTACATGTATATACTTATATATATATCATATTATATACATATTAGATCTCCACCACCCGCAACTCAAAGCCCAGAACTCTTCAAACCTTCTACTCAGCCACATTTGGTCGATGGAGTATATCTCTCCGACGCTGGAATGAATCACATAAAATCTTTGACGTCGGAACATCAGCAAACACGGAAGAAGAGAAGAAAGATGTTACCTTTGGTAGACAAAGAAGCTGACATCATGGCGACAATCGAGTCCGTTGTTGCCGGTGGTAGTCTAGATAATTCTTTAGAAGGCGAGGGCGGAAAATTAGAATTGGTGGATGTAAAAGACGAACCAGCCGAGGTAAAAGAAGGCACAGTATGGACGGCGGATCAACCACCTCCAGAGGGCTTTAGCGTTTGCACATCAGAAGCGGGTCTACCGGTATTGCGACGGAAACGTCAACGGAATTTGCAAAAATTGGGTATCGGAGGTTTCAACGCCCGTTTCCGTACCCGAAAGGATAAGGAAGAAGAAGGCATTGATCTCGAGAAGCAAGGAGAAGCATGGATTCTTATTCTCAGGTCAGGAGAACCTGAGAAACCAGGAGGCCCAGTGCTAGAATCCTCGATTGTTGGGGTGGGAGACGATAAACCCCGCCGAAAACCGCAACGTCGAAAACCGAAACCCAAATTGGCCGAGTGCTTTCCTCTTTATATGCAGGAGGCGTTCTTCGGCAAGGACCTGATGGACACCACGAAGGATAAAGATCTAGAGAGCAGTAGTGAGTCCGAAGGCGAACGTAATGTTCCTGGAAACGCTGATACCATTCAATTATCGCAAGACGAGCTCAAAGCGATGGAACAAGTGAAGGCCAAACAAGAGAAGGAGGATGATCAGAAGTTGGTGGTTCCAGAGCAAATTAAGAGAGAAGAAATTATGGAGGATGAAGGTAGTGACACAGAAGCACTTGGAGATATCTTGCCAATTTCAGGTGATCTATTGGATAATGATTTGGTGAATACTATAATGAACGAACCGGATGAAGATCTGGCAAAGGCTAGCGAGGCTTTGGACGAATTGGACGACGCGCAAGCGCCCAGCAAGGACGAGTTGACGGATATTCTGAGCCCGCATTTTACTCTGGAATCGATGGTCAGAGACACCGGTAAGTATCTTTAAATGAAAGAAAGAGTTACACAAGGATCGGTAAATAAATTATTTGTGTTGGGATCATATATTGGTCTTTTTGGTTTGAATCTTAATCGATTTAATGAAACTGAATGTTCTAATCGGTTATTTTTCTTTCAGGACTTCCAAATATGGACAGCAAAGATATCGAGGAAATCTTTAAAGGTGTGCTAACCGACGAGTCGCAAGAGTCCCAGGAGTCATCGGTGTTTTCCGTTCAAGCTCAGGCCTCGCATCCATCCTCGTCCACAACACCGTTGGTGTCACCATCTCCTCATCCTGGTAAGCTTATAAGAGCAACTATCACATTTTCCTTCTTTATTGCATTTAAATACATTTTATAATTTGTACATGCGGTATTTTTATAAAAATATTTATAAAATAACATACACAAAACTGTAATCGTGATATAAATCGCAAGTACTGTGTAATCGACAAGAATTGAACAATATTGCATTATCTTGGTTTCAAATTTCAGTACATAGTCTACTGGTTTAAAAGATTATAATTAATTAAATTATGACAACAAATTGAAAGGAGATTTTTTTAATAATATTTTTATGTAGGTATTCCAACGGCAATGCCCTTAGTTAGACCCCAAGTGCCTGGTACTTTATCCTCTGTTGGACAATCAAATCTTAATTCGCCTATGAGTTTTCCACCGCCTTCCCCGTATCATTCTGAATATAGCAAGTAAGTACTAAAATTGTAATCAATCGAAAATAGTATAAAACTAACTTAAAATTCTTATTAAAATTTTGACTACACACAATTAAGACATAAAGTGCTCATTACAAATTAAATCGAGATGTTAAATGGAATTTCACAGTTATCTTATGGCAGCTCAGATTTATCATTTTAAAATATATAAAAACTATATATAATTAATAATAATAATAATAAATAATATCTAATAATTGGTAATAATTTAACATATTTATCTTATTTTTAATTCTTATGTTTGAAATGACAATTATATATACTTTAGGTTTATCCTTAAAATTATTTCACGTGGTGTTCTTGCAGTAGTCCACAATTCAGTCCCGCGTTCTCCGAACCGCCCAGTCCATGGGTGAACCCCGAGGACGAAGGCAATGCTCCCGCGAGCAATGCTACCATCTCGTACAACCAAAGAAGTAACCTGAAGATGGAAGCCGACGAGGCATTGGGTATACACGCAACTATATCATCCGTACTCTACGCCAATATCAATCATCCTGAGTGGAAAACCGAGTATCCAGCCTGGTCTGAAAGATGCAAGCAGATCTTGAAGAAGTGGCGAGCATTGCCGAACGAAAAAAAGGCTCCGTACCTTACCCAGGCTCGCGATAATCGTGCTGCTATCCGCATGAAGAAAACGCAACAGGTAACTAGATTACTTTACACAGTAGAACGACAAAAGACGAAAAAAGATGTACTGACAAGGTGTATACAAGGTGTTTCGCAACTGTCGCTCTCCCATTCTCACGTTTGGTTTAAACTTATATTTTAAAAGGGTCTTGATTATGGATGCTAAATAATTCGACGTATAGTTTTTTTCGTATAGCTTTCTTGTTTGTCTTTTATATTTTTAAGATTGAGAAGAATTTATAATCGAGTAATGCGACCGTTCGGAACATTTTGTATCTCCAAAAACGTTCATGGGGTTTCATCCTCGATCGTGTCTTGTGCTAACACGTAAGTGAGACTAACAGCTCGACCTCTGTGTGTCACAAATCACGTATCCATTGTGAATTTCAGGCTAGTCTTCTTACAGTATTCGAGGGAGATAGAGAGAGAAAAAAATTTATGCTCATTATAAAATTTAAAGTTTTGAATTTATTTATAAATTATTACTAAATTATATTATTTTTTAATTTTTAGATATCTATTAATAGATTATTAATAGATATCTAGATTTATCCAAATTCTACATTCATTTAAATTATCTAAACGGTAAATTTGTATCATTTTATTTTAATTATTATAATCTGATAATTAATTTAAAATGTAACATCTATCTTCCGCGAAGATAATTTTAACGAAATGTTTGTGTAGCAAAGCTATCACAGTTAGGACTTTATAGTAGATCCGAGTTGTTTGTGTCTAAATGTAAAGGAAAATAATAACTCTATATAAACGCTATAAGCAATATTATAACGGATTGAATATAAATAGTTCCGTCGCCGATTTTACTTTTGTTAGATTTACAAATATAACTTTTACTGTAGATGGACGATATACGAGCAAGAATAAGTAAAAATCCCACAGTTAGAAATTCATGATCGCATCTCTCATATAAATTTTATTGTAAGCTAGTAGTACTGTAATTAGTAGTATAATAAGTCCCATTCAAGCTCATATATACACAAGATTGAACATGAATGGGTCTTTTATGTAGTGGATCTAAATGAGGTGAAAAGGGACGTTTCACACTGACTCACTCTACATTCCCGATATTTAGAAAAAAAGAAGTAGATACATTTGTGGAATTTATCATAAAAATATTCATAGATGGTCATAAAAAATTCAATATCATAAAATTCACACTGACTCACTCTACATTCCCGATATTTAGAAAAAAAGAAGTAGATACATTTGTGGAATTTATCATAAAAATATTCATACATGGTTTTAAAAAAGAGGTGAATAATTATAAAAATCTTGGATTTGTAAAACTACATAAATCAAATATATAGATCTGCATTATCTATAGTCCTTTTCAATCATTGTGTACATAGACACATAATCATATAATTATAATATATAGTGTTTAAAAAAAGGGTTTAGGATTTAAAAGGCAGATAATCCATTTTGTGACTATCTGCCCTTAAAATTTTGAACTCTCTATTTAAACATCGTGTATGTGTAATCTTTTATTAATTCAATTTATTCAAGTTAAAACTCAGGATTTTGTTGATTCATAGAGAGTTGTAAGCAACACAAATTTATAGATTCACAAAAGAATGTAAAACGGATCCTGTTATCATCTCTGACTCATTTTTCTTGAATTGGCTTTATATATGTGCAGCAATTAAAAACACGTCTATGAAGCATCTAAATCACACGAAGTAAACTCGTAGACTTGCGAGTCCGCAGACCAGTACAAATTCATATAGATCCCACCTTTGTATTTTACGTCTTTCTCACAATTACGTGGAACTGAATGTGTCACATGTGTATGCTAACGATCGACTCATCGTCTCTCAATGCGTGTCCCATCTCGCCTCGTTCGGGCCCATTATATCATTCTTCACGTACAGGGTGTTTCTCGTGCATTCGAGTTCTCCAACAAGACAAATTGATAAATAATAGAATTTGTTTCGTTAACATACTGAGATACCGATTATCTTCTACGATATGCAATTGCCGAGTATCAAACGTAAAAGAAGAGAAGAGAACATCTAGTTGCACGAGAAGCATCTTGTATGGACCGCGTCGTATGAACGAGGACCACCACCAGCGGCCGCTGTTGACCCGACAGCTCTCCAAGGACATTTCACCGAGCACCACCACCACCACCACCACTACCACCAACATGACCACCACCACCACCACTACCACCACTACCACCACCACCACTACCACCATCACCACCACTACCACCACCAACCCCGCGACTGCACCTGGTGCCGCCAACATCATGATGAGCAAACCCGTGGGCTCTCTGGGCCTCACGAGACCCCTGCTGGGGCCCCTGCAGGAGAAGCAACAGCCGGTCGGGGTGGGGATGCTGATGACCAACACAGCATCATCGTCATCGTCAGGAATGCCTAGCAGTAGTCAACAACATCAACATCAGGAGGTGTGTGGGGTGCAGGGAGCAGCGTCGAGGCAGCTAACAACTCCCACCCCCCCTTGCCCGTCGCCGCCAGAAAGCGCGAGACAGGCCCAGTCGTCATCGGCCTTATCATCTCCATCCCGTCCCTCTTCCTCTCACTGTAGAGACCCAGGTGAAGGGCAGTCACAGCCACCACCACCACAACCACAACCACAACCACAACCACAACCACAACCACCACCACCGCCACCGCCACCGCCACCAGCTCCTCCTCAACATCAACAACAACGTCCGATAGCGGTATCCGCTGCGATTGTTAACGGTGGCGATCAACAGATCCGAGTGCTCACCCCATCCGAGATCATGCGCACTCTCCCGTCCCTCAGCCAAGAGCATTATGACCCACCGCCACCATTGCCGCCACCACCACCGCCCACCGCGATTGTTCACACTGTCGTTGTACCACCGCCCCTCACCCCCGTACACCATCACCACCACCACCACCATCACCACCAACACCACCACCACCACCCGAGTAACGCCATGGTGAGAGCCAACTTTTGCCCGCCAACTCTGTTAGTGTCTTCTTCTACTTCGTTCTGCCTTTTTCTGTGCCCGATGTCTGATCGAGATTTTTAGTATTTGTCCTATATGTCGACGGCAACAATGACAATTGTATTGTAATTTCGTTTTCAGCGTATTTTTACTGCAAATATTGCATATTATTGTTTTATCAGTAGTATGCGCGCTGATCGAGTATTGGCGATTCTGAGAATTATATTTAACAGCAGCAATAACAATATATGTACATCTTTTTTTTTCATCGCGTTTTGTTTCTTTGTTATAATGAAAAACAAAAAATTTTTGCGGCAAAATAATATGCAAATACAATTATTAGAAAGTTATAGTTTTGCAAGTACGATACTTCTTATTGACGCCGTTGATATATACAGGATGTCTCGCTGTATTAGCGCATCAACGCTCGATGGCAAATATCTGATTTTTATACATGTTAATTTCTCCCACATAAATATTTTATTATTATTCATATCAATATGTATCGAGTATATATAGTAGAACGATACATTTTATTACTCTTTATTTAAAGTAGTGGAATTAATATTGTGTTGATTATAATTGCTCAATCTTTTATTTTTGGATTAGCGCGAATGATTTTGTTTGGAATGATCAGACATACTTTTGTATCTCTTTATATCCTTTGATTTAAATTATTGAAATATAAAATATTATTTTTTCTTTTTTATGTACATTAGATCGCCACTGTGACAGAAATTATTGTGGTAGTGTTTTTTTTTTTTTTCGTTTTTTTTTCAACTAAATATTTCCATGGCATGTTCAAGGATGGTAGCCATCTTTTTTTTACTTTCCGTCATTTCTTCTAGTCCCTAAATCAATCCTGAATCGTAAATCATTTCGTCCCTTGTCCTCTGGATCCGCCCAATATTGCTTATGATTTATTTATTTATTGTTGTTGTGGGTGATTGGTAGATTTGTATCGCAATATATATATCGTTGTATAGTGGTCATGCGCTAGTTTAGTACTAATATTATTGTTTTACCTTCTTTGCAAGAGAAAAATAATTGTCTCTGCGAAATAATTGCATTTTACGAATTACTGATACAGACTTATGTTTTCGTCAAATTACCTATATTAATCGTATGATTATCTATTTATACTCATTTACTTTTCGATATTTATTCATATTTATTTTAATATCAATATTTCCCTATTATATTACTTTAATGTTTATCTCTGTTTTTGTATTGATATTTTTATGCTTATATCTTTTTGTTATAAACGAATAGACACGATATTATTTTATACTTTTTTCTCAGAAAAATTAAGTTTCGTATATATTGTTTGCTTGTTTTATAAATCAATGATATTTTAGTTTCAACATATTTCTTACAATTTATATTGTCATAATTGTAATTTTTGTTACGTAATTGTTGGGATTATATTAACACTTTGACATGCATGGGTGTGAGACTGTCGCATTAATTCCTCCGACAAACAGGTGTTTGTGGTGTTTTGTGTCATTTGTGTCGTGAACGAAAATTTTTTTTTCAGGCGAGTGGAATATATTTATACACAATTATACTAATGTTATTAATTGACTATGATTATCTCTCTACTATATCTAGATGGTGGCTGGTACTCATTGCTCCCAGTGTGTGTTTGCACATTCGAGATTCGCAAAATCTCGCTGATCATAATTAATTTAGCAGCGTGCCGTGTTGTTACTTTTACGAGTGTTTATGCAAAATATATTCATTGTGTGCCATAAATCTGAAATCGCATTTAAAAATGCAGAGATCACCGAAAAATAAGAATTGAGAGAGTAAACTTTAGTCGTAAAGTTAGAAAATTTATGTGATATATTTTATCAAAAGAAAAAAAATACTAGAGCGCATTAAAATCTCAATACATGAAGTTACACTATCCTAGAAAATAAAAATAATTTAAATTGTTATGTGAATAATTTTGGTATTCAATCTCTGATTTCTCAACAACAAGTTTATATAGGATATGAAGTGCCTAAATGCACTCCTATTTTTATTGAGCTATTTTAAATTCTTGGCCCACTTTGTGTACATGAACATTCTTTATTGGCTGATTGTAATTATTGCCTCGTGTTGGACAGTGCTTCAGGAAAAAAGTCATTACATTTTATCATTATTCATTTATGTATCAATTATTAGAATGTCATCAATTATTTTCATAAATTCTGGATATAAATTTTTTCAAGTTTTTAGATTGAAATAACACAGAAGTGATAAAATTTATGAAAGTGCACGCAGAAAACTATTCGGTTGATATAATTAAATTTTAATTACAATAACCGAAATCTTCCGTTCTGTAGAAATCAATTGAAAATTTGGTTGCGACACAAAAGAAATTCCGTTAGAAAGTTTCTGTTGTTTCAAATATATTCAATCACCTGAACTGGACATTACTGTTGTCAAGGATACAAATTTCGTTTTTGATACGAATAAGAATGTCTGTGTACGTAAGTGAAGGGAGAAAACACTTGTGTAGCCAATTTCATAATCGTATTATTGGCTGCGTCATTCAACTTCTTCAAACAAATCTTTTCGGTCGCGATAATTGAGATTTCGTTTCTCTTTATATAATATAATTCTACGCTTTCTGTGAGAATAACCGAATACTTTGCTACGATAACTATATTTTCGAGACCGAAAATTTTAGTTCCTTCAATCGAAAGCAGCTATTGATGCGAATGGTTTCTCGGTTTGCGAAATAGAATTTTCTATTACTGCAATTCTATTACTGAACTTCATATAACAGAAAATTTTTAGTTGTCACTACAGAATATTTTTCTGCGTGTAATGAAACAATCTCCATTGAGATTGTGTCATAATTTGAATATGATTTAAAATTGGAAGTTGAAATTAGCAATTAGCAGCGTAAGTTATCAAAATTGGCTAGTCGAGAAAGTGTAATGACTTTCCCCAACAATTATTTCGGGGTTTATACCGATTTGATTTTTAACAGGAGCAAGACAGGCTGTCACATAGAGAAGGTCGGTCCAACAAGGAGATGACCGAACAGGAGAAGCATTGGAAGCAAATACAGGCTTTACGTCAACAACAAACACAGATGCAACAACAGATGATCCATGAGCAACGTGTGCACGGTACGCCATTTATATTCTCATTATTAAACTGTATCATAAAATTCTTAATATGAAAGTACCGATTTGTTAATCTCCATACGTTATGTTAATCTCCATACGTATTATGTTTATGCTTTTCTGCTTAATAGCGATTGCAAGAGTGCAAAGACAAATGAGCGAGGAAAGCGGATCCCAATTGCCTACAGACACCAACTCTGGCGTGACGACGCAGTTACAAGTTTCCACGGCACAAGTAAATGCACCTTTATATATAACTTACACTACAATGATAAATGCAATTCATTGTCCTGTTAATTATCTTCATCAATCACAGTTCTGCAGAAGATAAATATTCCACATTTGTATTTGATTATGTCAACTGATATTTAATAAAGATTATCGCATTGCAGGACACGAGCCAACTTACCCCATTGGCATCCCCTTCGCCGGGTTCGCGCAGCACGTTCGCGACGCCACCTTTGAAGGTATCCCGCAGTAATCTCACCCCACAGAATCCACATCAGGGGATGGTTCGCATGCCCAATCAGGTCTGCTCTATCTCTCGAGCTCCAGGGGTTGTGCGACCAAGTTTCCCGCAGCCGCCGTCGCCCTTCTCGCCGCAGGCACCCCAATCCCCCCATGACTTTCCCCAATCTCCGGCATCCTCTCAAGCGTCGGAGCAACAGCAGCAACAACATTTCCAGCAGCGTTTCGAGGGTACCAGCGACAGTTTCTCGCCGCGGGCTCCTGCACTTCCGCCGTCTTCCTACTCGACATCGTCGCCACAACACGCTACGGCACCGGCGCCACCGGGTGCTACTCCCCGTGCCGTCTTCAACCCACCGGCACCTTCCACACGACCTGCCCCGGTCTACGCGCCACCTCCACCTCCGCCGCCACCTCCTGCGCCTCCATCTTCACGTACTCCTGATCCGTATAACGTTGCCAGCGTGCAGCCGCCTCCGACTACCCCGGTCTCTGCTGCCCCGGCAGGCTATCCGTCTCCACGTGTTCCCGAGCCTCCCAGGGCTCCCGTACAGGAGCAAGAAGTCTTTAGCCAACAGCCGGAAGTTAATCGCCAGTTAAGAGATCTCCTGCAAAGGCAACAATTTAGCAAGAAGATCGAGGGTGTCGCAAGCAACTGGACTCAAGGTATGTGCTTTGCTATCTTTCCTTCTTTTATAAGTTACATTGAGAATATATATTATTATTTTCGACTCATGTTGATTGTTGTAATAGAAAATCCACTTTAACTTAAAAGCGACTTTAACTTAAATTTAAAAATATAAATCATATTAACCTGGACATACAATATTTTATCAATTAATAATTGCTAACTTACTTGCACGACGCAGATGGTCAGAACAATTCCGAGAGTGGCCAGCAGCAGTTCGAGACAACCCACGTGCAACTTCCGCAGCATCCTCAAATGTCCGGTAACTCTGGTAACGAAGGCACCTTCCGGCATCCTTTGCCGCCCAGTATTGTTCGGCCCAGGATGCCTATACAACCAAACGTTCTTATCAGGAATCCCATCGGTACGCTTCCTATTCATCTGTGTAATATTGTTACTTGATATTTTTTTGTTATTGTTACGATTAAGTGGAATTTTCTTTCTTGTGCATCATGTATCCAGAGATAATTTTGCGACATTTTGCAGCAGGTAACATCGACGCACGACTCCAAGGTATCGATCATCGTACCAGGATGCTGTTGCAGAGACCACAGGCAACCGCTAGCTTGCCCCAACAGCACTTTCAAAGCGCCCAAACCGTACAAACGCGATTGCCCGCTGCTAGGAACGCTATTTCCGAGTCCTACGACATCTTACATCAACAAAGATTTACAGGTGACTTGATGGAACATTTGTATCCGTAACAAAATCTACTTTAATTTTATCGTGATTCTAACTTGATCATCGCTTTACTTTGATTTTATTTCACTTTTGCATGAGTATACATCTTTTTTTCTTTTGTAAACGATTAAATTTTTCTCCAGACACGAATCAGACGCAGAGCTTGAACCAACGCATTGTACGCACTGCGCAAGACAGTCTGAGTCAGGGCATTCGCATGCTAGGTGCTCAAAGTATGGTCCGGGCACCATTACCCACGACAATAAGCGAGACCACTACCTCGGAAGCCTCATCTGAGATTCCCGACAACGTTACGGCCGAACTGGAGAAGTTGGAACAAGAAGGTGCACCGATGGTCGAGGTGGAGGGTGTCAGTGCAATATTAGGCGATCTAGCTGACGACGATGATGAGTTACTTGGTAAGTTTCCATATAAAAAAATTAAATTATAAGTGAAAAATGCAATAGGATAAAATATAAAATATATATTATTATTATAGATGCGATGAAACACAGGAAACATAAGAGGAAATAAGAATATATTTATATTTATAAGAGTACAAAATCTTTTCCTCTTCTAGTCAGGACAAAGAGTGTCAGGACAAAGAGTGACGCCAAAAATCGCTTGTTTCGCCATCCTAGGAGGATTAATGTCTTATACATAACTATTGTTTAGCACCAAATTCAAGTCGGATTTCAAGGGTGGTGAAAGAGGCGTTTTTGGCCTGTTTTTGGCGTCACTCTTTGAAACAAACGCTGTCCTCTCGCAAGTCCCTTTTTTTCAGGAGTCACAAACCTCCCGAGTTCAGGATCATATCAATACAAGATTCCCGCGCCCTATTCATACGACTATAATTCAAATTATTATACGTATGACATAGATTATATTATTATATAAAATATATATTATATAGGCGAATGTACAACTCGATATTTTTTTCTGTGCAGCTGAGATGGGAGCAGACTTCAATATTTTGGAATATGCGGACCCCGAGCTAGACACAATCGCAGGCGGTGAGAAAACTAACATCTTAGACTTAGATCTGGAGCAGGTAGAGGTAGAACCAAAAGAAGAGAAACAAAAGAAGGAAATCAAGGAAGAAGAGCAAAAACCAGATCATCTACCGACTGGTCCAGCTGAAATGGCCGATTCATGCTCAACAAGCACGACGTTGACGACATTGACGGAAGGCAGCAATGTACCATCGATGACGTCATCGCAGCCCGCTTCACAGCCGAATCCAGCGGCGATGCAGGTGCAGGTAGTACAGCAGCAGATGCACCAGCACGTACAGCAGGCGGCAGCAATGGGCAGACCGATGCCGCCGGGGACGAGACTATTGTCAACGGATGGAGCGGTCGGTGTCGTGACTTCTACCAATACGGTAACGGTCAGTTACCCATCGAGCTTCCCAGGACATCCTCAGAGGATCCCGCAGACGCATATTCAAGGTAAAATATGATGAAATTGATTGAAATTATCTTTAATGTTTATATAAATTGAATTTTATACACTAAGATAATCGAATTCTGAATATACTGAATTATAACGATCACGTATTTTATTATATAATTATAAACCGAGTTACTTATTCGCTATAATATTGTCCATACTTATGTTTCGTGTTTGTAGTTTCACAGCAACAACGTCTCGGCATGCGAGTAGCGGGAGTGCCCAATGTAGCTGGCAGAGTCGTCGCTGTAAATAACATGATCGGGCCTCGAATACCTTTGGCTCCACCACCACCTCCGCCACCACCCCCATATCCGGGACCCCCACCCCCGTATCCTGGGCCGATCCAGGTAAGTGTCGTTTTTCAAATTTACAACAGCCTCCTTGAAATTTGAATGCATCGCTTCGATATTTAGTACATCCATGAGAGAAGATTTAATAAATTAAATGAGGGAAACAGGTTGAGTAATAAATATTTCTGGAAGATGGATAGGTAATTATACGCTATGGATATAAATCTATAGGTAATTTATAACAGAAAAATTTGAAAATGGTTCTCAAATCTACTTTATCATTTACTTATTCAATTATTATTAAAAAATAACACTTATAGAAGTCGTATCTGTTAAATATAAAAATTTCTAGCAATTTTAATAACAATTGTGAAATATAAAGATATATATATACGTTAAATTTAAGGAATTATTATTTAAGAAATTGACAATCCTGACGAGATGCGATGCTAAATCGCAAAGCCCCGTTCTGACAATTTACATTTAATTACAATAACACAGTTTGCAAGCGTTTTATAATGTATTTAACTAATAAGATGTTTCGCAATTGCATGTACGATATTTCTGTGTCAGTTAGTTTTGCTGAATTTATTTCAGAAATATTTTGCGCGGCTGCAATATCGAGTATACGGTAATCTTGCGTAGTTTTATTCTTAGATTGCAATTTTAAGATTAGGTGTTCTTGTAGATTACGCTGTAAAAATTGTTTTTACGTAAACTCTTTGAATATGTTATCTGTTAAAGACTTCAGTCTTACTAAGAACATGATAATTATTCTTTTACTTCAATTTAAGAATTGTCACATTATTCAATGATCGTAAATTTTGTTATATTTACACAAATTATTCGTAAACATAACAATAAATAGGTTAATATAACCAGAGGTCGAATCGAGGTCAGGTCATTAAAAATTTGCTGTGAACGTAAGCGTAGCTAAATAACGAATCTTATCCTCTCAGAGCCAAGAAAAGCACTTTCTTATAATAAAATATGATTCTCTCTCTCTCCCCCCCTCTCCCCCTCTCTCTCCCTCCCTCCCTCTCCCCCCTCTCTCTCTCTTTCTCTTTCTCTCTTTCTGTTCATCAAAATTGATTGTAATTATTGTTTCACTATATAAAAGATTGAAATAATTTGAAAAAGAGAAGATTCACAACTCTTTTTCTATCGTATGAAAATCTCCTCACTAAAAAATAATTTAATAAATTAATTTTTCTATCAAATTTATTCATATATATATATATTCCTGTTTCGATGAAATTTGAATTAATCACTCAATTGAGAACTAAAGATCACCATAAATCTGTAAAGTGCGTAAAAATGGCGCTGAAAGGATAATTGTATCGTAAGAATACTGGCTGGTGTCCTTGGCCTGGGTGTGTTTGCAATATGCATTTGGTGTTGGCGCATGTCTAGATGGGGCTGTGCCTAGGTGGTGGTGGCGGGCGGGCTATGACGCGGCCCCCGCCGGTGGTCCATATGGGGCACCAGCAAGTGCCGGTGGCGGCGGCGGGCCCGCCGATGTGCCCCGCGGTTCACACCGGTGCACCACCGCACCCTCACCGGAGACCCTTGCTTCTGCAGGTGAGCGAGATTCGGGGCAGTTTCCAACACGACCTACCTCCTCCCTCGTATCGGGAAAACGAGAAACGAGAACGTGTACCCCTTTGATATTTGTTTCATAGGAAAGTCCTCTAGCAAAGCACTTCTTTTTTTCTATTTAAAGGACAGATATATTGTATCTACAGAATATTATGCAGGGTGTTATCGAGTAACAAAAGGAAAAAAAAGAGAAGATGATGAAGGATAAGATAAGCATTTTTCGTCATAGCTCTGAGCTTAAAAATAAAATCATGACAATACTATCGCTTTTTAAAGTTGAAAATTGCGCGCAGAAAAAAACCGCGATATCCGACTTCGATGAACTATTTTTATTTTTAAGTCATATGACGAGAAATATTTCTCCCATCAATCTGTATTATCTCCCGGATTCTTTCCTTGTTGTTCAGACACTTTGTGTGTACATATGTGATATAATATTCTACATACGTGATAAATAGAAAAAAAATAGGAAAAAAAATGCGCCGTTAAATTTTCTGACGAGGAGAAAACTTAAGAATTATATTCAATTGAAGGTTTAGTTGAGTAAAATTGCTTCTCAAATTTTATACTGTGTACTCAAATATCTTGTCGTAAGAATATAGGAAATCAGGAGTAACACACCTGGCACCTTTTGCACTTATGTTCTTTATAATTATTTTACCATCAATGTGCACTCTCTTAGACGTATGCATGCGTATTGCACGATCTTAATTTGATTAACGATGTGAATAACTTATTTAATTTGTTATCCCCTTTTTTGTAACCCTGAGCATTGCTTTTTTAATAAAACGTCTCAATGTCTGAAATCCTCGTTCTGCATGTGCGTGCGTGTGTGTGCGTGTGTGCGTGTACGCGCGTGTGTGGACATCTGCGTGAGAGAGTTATGGGTTTACCTAGATTTCGTGTACCTTTATATTTGCCATAGAATATAAAGATAAATCGATTCTCTAGAAATATAGTTTCCTTATAAATTTTTTTTTCTCAGATATGTAAAAATCCTTTAGCTTTCGTAAAAAATCCGTACAATCCTTAAAGAATCTGAACAGAGTCCTCAAATTAATAAATGTTAGATATCCTAGTTTTTTAAAAATTCCAAGATAAAATTTCTAGAATATTTCTAGAATATTTTTAAAAGATTCTCAAATTTTCCTATTCCGAAATCTGTGGAGTCTTATAATCACATCAATATTTTCGCAGATATTGTTTAATTCTTAAATTATATATATTGTATCCGTTAAATAATATACACTGTTTAATAATTTTCAGGAGACTCCAATAAATCCCAATCCACTCGACAGGCACGTTTCACCCTACATTCGGCAACGATAAAAAGTATTTTCTACCCTCTAATTTGTCAAAATTATCTAATTATCTAATTGCTATTTTCATTATTACTTGTAATACTTGTGATAAAATTTAAATTAAGTACAGAATTATATGAATTTGAGCTGCAATAAGAAAACCTCCAAAATTATAATTCCAATATTTCGCATCAGTGCCGTTCACTTATCCTTACAAATATTGCACTCCTTTGATCTAGACAATTTCATCTCATTCTGCATTTTAATTTGACCCATTTTGCATCCATATTTTCATATCCATCCCCGTAATTTATCATGCTATGTACCCAGAAGCGAGCTTGACTGTCAGCAGTTATGTTCACAGGAGCAGCCGCTGTTGCTGGAGGAACTACTGGAGCAGGAGAAGAGGGAACAAGAGAAGCAACAACAGCAACAGCAACAACAGCAGCAACAAACGGAAAACGCCTCTTCCAGTACTGGGATTTTGAGCGACAGTGACTTTGAGAGACTCCGAGCTGACGTTTTGGGAGCAGCGTCGCCACCTCAGACCATGGTAGCCACCGGAAGTGTGCCAGTGATCAGACCACCCTGTGCAACTAGGCCTCCTTCAGTGCCCGGTACTGGTTGGCAACAAGCTGGTGTACCTGATTCAACTAAAATGGCGCCCGCTCAAGTGCCTAGACAACCCATCGCCACGCAGACTCCGCCTGAATGTTAGTATGGAAAGAGAAATTAGCTTATCGTTCGAGATTCAATATTTCATGTACTTCATGATCTGGTTTGCTTCGTCGTAACAAATGTTGTTTACTTGAAGTAATTATATATATATATATATATATATGTATATTTTACAGCGAGGATGAATACCTTTAACATCCCACTTATACCAGCACCACCAACGCCACCGGAAATTATCTTAAACGAGCAAGATCGACAAGCGCATATACAGTACGATCATTGGCTGGTCAATCAGCAAAATGTATTGACACAGCAATTGAAGTTCTACGAGTCTGAAATTCAGAAGATCCGTAAAATGAAAAAGGTAAATGTCGATTGTACGATAAGTTCGTGGAGATTTTCGCAAAGATTTAAAAGTCAATACTTTTATAATTAGGCATGACTTTACCCACCCGATGATGTATCTTGACCACTTTTTGATATCAGAATGTCATAAAAAACAAAGGAAGATAAAGTTACGCCCGACTTTAGGATTATCGGTTTCGAGTTTTTCGTAAAAATCTCTATAGATTTATCGAACAACTCGATAGAATTAATCTAAGATCGAAATAGATTATAAATGAACCCAAGATTTAAGAAATATTTCTTTTTTTTTTTTATTTATTTTTTTTTCTTACAATTTAGTGAAAGCAAATAATTCAATCTCTTGCAGTCTCTCACTAGCAAACAACGGCAACTACGCAAAGGTGGCAACGATCTTTCGGAGAACGACTCAGCGGAGTTGAACCGCATCTCAAACGAGCAGTCGTTCTTGCAGAAACACTTGGAGCAGTCGCGGAAACAACTGCGCCAACATAACTTGATGGCTACAGAGTATCACAACAAGCAACAGCAACGGCAGCCATCAACGTCGCAAGTCCCACAGCCAAACAATCCAGAACCTTGTTCTCCGCTCATGTCGCCGTCACAGCATTCACCGATGCATTCGCCTGCCGCGTTGGTCAGCCAATCCCCGGGTGCTAACATAATTCAACACTCGCCGGCGACTCCTTCCATCGTGCAGCACAGTCCCGGCGCCACATTACTTCAGCACAGTCCAGGCAATCCGCAGTCGACCAACCCGGGTACTATGTCGCCTCACAATGTACAGCAACAGTCGCCGCGGATCGGCACACCGCATTCGCAAGGTGGCGAAGAGAGCCCATTCAGTCCTCAGAGCGGTGCATTGCCGTCGCCGGGAGCATTGTGCGGTCCTGCAGTGGCCGTGGCGAGGATGACATCACCGCAACACCGCGCACTCATCAGCGGTCGACTGGCGGCGGCGAGTGTTAGTCCAGGCGGTGCGTTTACAGTAGCGGATGCGGCACGTGTTCAACAACCGCAACAGCGATTCGTACGACCGGCGAGTGGTGGCAGCGGTGCAATGGTGATGGGCGAAGCCGCTAGCCAACAACGCGTACCACCGAGAGCCGTGGCCGGAGGTATGCCTGTCTATGGACAGCGTTCGCCGTTAGGCAGTCCACAGCCGACGACGCAGCAGGCTAATTTGATGGGTCAGCAGCCGCAACTACTGCAGAGACAACAGTTGATCCAGCAACAGCACGACGTTATTTCTCAAGATGGGCAAAATGTTGTTACTCAAAGAACGCTTCAAATGGCTCAACAACGGCAGCAGCTTCTCCAGCAGCAGCAACAACAACAACAACAACAGCAGCAGCAACATGAAGTTATATCTCAAGATGGGTCAAATGCTATCGCTCAAAGATCATTGCAGATGGTACAACGGCAGCAGATTCTCCAACAACAACAACAGCAGCACGAAGCTATTTCCCAGGATGGACAGAACGTCGTCACTCAAAGATCACTGCAAATGGTTCAACAGCGACAGCAGATTCTTCAGCAGCAGCAGCAGCAGCAGCAGCAACAACAACAGCAACAACATGAAGTTATTTCTCAGGATGGACAGAACGTTGTCACTCAGAGAACATTACAAATGGTTCAACGACAGATTCTTCAGCAACAACAGCATGAAACCATTTCTCAAGTTATTTCTCAGGACGGACAAAATGTTGTTACTCAAAGAACTCTGCAAATGGTCCAACAACGACAGCAACAGCTTCTTCAACAGCAGCAGCAACAGCATCAACAACAACATGAAAATCTCTCTCAAGATGGACAGAATGTTGTTACCCAGAGAACATTACAAATGGTGCAACAACGTCAACAGATTCTCCAGCAACAGCAACACGACGGTATTTCCCAAGTTGTTTCTCAGGAAGGGCAGAATACTATCAATCAAAGAACACTGCAGATGGCACAACAACGGCAACAACTATTGCAACAGCAGCAGCAGCAGCAGCAACAACGACAGCAATATTTACAGATGCAACAACAGCAGCCGCAGAAGCCGCCCAATTCGCCGATGGTGTCTCAACCAGCTAATTCTCCTAGTCCTCAACTTCTACAACAAGGTTACGGCCAACCGCCGAGCTCGCCCATGGTACAGCAGACCACGATGGGTTCTCCGATGCTGCAACAGTCATTGAATCCGACTTCTCAACCACCTAGTCCAATGAACCGAATTTCACCGATGGTGTCGTCGCAATATCAACCACCCAGTCCGATGTCTAGGAGTCATCCCTCCACCTCGCCAATGCTTCACGGTGGCCATCATCCCTCCTCAGCAGCCAATCAGCCGCCCAGTTCACCTATGATGCCTCGTAGCCCGTTAGTAGCTGGCTCGCCTATGCAAATGCAGCGAAGACAATCAACCGGCAACAGCCCGGCAATGCCCGATAGACCTCAAAGCGTGGAGAATCCTCCGACTCCGAGGACACCTCATACACCTCACAATTTCGTCCAGCAAAGCGCTAATTTGTCGAGTGATCAACAACAAATTCTTCAACAAGTCTCTCAAGAACAGACTTCGTCGGAACACGTTAGAAGCGGAGGGAACCCCCATAACCCACTAAATCCGGTGCCGTCACCGAATCCCAACAGAAGTGGAGGAAACCCCAATAATCCTCTGAACTCAGTACCCTCTTCGAATTCCGCTCGTGGTGGAGGAAACCTCAATAATCCTCTGAACCCAGTACCATCTACGGATTCCACTAAGGGCGGAGGAAATGTTCGCAATCCGTTGAATCCTCTACCATTTCCGAACTTCGGCAGATTTGGCTTCTTTAAATTAGGTCTGAGAGGTGGCTCGCCCATGTGGTCGTCGAGCAAAGCAGCAGAGAGCAGCAAGAGCAGCGGCGCCGGTTCGGACACGCCCCAGGAAGAGAAGCCGAATACTTCTGTGCTTCGGAAGACGACGAAAATCGGCTCACTCGTCTGTGCTGACTACAACGACTTCGACGATGACTCGCACACACCGCCGCAGACACCGCCGACGTGTCTGGAGGTGAAACAAGGGAGCCAATCTAGTTCCTTGACTTCGTCGACTCTCGACAACGGTCCACTCGATAGTCCTAGCGAGAAGTTGGATCAGCTTGCGGACACTACTGATTATGACGACGATAAAACTATAGTGAACACTGAAGTGACGCTGAGCTCGGCGGCGCAACGCGACAGCGACGACATTACGGTGATCGAGCAGTTCGGCGATTCTGAGCTGGTGGACGTCATCTCGGGTAGTCTAGAAGGCGACATGCAGGAGGAATATGTACTTTTCGAGTCTGGAATGGTGGTAGATCTGTCAACGGACAGTAACGACTCGCTTTGTCACGCACTGGTGAACGCTGACACCGGCCAGGGTGATCTAGTGCAAATCTTAGAGATTGAGAACCCGGAATCGCAGTCGGAGGAGCCGATTCTCAGCGACGACGAACTGGTGCCGTCCAATACAAGAAACAAGAAAGGTCTCCGGCTCGATATAATGAGGACTCTGCAAACGGGAAAGAAGCTGGTGACTGTCACTGACACCTCGGAGTCTCCAGACCAAGAGGAGCTCAGAGTGGACCCTTCGCCGGGGCCTTATCTAGATAATTCTCCCGATCAAGATCTCATGGTGTCTCTTGTAAGTGAATCTGAAGTGGTTATCATTGACCCCACGACGAAATCGCCCGAGGACAACCTCTCGAAAGGATCTTGTGACGAAGACACCGAGAAAACGGACGGTAATATACTAGTTGAAGTATCTAAGGATAATACGGTTGTCGAAAGTTTGATAGACGATCAGGCAAAGTCTTCGCAAAAGGATCCCAAACAGAGCAAAGCTCCTACGAGTTTCGTTTTCCCGGAGAAGATTTTCTACAATCAAACTACATCTTCGACCGTTCTTCAAACAAACGTTAACCCCGCGACGACCTCTAAGTCTTTAGTTTCTTCAGCGACTACCGCAATATCTTCGATTCTGAATACTAATTTAGTGCCTACTAGTTCTCACACTCAAGTTCTAGCTCAAACTATTGCGACGGAAGCAAGTACGACAAACCAGGACGCACTATTGAATTCCTACAACGATCAAAAAATCATCAACTTGCCGTCGACAATGGCTAGCATCGTAGCAGATGCAAAACTTGCCGCGAGACTCAGTCAGACAGCTCTGGAGAATATTTCCAATTCGCAACAAAATAAACGAGATCTCAAAATTAGCGAAACTTCAAAAGTGTCACCTCCAGCGACGATCTCCAGCGTTCAAAGCGAATTTCCTAGCTCGACAAGCGTTGTGGATACTTTGAACAGTTCTACAAAATTAATTTTAAATGTTCAATCAACTTCTGTAACGTTGTCAACACCAAAGATGATGGATTTGTCGAAGAAGGAAAGTGCTTTAAAGTCGACGGAAAAGCAAGCGGAAGGTTCGGAAAACGAAGTGAAAAAGAAGACGGAGGAAGAAGAGCTCATGCAAGCAAAGATCAAAGACCAAAGCGTCCCTTCAGTTATTCCTTCGGCTTCGGTAACAGACGAAAAGATGAACGATCCGTTGAATACGACGGACGAGCTGGAGAGCATGTTGGAGGCGATTCACAACCCGGCAGAGGCTACGCTGAAGAACGAAGGTAAGAGTGAGACTGCCACAACGGCAACTTTGAAAAGGATGTCGCCTGTCGCCGACGACCTGTCGCTTGTCAATATTCTGGAAAACGACGCTGAGCCTGTGGACAACGACAAGGAAGAGAACTCTACAGGTTCTGAGGCGCAAAAGATTATGAGCAAATCAAAAGAAGTCATAGATGATCTCGAAGAAGGCAACGCGAAAAATATGTCGCCGAAGGAGAAAACCATCGATGAATTGGAATTGGAGAACGCAAAACCATACCTCCAGCACTGTCTGAACGAGGAGAAGTCTCTGATGGAGGAATCTTCGGAGGATATCCTTGATATGCTGCACAACATTATCTCGTCGAAGCCAGAGATGGCGAATACCAACGAGTTAAAGTCGAGTTTAATTTACCAGATGCCCACTCCGCTCGACACGTTACCGTTGAACATTCTGCAAGATTCTCTCATGGATCTGGATCAAGAGAGCTTGGAGAACGAGCAATTGTCTTCGCAGGAGAGCAAAATTCAGGCAAAGAGTCTGAATTCCGAAGCAAAGAAAAGCCCACCGGCGCCGAATCAAGCGGTGGCGCAGTTACAGAAAAGCACAACGACAGTACCGCATTTGTCACCCCTGTCGAAGCCCACCGAGCTCACCTCCAACGTCGCTAATGTGTCTCATCAATTGCGCACGCTGCTTTCCTCCCTGCAGAGCAATCAGACCACTGGAAATCAAACCGGCGTCGTCACCATGGTTTCCTCGGTGAAGCCTTGCAATGTCTTGTCTACTACAAGCACGTTCTCCACTTTGAATTCGTCTAGTAATATCTCGACCTTGTCGAGACTTGATCAGAATCGCCCGCATACCGGTGGAAGCATCAGTGTTGCGAAGGAAGCAGAACTTTTGACTTTGAAGGAACCTGCCAAAGAGTCTACTGGGACACCTTCTGCAGTCCCCAAGGTACATATTAAATAATTTTTTTTTTTTTTAAGTGAATTTGTCACGTGATAATGACAAAATTTAATTTAATCTCATTCTAATCTCAGAGAGAAGCTCCCATAAATTCGAAAAATTTTTATTTTTCAGTAAACAATTAATCGCCTTTCAATTTTAAAGAAGATCTCTAAATAAATCTCGACTAAAAAGACTTTTAATGAGTTTTTAATTTTTGTTGCAAGAAGAATTATATATATATATCTAATGAAATGTTTTAATTTCATAATTTCATTAACAAAAGTTTTTGTTTAGAGTTTAAACGAAATTACAATTTTATTTAAAGAAACACTACTAAATTCTAATACCAATAATAAGAATTTTAATTATAAGGAATATTTTAGTAACGTTAATATCAGTTTTAAATTCATATATGAATCTTAATTTACGATATTTAATACGATTTATTTTATCTTTAAAAATAATTAGCTAGAAATGCTTTTGAAGTAAAAAAATTGCTAAATTTCTTCACTTAAAATAAGATATAGACCTCAATTGTTTAAAGAGATGAATTTCAATTCAAGGCTGAGCAGATCTTCAGGGTAACCACTACCGCTCCAACCACAACTCTTCAGTCCAGTAATTCTTCGAATATTACAAGCACTATCACTTCATCCATCATAACTACCAGAACCATCACCACCTCGATCTCCATTACCTCCAACGCTATGTTGAACGCCATGCTGGGCGAGACGAGCTCGATAAAGCCGTCGGTGGCAGGTGGTCACGGTCGCAGCAGTAACAACACCGTACCAACTCAGTCCGCCAATCTGCTGAGCTCAGTGTTACCATCTACCTCGATACCGCGTTCACAACCTACGAATCTGCAGGCGATCCTACAGGTGAGCTCGGCGGCTTCGCGAGTACTGATGAACGCCACTTCGACGGTCACATCGAGTCCGATCCAGTGCGTACGAACTATTGTGCCACCGTTAGCAACCTCCAGCATTCTTCAGTCAACCTTGTCACAAGCACCAACCCATCTATTAACGTCCAATCAGAGTCAGCGCAAGTCTCCTCTTATTCTACCTATTGATAATAAAACTAACGATCTCGAAAACCAGTCGATAACGAGCATAAAAAGAGATACCGAAGACAGTAAAATTCCGGAGAAGACTTCAGGAAGGGAAGTGGATCCTAATAAGACTTCTACAAATCCTCTGCGATACGAAGAGTCTCAAAATGTATTACTGAAGCAATTGTTGCAGAGCAATGCTTGCGTGACGACGCCAGTGTCCATGCAAGGGCCCGTGCAAGGGCCCAGTTTGCCGATAGTAAATTCGCTAGCAGCCCAGCTGGACCAACCGGTCGTACCCGCGCCACCGTCCCTGTTGCCGTACCTGTTGAATGAAACCCCAGCACCGAAGGCGCCAATTGGCAAGCAAGTGTTGGCGCGAGAAACATCTTTCTTGTCCTCGCACTCGGTAACACCAGTAAAGATTCAAAGCTCGCCCACGAAAGAGGAGCCTCCCAAGCCTCCTCCCCCGTTGTCCACGTCAACATCGCTGGTCTCGCAAAGAGGACAGATCGATACCTTGAAACAGCAGCAGCAGCAGCATCAACTTCAGCAGCAGCAGCAACAACACCAACAACAACAACAACAACAACAACAACAACAACATCAACAACAGCAGCAGCAACAGCAGACCAATCAGATGATAAAACCAACGCCTCCTAGCTCTTCCGGAAATACAACGGGAAATCAACAACAGCCGATTATTTCCGCGGTATCGTCGTCATCTACGACAATAGCGACGACGATAACGACAACGAAAACGTCGCCGAAAACCTGCGAGGTGCGATATTCTCGATATTTCTCTCAGCCCTGGTGCAGCGATAAAAAGAGAAAATCATGTTAAATCTAAAATTAAAACTTATATATAATATTAAATATATACCTATTATTTTAAAATTTTCTTCTCGTACGTACAAGAGTTTTATCGTGAAACTTTCGGCATAAAAGTGGTGAAGAAAAAATTATAAAGAGTGCGTATGCGAAAAATTTGACTCGATAAGACAAAATTGAACTCGTTTTTGGAAAGATTTTAATAAGTATATAGGGACCAAGACTAATTGATGATTGATCAACATGTTTATCTGTGCATTTTGAGTGAGATTGTATTTTTCTAAATAGTGGAACTCCATACTTATTCTTCAGTGCGCTTCAGCGCATTTCAGTGAAAGTACAGATAACAGCACAGATGAACCCAGATAGGTATTATCTGTATTTTGACTGAAGAATATCCGAGATGGAACGGAAACGTCTCATTTGACCAGAATCTACAGAAAAACACGATCTCGGAACGCACAGGCGATTGTTCCAGCCAGAGGTTTGAGAGTTCTCTCGAGCCATAAGTGCATTCAATTATTTTCATCTAAATTATGTATTCTGTATTTGTATATTAAAAACTAGTAATTTCTCCTTTTAAGACTCGCATTTTTATGAAACATTTTTATCATTATCAGCTAGAGATTGGGAGTGCGGTGGCAAAAGAGAGCCCCTCGACCCAGCAACGCATGCCCGTCCCAGTTTCAAAGGTTCCTACTACTCAGCAAAAACCTCCAGTAGCCTCGAAAAGTGTTCCACCACCTGCCAGCAACGCCAGCAACAGCCTTCCTAGTACTCAGACGTCAGGGCCACAACCACCAAGCGCTCTTCAAGTAGCGCAGAAGCCGGTTGCCTCTCAGCAACAGGCTCCCCCTGTCTCGTCCTCTGCGCCGAATGTTAATATTAAGCAACAACCTGTTCAGCAAGTGCCTCACAGTTTGGCCCATGGCCACGTGACGGTCCCGTCGTTAGCCACGGCCGTCGCGCCGTCCGGTCCCACAGTAGCAGCACCTGTCGTGGAGGTGAAGAAAGAGGCGAACTTCGACGAGGCAGTCCTTCCTGCTCAAGCTGCACCGATCGGCACTAGCCATCTGCAGACCGATACCAAAGACTTTCTCGCTTCAACCAAAGAGGAGCTTATAGACGGCACGATGGACGATAAGACCGGTGAGTTCATCTTGACGAGTTTTCATTGTTGACAAGAAGAACGTCGATCTTAATTTTACGTAGGCACTAGGACAAAGCGCTCTGAACTCTGGATATTTTCAGATCTGAAGAAGCTGAAGAGACGACAATACCAACAGAAGCGCAAGCAAAGCCAAGGCAAGGACACTGCGACCGCACCACAGAAGAAGCGATCACGTAAGGTGTCGCGCTTAGACGAGGACTATGATACTTTCGTGGAGAATCTGATGGTGCAGTTGCGTCAGCTGCAGCCTATGGCAGTGCTGGAACCACTGCTCGGTCGTAACTATGGAGTGTGCCCGATTTACGGCTGCGGCGACCTCGCCAAGATCGCTAGTCAGCGGGACTATAATACAAGAGTTGGAGATTTAACGGGCAGCTACGGCGCCGCTAATTTACCCGGGCTATCCGATCATTATAACACACAGCCCTTCGGCGAACTTGATCCTCTACCGCCACAGCAACCACCGTCCACGCAGAGAGGCTTCTACGATCAGGAATTCCCGCCGCTCAAGCTGGATGACTGTGAGTGTTCGGCGGAAAGCTTCGTTTCTCCTCAATTTCTTGGTTTCCATCTAGAGAACAAATTTGTATTATTGTTATTTTCATTATGCGGTTATCGTCTCGTTATTCAATATATTGTCACTGATACATGTCACATGTATACAATATTGGACCAACGTTATAAATGGCAATTTGATTTTCCTGTTTTTTCAGCTGACGATAAGAAGGAAAATATAGCGACAAATCGCGACGTGGACTCTCCGGACACTATCGTGAGCTCGTCCTCGCCCGAGTGCGTTATACCGGAGTTTATGCATCGTTTCCCCGGGTTGCGGTTAATCGACGAGGAGTCGGACGAAGAGGCGGACTGGCTAAAGCGCGTGTCGCCGGTTATACCGTTAATCTCTCCAATCCCGATTAGACTGAAGCCGGCTTACCCGAAGGATGTGTCTCAGCAGGATAAGGAGAATCTCGGGGTATCCAAGTACGTATATTGCTTTACACACTGATTAAGCAATATATGTGAAGTAGAATGTATGTAATAATAACATAATAATCGGAGTTACTTGCCGTCAAATCTTCGCTGCATATTCAATAATTTAACGAATATTTCTCTAGGCTCGGGAAGTCTCCGCCGATCCCGTTGCGAGAAAGCGGAAACGTCACCGTCACTCTGACTCTCAACAGTCAAGCTGCGGACGATATCATGGGTGTACTTAAAGATCTGGCAAATATTCTGAATATCGCGCCGCCCACTGGTTACCAGATAGTCGAACGTACCACCACTCCTCCCAGTCAGAAATTAGGGTTATATAGGACTAAGGGGAAGGACGGCAAAGAAGGAGGTACCCTTATTATTTAAGCTTTTCAACCAATGTTTATCACCAATACTACCATGTGTTTATAGCCGTATTATACAGGGTGTTAAAAAAATAATTATCTAGTTGAAATCTAATTGAATACGTGGTTTCAGCTCCGATTGATATTCAGAGCATCTTGAACGGTGCGGCCAAGTTTTGTCGTCACTGCGACGTCGTGATTCTGAACAGCTTGATTCGGAAGAAAGTATCTGATCTGCCATTCTTGAGCAAGGAGGAGGCGGAACCTGGTGACGAACTGTGCTTCTGCTCGGCCGCCTGTTACATGCAATTCGCCCTCATGCATCGCACGCCCTCCAACACGCAAGATAAGGTTTGGCAAAAACGATAATTTTGTAAATACGAAAGGTCAAAGTTAATATTATAGACTAAACTATATCTATCTTGTAAATCGTTCTGTGTTAGGCCGCGACGATAGTGGACCACTTATGTCAGAAAACGGAATCGAAGCTATTGGACGATGATTTGAAAAGCCTGAAGAAAGCGTCCATAAAGCAACAGCAGTCACAACAGTCGGTGGATCAGCGCGTCGAGAATATGGAAATCGACAACGAGACGAGCACGGGCACGGCGGAGATCGTCAAGGTGAAATCTGAGAAGCCGGATCACATGGAAAACGCGATGGAGAATATTGAGATAGAGGAAAAAAGGCCGAAGAAACATTCGGTCCCCGAAGAGCCGAATGAGACTGCCATCGAGCCGCAACCACCCGCGAAGGTTTGGCGAGGCGTCAAGTATAAAGCCTGGTCGATGGGGCTGATACAACCCGCCACGAAATTCAAGAAAACCACCGACAGAGAGATCACAGAGGTGAGTATGATCACGAATCTCGTGATCTCTCTTGCCTGAAATTCCAAAGTCCTCGACGATTGAGTGTCTAGGAGCCTTATCAATAACAATTAACATTTCAATCATACGCTTCCACAGATGCTGTTCCGCATGGGAGTGACGGTGGTGCCCGCAAAGACAGAAGACAGTCGTCGTTGCATGTTCTGCCAGAGTCAAGGAGACGGAACGGCGGACGGACCGGCTCGCCTGCTGAATTTCGATGTGGACAAGTGGGTGCACCTCAATTGCGCGCTGTGGGCTGAGGATGTATACGAGACGGTGAACGGAGCGTTGATGTTTGTGGATATAGCCTTGCAGCACAGTCTCGTGTTGAATTGCAACGTCTGCGAGAAGCCCGGAGCCACTATCAAGTGTTTCAAGACACGGTGCACCAACGTCTACCATCTTGGATGCGCCGTCAAAGATGGTTGCGTCTTCTATAAGAACAAGGTAACGCAATTATGTATGGTCCTTTGAAATTAACGCACATTTTCCACTCAAAGACAAGGTCTGAGTAAATTAATCAAAGCTTTCAAATGTCAAAAGAAGTTCTTTTTCGTCAGAAGAAAAGATTCCACTGACGTGTTGGACTTTTTCCAGACCACCTTCTGTTCGCAACACGTGCAAAAGAACGAGAAGGACAACGAGCTCACCACCTTGTCCGTCTACCGTCGCGTCTACGTGAACCGTGACGAGAATCGCCAGGTCGCCGCAGTCATGCACCATTCGGAGCACAATCACCTGCTGCGCGTCGGCTCGCTGATTTTTCTCAGTGTCGGTCAACTGCTGCCGCATCAATTGCAAAACTTTCACACGCCCAATTATATCTATCCGGTCGGCTACAAGATCGTGCGCTTCTATTGGAGCATGCGACGGCCCAACAAACGTTGCCGCTACGTCTGCTCGATCCATGACGTCTCCGGTCGGCCAGAATTCCGAGTTTTGGTTCAGGAACCTCTCCAAGAAGATGTAGAACTCCGTGACGCCACTCCGCGAGCTGTCTGGAATCGGATTTTGGAGCCGTTGGCGGAATTGAGAAGAAATACGAATTCTGTTCAGTTGTTTCCGAGATATGTCTCCGGGGAAGATTTATTCGGTCTGACTGAACCAGCAATAGTGCGAGTTCTAGAGAGCCTGCCTGGAATAGAAACTCTGACTGATTACAGGTAACAGCAGTTCGAAACTTGATAAAAAATATTTGTTTCGTTAAAAAATTAGTGTCATGAAAATTACGTTAAAATTTTCAGATATAATTTTCATCATTAAATTTCAAACTTATTTCGATATCTGAACTTCCTGGCTTTTCAGGTTTAAATATGGACGTAACCCGCTGTTGGAGCTTCCATTAGCCATCAACCCAACTGGAAGTGCTCGTACCGAGGCGCGATTACGTAACCAACTGCCATGGAAACGACCTCACACGCAGCGCACAGGCTCGCACTCGTCAGCGCGTGCGACAGCGGCGGTTGCACCGTTTGCACCGTCATTGTCGTCGGCGGCGGCGGTCGCCTTCGCCGCTGGCGAAGTCACTTGTCCATATTCTAAGCAGTTTGTACATTCCAAAAGCTCGCAGTACAAAAAGATGAAGCTGGAATGGCGGAATAACGTTTACCTGGCCCGTTCGAAGATCCAAGGTCTGGGCCTGTACGCTGCTCGTGATATCGAAAAGCACACTATGGTGATAGAGTACATCGGAGAAATCATAAGGACAGAATTAGCAGAAACTCGGGAGAAGCAATATGAGGCTAGAGTACGTATCGTAGCATTATGAACATACATTTGGGCAGAATAATTAAGAGTTGTAATTTAAGTAAGTAAGTTGATTCTCTGTGAATTTTCCCTCTATACGCTCGTTATCATTCCCGTCGCGTATGTGTAACAGCGATAAGCTTTCATTCCATGTCTAGACAAATTAATCGAGTCTTTTATAATACCTATTTTGTATTACTATTACTATTATACAGAAAAAAGCGAAAAATATAAAGCGACTGCAAACGATAGCAAACGTTTTTTCTAGATAAATGATAATAGCGATCGTGTCAAGTTGCGTATATTTTTCCACGAAACGAGTCGCATAACATTGATTATTAATGATCATCGTCAGATTTATGTGCACAGTATCTCTACACGATAATTTATATGGATATTACATTTCGCATATTATCTTTCGCAGAACCGAGGTATTTACATGTTTCGCCTGGACGAAGAAAGAGTAGTAGACGCGACATTATGCGGCGGTCTTGCCCGCTACATCAATCACTCATGCAGTCCCAACTGCGTCGCCGAGATCGTCGAAGTCGAACGTGATCTACGTATCATAATTTTCTCTAAGCGTCGGATCGCGCGTGGCGAAGAGGTACGTTGTATAACTTTGTCATCGTAATTCCATTGTATTAACAGAGGAGAATAATCCTTCGGTATTGCAAAAGTATGTTACAATTGATGATAAGACACATTCTTCAAGATATATAAATATTCTGATCTTATATATTTCAAATATCTGAGTGTTACTTATTGCTCTTCAGCTGGCATACGATTACAAATTTGACATAGAAGATGATCAGCATAAGATTGCGTGCGCTTGTGGCGCTCCGAATTGTCGTAAGTGGATGAATTGAAGTGAGAACCCTGAAGGAGACACGAAGGAGAAGCGAGAACGAAAGGAATCACATGAAACTAAGAAGAACTCGTCTCAGTCTGCACATTACGCCCGACGTTGTTATCTTTCTTGCTTCGTTTGTAATATAAAGATAGGCTATATTTTTTCTTACGTCTTAAAGAACATATAAGAAAAATTTGTAAAAATTTTTCCGAAGCTTTGAAAATCTTTATGATATTGGGAAGAATTTTTAATTATGAAAATTTTTAACGATATTTCTTCTACCAAGGAAGAAAGATTTCTTCTCCGAGGAAAAGAAATTTCTCTGTATAAATATATAGATAAGCACGACGGTTATTTACACAAGTACATACGCCCACACATATACACAGTTGCAGTTATATTTACTTCGTGTAAAGAGTGCCATGCCATCGCGCATTTTCTCACGATTAACCGATGAATTAGTTAATTAATTGACGATGACGACGACGAATTAGTTGAACGTTTTGGTGCTAATTGCCGCCATCACACACACACATTCCTCCAAAGTTGTATAATATTATGTAATAACGTAGTTATATATCGATTATATTGTAATGAAGAATGAAGAAAGAAAAAGAAAGAGTATATATATAACGACACGCAATATCACGCTTGTAAATTATATATACACGGCAAGAGAAAGAATGCGTGTGCGTGTGAAAGAGAGGATTTCTATCATTGTGCACCCAATGGACAATGTGTTGTAATATATATATAGATCGTTTATTCGCGTATTATATTATTTTATTATTGCTATTATTATATATCTATCTACACACATATATAGTTTGTCTATATACGCGACATGATTTGATCACGTATGTGAACACATATACAAACACATTATACACACAGCACGCACTGTGCTTTGTACATACATTATGTATATCTGTGTATATGCATATTTCATATACATATATATACATATTTATATATATATATATATATAGATATACGAAGTGAAGTAGTACATTATTTTCAACTACCCGGTGTGTAAAGCGATAATACAGTACCTCTCACAATTTGGAAATTATATACGATTATACCGATTTCAGTGCGAGCGATTGTTATTTGCAAAACTCACACAATCCTGTCGACCTCCTTCCTTCCTTTCTTTCTTTCTTAATTATTAACATCTCTTTTAGTTTAATTGTATAAATTTCCGAGACTTAATTTATTTAAACTTAACAAGTATACACACATTAATAAAAAATATCCAGATTTGCATTTATTTAGTATCAAAGTGACTTTTCTTTTGCAAATTGTTTACAGAATCTCTTTGCAAGACATTCCTCCGAATAATTTTAATAATTGTCTTATTTGCATGAGAGTTATTTTTATAATAAACAAACTAGAAATAGATGATGCGAATAGATGGTGTAAAACTTTTTCCTTGCACACAACAGATATCTTTCTATTTTTTGGAATAAAATGGGGAAAAAATACAACGGCATTAATCGTAAGTTTTTATTTTCATACCCTTGGTCGTATTTACAAAGATACATAATAATTAATTATAATAATGTGATAATAATAATAATAAAATAACGCATAAATATAAAAAATGCAGTCGTTCTTCTCTTAAAAATTCATTAATCAATAAATCCGCGCCTAAAATAATGACAATAATACTATAATAATGGTAATAAAAAATATATATTTACAAAAATATATTTGTAATTCGGCACTTCGCGCGAGACGAGCTGTACAAAAAGATCGTTCAGCATTTTTGTCGATCCACCTTATTATTATTCGAATTAATTGACAGAACTAATTATCCTACCTTAACGATATTCCAACGATGTGAAATAATAATAATACTATATAATTATAGTAACAAAAAATACATATATTTACAAAAGCTGTTTTGCAACCCGGATATTTTGCAAGTCGAGCTGTACAAAAATAGATCGCTTAATCTCTGAATTAATTCATATTCCAATCAATTCATTTTATAATTGTTCGTATTAATCAAAGGAATTAATTATCCTATTTCAGGATAATTTTCGCAAGGTGAAATAGAAATGTGCACAAATGTCAATGAATAATGAACCGAGAAAAATCGTAATTGAACATGCAGTCATGAACGCAGATAAAAGAGACGACGTTCAAATAAATGTTTATAAAAATGCAACTCTTTGGCCTCTTCATAGCATTCCGTTCTCGCTTGAATCATATTGAAAAATGTATTATTACTTGTTTTAGTACAGGGTATTTGTAAAATTCATTTGACCGTCGACCGATTTCGAAGAGCGCAGTTTTTAATCAATCTAGAATATAAAAAAGTTTCTTGTGATATATAGAAATTGAAATCGCGATCCTGGTAGTTGAACACCGATCCTGATGGATCCTGTCTATGTCATCGCTGGTTCAATCCTGTCGCATGCAACAAAAATCAACAGGATTTTACTACAGATAAATAATAATTATTAATACAAGATTATACAAATAAAAATAAAGATAAATTTCTGAAAAGGAACGCAGAGAAATGTATTCAAGTTAATTAAAATATTATTAAAAATTATATAAATATTAAAAGATAAATTACGAAATAATTCATATTAAATACTGTATACAATATAGAAAAGTTTCTCCTCTCGATGCGAAATTTACTACACGGATTTTAAAAAAATCAAATTCAAATGTCCAAAACTTTCAAATTAACAAAACCGATAAAAATAACAACAATAACATCATATAAGTAAAAGTTTACACTTCCACCATGAAATTCGAAGTTTGCAAGGTAGATCTCTGACAAACAGATCCAAACGAAATAATAATAACATTGATAAAATAATAATAATTTATAGGATATCCACATATGTTACAGTCTTATATACAAGAAGTTTCCTATAAACGATCAACCCAGAGCGATAATCCTTCAAAAAGAAAAAGGAAAGTAAAGTGTGTCTCAACAATGAGAAGTGCTCGTTGCAAATCTAAAAAAAAATGTCCTCAATGATTATAATGTCCTCAATGTCCTTATAAATAAAAAGAAGGAAAAAAAGTACTAATATTCCTTATCACTATCTACCTACTATTGACAAATTTAATATTGAAACCTTGTGACTTTTGAATTCAATAAAAAAGGATACTACAAAATCTCTATTTTTTAAATGTATGATACGAATTCTTTCGTAAAATCAGAATTTTTTACTTATGTTCGAGTAAACTGTTGAACAATTGTTAATATTCATTCATTCTTCAACAAAATTATATATACGATATATGTACAAATCGAACCCATCCAGACAGAGGGTCAAGAGTTTAATATATATATATATATGTATGTATATATATATATATATATATATATACATATATATATACTTACATACAAGCTGACCTGGAAAAATTTGTTAGACATGTTTTTTCTACAAATTTAGAGGCTGGTGCTTGATAACAAAAATATGTATTTACTGCCTTAACTTTCCTAATTTTCTATAATTAAAATAATTTTGATTTATGGGATATCTACATATAATTTTATAAAAAATTATATGTAGATTATATGCATTATATGATAATTATATGGCATTATATGATAATTATATATATAAAAAATTATATTTAATTAAATATATTTTCTGCAAATAGGAATATTCCCAAAAATTATCGAATTCGTAACATTACATTTACACTTTCCAGGTAATCTTGCATATTTGTACATACTGGTATATCCGGTGAAACATTCGTATCTCTTACATAATAATTTCGTTTATTATAATTTCTATTATTTATATGCTCTTTATCTATACATGACATACTATATAAACTGCGTTCAAAATCACTAGAATTCCTATAAATTCAAAAGATCACTATAACTTCGACAACTTTTTATTAATCTCGTTCTAAGCGTTATTAACAAAATCACTCGGCTTACAACAAAATTCTGTTTTTCCGATATTAATCTTCTAACATTCGTGGAATGTTAATTAATTACCCACTTAACGCTCAGTTAATTATTTAAATAATCAATTCGCATACAAAAATAAATATCTATTGTGAATGTAAAATAGAATATAACAGATGTATATACATACACAAGCTGTTGCACAATTCAGTCGATGTGAGTAAAAAAGAAAAAAAGATAAAAAGCTTCACAATCAAGTAAAAAGTAGGAAGACAAACATTGTATCTAAATAAAAATATGGTGATGTATTTAATTAGACCTATTTTAGACTTATCTATTTTTTAATTAGCATTCTTTGTTGCAGAAAGTAATATAAAATCATATGTGAGTACTATCAAGTTTGCAAAGTGTAATAAAATTAAACAAGAAAGGAGTCATCATTTAAATGTAATATAAAATCAGAACACAATCACAAATTTACAAATCCGTGACTGTGTCAAAATAATTAAAGACCATAGGTCGTCGTTTATCTCTTTTTCTGCAATCGCAAAACGGTTCACACGCTTTTCTCTATTCAGTCTTAACAGCACCTCCCTCATTTTCAATCGGTACATATCTGAGATTTCAATTTGTATAATTTTACTAATATTTGGGCGCAAACTAACAATATAGCGAAACAAAGTAATTTAAATACCGTTCTATACGGTATTTTCAGTGGTGAAACACAATACTTTGCAGAAGAATAAAATGACGTTTGTTTTCCCAAATAAAATTGTAAATCAAGATTATTAAAAAGAGGAAAAATGCAAGAGGGAGAATCACAATCTCGAATATCGAAAAAGCAGTTTAAATCTTTTGATAAAGGAGATTTAGTCAAATATTCAGGCTTTTTTCTCTTCATTTGACAAAATGCTTAAAATAGACTTACCTGAACTTTCAAAATTAATCGATATATCTATCAAAACCACATTTATTCAATATCTGGTTCTGCAGCCATATGTAATAGAGTCGTTAATGGGTTAAATACATACAGAGCAATCTTAAATTCCTTTTTAAAACTTTAGAGTAAATTCTTCACATTACAATAAAAGTGAACGTTTTTTTGTTTATTATGATGCGAAGAATTTACTCCAAGTGAACTTCAAATTTGTTGAAGGAATTTAGAAGCACCCCGTGTATCTACACTATGCCATTAATGAATTAAATAAAATTACCACGCGAATAAATGATGATATCGATCATGACCATTCATTAAATTAATGAGATGGATTGTAGTGCGCATTAAAGCACATAAAACATAATAGCTGTCGCGATTATTAAACCGATGATACAATAAAGTCAAAGTGGTGATCAGTGGCGTAATTACTATTAATAAAGAAAACTGATAACATAGATTAAATAGGACAATTACTGCAATTACAATTGAAAATATTAAAATAGAATTCGAATCTTTAAGTTTCTTGAAGAGAATATAAGAGGAAAAAAAGGAAGAGTCAATAAATCAGGAAAATTCAAAAGCAAGGATCTCCGATAAAAGAAATTTTACTCGAAGGCATTACGAAAAAATGTTCAGAAAGAAAACAGGTCTCTAGGACCCTTTTCTGCATTCTATATTGATAGTTACGCCACTGTATAAATGAATATGCACAGAAAACTACAGATTACAGTTTCCAAGTGCGACACGCCACACGGCGTATATCGTTAGTTTGCGTCAACTGTCAAACTGATAACAGCACCACCACCACCAGCACCATCATCAGCACCACCACCAGAGCACCACACCACCAGCACTACCGGGGTCAGACTAGACCACACACGCTGAAAGCACACCCATAACGCGTCAACCAATGTCGGATGAGGCATGCTGCTCCTGTTGCTGCTGTTGTTGGCCGTTGAGCAGATTACGACTGTAAATGGCAGCCCGGTAACTGTACCTATTGGCGTTGAGTCGCTCAGGAACCGGCGGTGGCACCAGGCTGCCGCCAATGCCGCCAATGCTGCCAATGCTGCCAATGCCGCCACCGCCACCTCCCATTTCAGTCGCCGTGATGTTTACTAGAGGCCCACCTAAACCGCCAGTCTCGTCTACCTCACCAATGCTGCTCTCCACCAGCGAGGAAGATTCCACCTCACTGAACGCCAGCCGAGAACGCAGAAGGTATGCATACGTCTTGTATCGTTTCAACTGCAAAAACCGTATGTGTATATTGCTATCGGATTTAAAATTGGCGTAGAAAAATAGATTAGTTTAGAATAAAACGAAATACACAACTTTTGATAAGTTAAGAATCACCTCGTGATGAAGATACGCGTCCTTTTCCTTATAATTCTGTACAGTTAGGGCTTTGGCACTCCTCTCCGGTGGGTGCCTCCTGTGCTCATCCAACTCCGCCTCCAACCTGTTGACCCTGTCCTCGTGGTCCCGCAACTGCTCTCTCTAACGACAAATTAATTGAACTCTCTCTCTCTCTCTCTCTCTCTCTCTCTCTCTCTCTCTCTCTCTCTCTCTCTCTCTCTCTCTCTCTCTCTCCCTCTCCCTCTCTCTCTCTCTCTACCGCACGCATTTATAAGAAGCAAGTTCACATAAAGTATCAATTATTAATCTCTATAGTCTGAAACTCTAAAGGTCTCAGGCTAAAATAATAAAAACATATTACTATATCGAGTAAAATAATAAAAACATAGTACTATATCGAGAAAAGGAATCAATGTTAAAAAATTTGTCAAGAAAAAATATATGAATAAAAAAATACGCGTTAAGAAGAAATTACGTGAATATTCTAAATCTAACTATTTGAGTTCTAACAGAGTTTTAAGTCGCCTATCTTGAAATCTTTCCATCTAAGCTGTTCAATTAATATCTCTGAATATGTCTGGAGGGCACACACTCACGGAATCCAGTTTAGTATGGCTGCAAGGCAGCAACGGCCGTTGAAACTTGCGCTGCGAGCCCACAGCACCGGCTAAAGGCTGACACGAGAAGCTCGCGCACACGAAGTTGATAGTGTCGATCCACGATTGTAACTCCTTCGAGTCACTGCATAAATCATATAGATAGGATACAAGTGCCACGAGATATACCTCATGTGTAAACAAACAACAACGAAATTGAACTTGTTTGATTGCATTTTACACGCAAATAGGGTAACTCAAAATAACAATGACAAATTCAGACCTGGTCTGGAAGAGGTACTCGGCCTGATCAGCGGTTTGCAGACGGAAGACGTGCTGTTTCTTCGTGTAGTCGGACGCCTTGGTGGCAAGCGCGTGATGGATGCGTATCGCGTTGTGCAAACTATCGTTGCGGAAACCGTGCTCATCCTTGTGCAGATACAGCACCAGCTCCCGAAGCGTGCAGTAATACATTTTCCATCCGCGTTTGCCAAACGGAGCTACAACGATTGATTCGTTCAGATACACTCACACAGCTTTATTCTGTCCATATTCTTAGTTCATTGAACACATCGTTGATAAAGAGAAAATTGATTAAGAAGCAAAACAAATGGACATATTGGCAATTAATGATAGATAATTACTAATAATACTAATAATGATACTGACTGCAGACTGTACAACTATACGTACTCTTTTTGCCGTTGGAATCGTAGCAGCATTTTCGCATGACGTAACCCTTTTTGAACTCCGTGGCACCCGTGACATTTGGCACGTCGAGAAATGGATTTCCGGTGCCAGCGATCGCCGGCCCGTCGCCTTGCTGGATCACCTGAGACGTCGTTTCATCTCCTTCTTCGTCCCTAGAGCAATAAATATAAAACTAATTTCGAAAAATGTTCGAGTCAAGGATTAAGAATATTTAAGAATATTTAAACATACTTTGAAGATGTTCCAGTAAATTTCTTTTTTAGACACTTGTTTTCCGAGATATTCTTAAGTTATATATTTTAAGTTAAATATTCTACGAGAGTCACTTACAGGGCCCATTCGAGAGGAAAAGACTTGATAGCGTTATAAAGTTGTTTGAGCACCTCCCGCGGGAAATTGTCGCCGTCGTTAAGCTCCGACAGGTTCTCCACGAACTCCGAGCACGACATCTTCCTGCCGATGTTCTGACCGTGCAGATCCGTGTTGAGCAACATTATCGCGCACGTCAAAGTGTGAACGGCATCTGGAAACGTATCATATCAACGTTGATCAATGAATCGTACTTTACATGTTATAATTTTAATCATCTATATTACGCGAGCGCGCGATAAAATTTAATGCAATTCGATAGATTTACACATTTACTTGATCTTCACGATAATTATAATAATATTCTGCTGTATCATATAACAAAAAGGATAACTTTAAAATCTACAAATGTTGTGCGGTGCTTTTTCGTTCTTAATTACCGGGTGAGTCAAATGTGATATGAGATAATAGCAAGCCAATGGCGACAACTCACCCTGAGAATTAAAGGTGCCGGGGTTGCAGTCTAAAAACCTCTTGGAGAAATGTACTAAGACGCGCTCTCTCTCCTGGGTCTCTCCCGTGAGCGAAAACTGAGCGAGAAATTTCCGGAGAGCCACATCCAGTGTGTCGCACTCGAAGTTAAAATAACGCAGGTATTCCTCAGCTACGGCTCTGCTGAAGTCGTTGCTACGATTCAAGTATTATCAATCATTCGTTGAATATAACAATGACGAGTCGAAAAGAGAGAACTTACTTTTTGCTTAGATGCCTGGAGACATCGGACTTTTTGAAACCATCCAGGGAGTAGAGACGCTTGGCTAGCCGTACGGCTGACGGTAGGTCCACCGCCTTCGGACTGTAGTGGAAGCTGTGCAGGCTTTCGATGTCGCTTTCCTCGTCGGCCGATTGCGGCGGCGACACTCCGCCGTGTCCTTTCTGCTCGTCGCACAAGCCCGTCGAAGCTTCTTTATCGTCCTCGCACTCCTTCAGCTCCTTAGAATTCAACGATACGTCGGAGGTAAATATCGGAAGTAATCGGAGAATATCGGTAAATGAGAAATAAATGTTCAACAATAATCCGATAAGACGCGAGAAATCGATTTCATAAATTTCCAATGTTGCTCAAAGAAAATTGATATATTTCGTTTAATTAACACCCGATAAAAGAGATCCAGTCCCGGGCAATTTTCAATAAAATTTCAATAACATTTTCACAATCTGTAATTAAATGCTCTAATAAAATATTCTAACAATATGAATTCAATTTAATTAAATCCCGATAGAATCCTGATAACACTGATAGAGAGTTAGATCGACGCTTGGCATAGATTTCACATTACCTGGTAACCCACGTGTTCTGGTGCCATCGACCCCGTCGTGACCCCCGGCGCCGTCGCTGTTTGTGTTCGCTGCAGATTCTGTGCAGCGACAGGAGGAGGCGTCAGTTCCGCGTTTCCAGGATTGCCGCGTCTTCTCGCCTGTCTGGGACTTGTGTTTCTCGGCGCAGCGGCATCCTTATCAGGGCCCTTTACCTGTATCACGATTCTGTGGTCACCGCCACCACTGTCCTGGGGGTTGTTGGTCTTCAGCCTCCTTTGGGGTGGTTCGCTCGCCAAAATGGTGGAGTCGCTGTCGCTGGGGTCGCTCACCATCATGATATCCCTCGCGCTGAGGATATCCATGGTCTCCTCATCGTTATAGTCCGGACTTGACATGTTGCTGATAGCCTCCGACTGGCTGAGGTCGCCGTTCGCTGGGAGAAGCCCGCCCGGGGTGCCAGAAACCCCGGAGACTCCAGGAACCGTCTGTGCCGGCGGGAACCTGCGCGAGCCAGAGTTGGAGGACATGACGGAGGACGAGACGGAGGTAGGGGAGGCAGGGGACAGCGAACGCTGAGGACTGGTTGATGAAGAGGATGAAGAGGAGGAAGAAGAAGAGGAGGAAGAGCCGCCATTTTGGCAGCAGGAAGCGGCGGGCGAGCTGACGGGCGCGTTATACGTCCAGACGATCCTCTCGTTAGGCATGAGACCGATCTCCGGCCGCGGGTCCAGCAAGGTATTTAGGCTGCTGGTGACGTCGTCGTCGATGTCGATATCCACGGCGCTCATGGAGGGGTCTTTTTGGAACTGCAAGTGATCCTCCGACCGCGAGGTTCGGACGAAACCGAAGCTCGAAGGGGTATTCTTGTTGCTGGAGTCGATCTGATGTGAGCCTGGGGTACCCTGCACCCCGTCGCGTCTACCAGTGCCCACGGGCGACGTGCTAGCCGAGCTAGAGGACTTGTAAGTAGCGCGTTGGTGATAGTGGTGATGTTGGTGATGATGATGGTGCGCCAACGTGTTGTCGTTGGGGCTGCTGGGCACCGAATTGTGGTGCTGGTGGTGATGATGATGATGATGGTGGTGGTTGTGGTGGGTGGTTGTGGTGGTGACGGTGTAAGAGTGGTGGTTGGGATTGTACCTAAGGGAGTCGATTTTCTTCTGATGCTGCTGTTGCAGTTGTTGCTGCTGCTTCGGTAGCAGATTGCTGCTCTGCTGAGTGCGAGAGAGGTTGAGCATCAGGTCACCGGTCATCATGTACGCTTCGAACCTGAAGACGATGCGAAAGGAGTGTTGGAACGGATACAAAAGGTTCGATTGTGAGAAATTAGAAAAGGAAAAAAAAGAAGTTGATCTGACTACAGAACTATAAAATTAATTAGGATACGATTGCAAAGCTTCTTCCTGAAACCGTAAAAATGTCGCTAATACTTTTTGCTAGAGTGCATATTCATGTTAATATCCTTTCAGAGAACTCTATCTTATATCTTTCTTTTTACTATTAATACTTTTTACAATTTTACATCTCGCATTACGCTCACTTTCTTCCCGTTCTTTTAAAAATTTTCCCTCCCTTCATCGAATGTCTTCTTTGAATATCGGTGTACGTATGTTGAATTTATACCTAGGTGTGTTCTTCTGCCGAACGAATTTCTCGCCAGTCGTGCCGAGAGGCTCCCATTGAGATCTCTCTTCCTCTTTGAAGTGGTCCACGGCGGCCGGCAGGAGCGCCTCTAGTTCCGACGAGACGGAGGCATCGCTGCATGAGCCGTTGCTCCTCGTCGCCGCCGTCATCGTCACCGGCGTCGGCGAACCTGTGGAGGACACCTCCGCCAGCTCCTTATCCTCCTTATTCAGCGAAGGAGGATTCTCCTTGGAAGACTCCGTAGTGGACTCCTCCTCATTGGTTGGTTGTCCGGGCGACAATAGGCGACGAACATGCGCCTTCACTGCTGGATCTGCAAGGATTCGGTCGTTTTATCTTTTCATCCTTCTCTCTGCTTAAGAAACTGCTAGTTAAGAAACTCAGAGAGAAAGCTACTTTTTGTAAAACAATGTGTAACAATATGTAACATCTTGTACGCTTTACTTGTTATAAAATAGATAGGACTCATCGGCACTCTTACGTAATACTAATTAATTTAATAACGGACGTTCATTATAATAATAAGAACGTTCTGTTGGCAGAAGCGCGGGAACCAGGAGGCGAGCATAAAAGCTGAAAGTTCTTTGACTGATCAACCGAGGGGCCGTCTGGCGGACGGAAAAGCATTCGCGTCGCCTGAGAGTGCGCCCATGCGAGTAATCGCATGTCCTTGGTCACCGGTCACCCTCTTCCTGCTGCTGCGTAACCACCGGAGAGCTCCCTTTGTTTCTCGCGTGTTAGCCCAGCCGGTGTGTTATTATAGCGTTAATTCTATTATTACCCCGTGCCGATTCCAGGTTCAAGTACGATGCGCCGTCTCCCGACACTCGGCGATCTATCATTGGATCTCACGGTGCTCTCGATCGCGAGAGTTCAGTCACCACGTAGCCTCGGGAGACGCGCGCGGTGCATTTAAATCAACGGTACGTCTCGTTAATTAAGATAAATGGCGCAGTTATAAATGCAAAATCTATATAACAACCAATCGGACGGCGAAATTAATTAATCAACGATACGCATCGTTTAATCGCTTCATGCTGAATAATGCTCACCTCTTCGCAGCTTCAGGGTGACAGGATCTGAAGAGAGCCGCAGGCATTTTAGCACTGAAACATACCAATGAGATGAATCAATTTTCAAAATCAATTACACATTATCGCTCGCCCGAAATAATATTAACAGTAATATCGTATTACCAATATTATCAGCTGAAAATGTGCAATTTGCAGAACTGAACTACGCGATAATCGATTTGAGTTCCGCAATACATGCAATTTTCACCGCGAAAATTGTACTACAAACAAAAATGCGAATTATTTTCATTCCGATTTCGACGATGAAAGTTCGACGGTGAAAATTTAATAAACGTTGAATTAGAAGTGCTAAATCTGGAATTAAATTTATCAATGAACCGTATATATATATATATATATATTGCAAATTGTGAACGACATATTATAAATTCATGAACGACATATTACAAATTCTATTCTCCGAGGTGTTGTCAAGTTCGATTTCAATGGCCATGACGAATTTCGGGATTCTGACTAAACACCATTGCGCAGTTAAATTACATCAGAATGAATCACGTTGAATGACACTTGATTTATGCCAGATGACTGAATACAGACGTAAAAAAGATCGATTGTGAAAACAAGTGCAAAACAAGAGAACCTCTGAAACGTATCTACCGAATACCTAAAAAACACAGTTATAAATTCATAACAAAGAAAATGGCTCGGAATTTAGTATTAAGATTACTTATCTCGGGTGTTTATTGGCCAATTAAGAAGAAATTAAAGCGATTAATTCGCGAGAAAATCCCGAATCCAAAGGATCTGGGCTAACTACCGACTTGATATTTAAATTCCCAGGAGTAAAATTATCAAACTCTAAGTTTAAAATTAAACGTAGACCGTTACTTGCCTTCCTTCGTACTGAATCGGTTGACGTCGACTTCGTTCACCCTGAGTATTACGTCGCCGGCCTCGACCTAAAGAATATCAAGGGAGAACCATGTTTTATTGTCACATCTATTCTTATATAATATATTTAACTTTGTTCCTTCTCTTTCTCTTTGTCTCTCTTTGTCTTACTCTTTGCTCGAGAACAATTTATTCGTAAGCGCATCTTAGATCAATCTATAACCATCTCTATCTATTTTAAGGACCTATTAAATCCTAATTTTACTTTATACTTATCTCCCCGAGGAGAATTTGGAAAATAATATTGCGTACGTACACACACACACACACACACACACACACACACATATCGAGACACAACAAAAAGACGCGTAAAACACCGAAGGTAATTACATCTCTGTGATTTGAATGCCAACGTAAAATTTGAAGAGCGGAACGTAACGAGTATGTTCCAATAAAATGATACATTTACGTTCGGTACGTTAACGTCCTTAAGAGCGTGTCCGATCGAAATAGTGAAAGTCCGAAATCGAGGCGAGTCCTGTTACGAAATCACGTCATTGGAGGTGAGAAAAGTTCAACGAGTGCGCCGGCGAAAGGATTGCAGTTTACTCGCACCAGTTTTCCATGTGACGGACGGAGCGCGAAATTGGTCCTATACGAGGAAGAATATATCATTATAGAGGTTATGTTACAACCGCCACTATTAGGGTCAGAGCAGACTTTTGCATAAAGCATAATACACAACGCATAAGAGAATCAACCAATCAAAGTTCTTCATTTCTATCCTGAGGAGGGAAATGAAGAAAACTAATTGGTTTATTCTCTTATGCGTTATGTATTATGTGTTATGCAAAAGTCTGTGCTCTTGCCCTTATAAACGACACATCGGACAGGTAACGGTCACGCTCAGAAAAAAATAAGTTGAAATTTTCCCGAAGAAAAGAAGGGATAAAAGGAAAAAAAAGAAAAAAAAACGAAAAAAATATTCTCAGATAAAAAAGAAAGAAAAGACAAAGAGAAGAAACGAAAAAAACCCCAGAATGAAAACACGAAGCTGCGACAACCGACTGACCAAAAATGTTCATGTTCACCACCATAGAACGTCGTGTATACTCAATGGCGAAAAATCTGCGACGCTTTTCTCAATGAGTTCCGCGACGCATCCTTGAGCCAATGGAAGAGTTTCTTTTTTTTTTCTAGTAATTAACGAAATAATTATCCCATTGGATGCGTATTGGGGACAGATCATATCTTGAGACGAGATGAAAATTGCAAAAACCTGCTAAAAAATTCTATTAGACGCTAACCAATGAGGTTATAAATATTCCAATAAATTCGTTCGCTTTTGCGATTTTCACGTGGTTTCGAGAATACACCTTCGACCCGTCTCGAAGTTGCGCGTCGAAGGAGTGAAAGTGTCGCACTTTTTCTGCCATCGACTGTACGTCGAGAAATTACAAAATGGAAGACTCAACAATTAAGGCTCACGGTAACAATAACATTAATAATTCGCAGCGAACCTTCCCCCTCCCCATATCTCTTAATAATGCTATTCATTCGTTGTTACATAATTAAGTCGCGAAAGGGAACGGTCTTCACCTGGCGGAGGGGAACGTATTCGATGTAATCGAATCTGCCGTCCCCGGGGGACCGTCCTCCCATCAGGAGGTCGAAGGGTCGCAGGCAGCACGATAGGCAAGACGCCAATTTCGGCATCGGAAGTGTCGTGTAATCGTATCCACGGTACTCGTAGGTACCTCACAATCGATATAGCTTTAATCGATACAGAAATATAACGCAATTGCGAAAATACGTCGGAGCGGGATTGAAGTGCAACGGTAACGGCGATAAGTATGAGTCGTCACTATCGCTCGGTCGAACGTACGAAATGCATGGAATTACGTCATTCAATCATGTCGCGACTTTGTGGCAATTATCACAAAATTGCGTATCGTTTGTACATTGTGCTCCCTCTCGTACTCTTCGTTGGGGATACTGTCCGATGACTTGACTCGTCGAACAAAGATGTCTGGAATTAGAGCAACTTCCGGTGACTTCGCCCCTCGATAATGTTACAGGTGAGAGCAGAAGGACAGGGAACTCGTGCCGATTTCCGCCACGTTTCTCGCTTATTCCCCCCGGGTGGATGCATACGGATCGTGTTGTCGCGAGAATCGAGATACTCTCGCGGTTCCAGACACACCACTGCCTAACGATGGACAAGTGGACTTTGAATATGAGAGATATTCTCTTCCACAAAAAAGGGATCATTCGCGGACGCGCGAATGACGGAATACGACTGATTTCGCCTCGTACCAGCGACGACGACGAATCTCAGGCGGAAAACACACACGAGTGGGCCAGCGGCCAATTGTATTTTTGGGTCCTCTACTGACATTGACTTTGCTCTCGGCAGGTTCGGGCCGTTCTCCAAAACAAGTCGTTGCATTACACCTACAACATTCGGCTTTGAGGTAACGATACATTTCTAAGGCTTGTATTCTGAACTCTCTTTTATCATTAAAAATAATTATAAAGTAGCTTATAAGCCTCTGATTGGCTGTAAGCCACTTTTAGTGATGAAGGAGAGGTCGGAATATGAGCCTAAATATAAAAAGTGCGCTGTGAAGCTTAATTTTTTGTCATGACGCTTTGGTACGTATACTCGTGTGTGTATATATATATATATATATATATATATATATATGTATATTTTTATGTGATTGCGCAGCGATGTTTCTCTTCAATTTACTTTGAAGGAAGGTGATAAAATTTGATTTAATATGTTTGACAAGCGAGACACGCTGTACATGCGTGTAGAACAAGCGCGAATCACCCTCGCATCAGTCATCTCGATAATCGTCGACAACGCGCAGAGGATGTCGGAGGATCCGCAGATTCTTCCCCCGAAGGTCGAGACGATCGAGTTGTCCGACAAGGGAAGAAAATACCACGACTCGGGAACGCGGCCGAAGGATAAGGACGATAGAGTCGTCGTCAAGTTCCGCTGCGATCTCCCGTCGACGCAGAGCGAGGTGATGCTCGCGAGGGGGTGGACGCAGGTAATATAATTCCATTCACAAGGAACATAGTTCAAGCGCCCTCTCCTCTTATCCCCCTACTCAAAAGGAGTCGCTCAATGAGCCGCTCGAATTACTGGATTCACGGCTGATTATTTTCACGGTGTAGATAGAATTACACGTAAAAGAGATGACGAATTAAATCCAACAAAACTGTGTGAAAAATCAACACGCCGTCCCCCGTGTACGATTCTCACTCCCCCCTTACTTCATCCCTCGAGATAGCCGACCCCGCAGACGGCAGCTGGCATCTGTGGTGGTGCGAGACGGTCGAGGCGCGACGCGCGCTCGAGGAGCGGCGATTGCTGCCGCGGCAACGTGTGCCGCACTTCCGCAACCACTACGAGCTCACGTGCAAACACCGGCTAGGACGGAACCTCAAGCGTTACCGCCGGACCCTCGCCGCGGCCGGCAAGGCCGCCGAGGCCCGTATTTGCAGCGAGTCCGCGCCCGTGACCTTCGAACTGCCCGCCGATTACCGGATCTTCGTCGAGGAGTATCACAGGTACAAGAAGGATCGATATTGTGCTTCATCGACGACGAATATATTAGCGGATGATATTTGTATATCATTAATATCATTGACATTTCAAGCGTCATTAAGATTCTCTTTATTAATATCACTCGTGCAAATTGTATGTCAATCATGATGAATCAGATGCGCGAATTATGCGTGTGTGTTACTTGTTTCTTGTCTTGTGTTTTATTTTCGTCGTTTTTTATTTTATCGCTTCTACGTTAAACATACTTTATTCATTGATTGTTATTTGGCTCGTTAATGTTCGTTGAGTAATATGGTATAATGGTGATTGGTATCTCTAATTACAGGCAACAAGGTGCCACGTGGATAGTCAAGCCAGCAGCGCAGTCGCGTGGTAAGGGTATTTTTCTATTCAGGAAACTGAAGGATCTGATCGAGTGGAAATCGAAGTCGCAACATCAGGGTAGCCCGGCTGAGATTTACATCGTTCAGAGATATATAGATAATCCTTATCTCGTAGCAGGTACGAAATTTTGTATGCCTTAGAGCCGGTTGTTCCAACTTCTTAATAAGTTAACTGATAGTTAAGTCATATGTATGTCTTTGTTTTTCCTTCAACTTAGACAAAATCAGACATATGATTTAACTATCAGTTAACTTACCAGGAACAATTTACCAAAGGCCGGTTTAGAACAGCCGGCCCTTAAAACAGTTGCTTAATATATATATGCAATTTATTATGTTATATACACAATAACTTGTATGATATGATATAAAACTTTATGCACAGCACATATACTACACCTAATTTTTATAATATTCATATATCATATAAATTGTGTGTGTGTATATGTATATTGTCATTTGTTTTAATTTGTTTTAATATTTGTTTTAAATTTCTCTTCAAATTGTTTCCATTTACATATTACAAAGCTTACATATACATACACAAAGATTACGATTATATTTTTGCCTATTCTTCGAATGTTACGATTTCTATCACTATTTCTCAGGCTTAACTCCATACCTGATTTCAGGGCGAAAATTCGATTTGCGCATTTACGTACTGGTGACGTCGTTTCATCCCCTGAAAGTGTGGCTAGCCAGAGAGGGCTTCGCTCGACTATGCGGTCGACTGTTCGACCTGAAAAATATCGAGGATAGCAGGGTACACTTGACGAACATAGCGATACAACTAAAGGCCATTCAGAATGCCCAGAATTCCCCTTCGATAGGAGAGGAAGAGATAAAATGGGATTGTAAGTGGGCCTTGAGCAAACTCAAAGAATATCTGATAACTTATCACGGGGCGCAAACGGTGGAAAATCTGATGCAACGAATCGCAGGTAGTTCGAAAATCCTACATATTTAGAATGTTACACGCTGGGTTTATACTATTTATCAAAATATTATTTATTATAAGGATTTAATACAACAGATTATTTATTTTATATATAAATTTAAATATTTAATCAGTAGTTTGAAAATTCTGTGCATTTAGAACGTTATAAGGATACAGGATTTGCATTATTTATTTATTAAAATATGATTTATTATAAAGATTAAAATTTATGGATTATTTGTTTTACACGTATGTTGAAATAATATTTTATACGCCATAATACTATCAATTATATCAATTATGAACTTTATATTGTAATTCTTCATCTCAGTATGTAGAGATGTTTTTTTTTTAATTTTTGAATATCGCAAGAGATTAGTTTTTAATTGAAATAGACCAAGGTACATATTAGAGTACATTTGTATTGAGATAAAAATAATTAAATGTGTACGATACTCTTAATATTCATCATATTTCTTCGTGGCACAAAGTGCACATTAGACTCTCCCTCGTGCCGGAAAAAATAAAAAGAAACATCAAAGGAAGATCAAAGTTCTCGCTCGCACAAACTCATTGCACAATTGCAGGCATCATAATGGCGAGCTTGCTGGCGGTACAGCCGGTCATGATGCAAGATCGGAACTGCTTCGAGCTCTATGGCTACGACGTGTTGCTCAGCGATGACCTGCGACCTTGGCTGCTCGAGGTCAACGCCAGTCCAGCTTTAACAGGCACCGATAAAGAGGATTATCGATTAAAATTCGACTTGATCGATGACGTACTCAACGTCCTCGACTTTGAGGTATAGCGATTAATATTACAAATATAAAAGCGTCGCGTTCCCCCTACAGTCTTCTCAATTGTTCACACACACACACACACACACACACACACACACACACACACACACACACATGTGTATGTACAATTATAATTCTGCTCGGAGGGTCGCTTCAGCGGTCGCGAGACTAGAATCGGCGGGCTGGATTTGCTGTGGGACGATGGACCAGTTTGGACCACCTGCCCGTACCCCGGGCCTCAGCACGAAGCGATTCCCAACGACTTCAAGAGGCTCAATATCTTCCTCGGGACAATCAACGATCGTCAGACTCAGTTATCGTTGTTGAGGGACCAGCTGACCGAGAGACGCAAAGCCGCACGGTGTTATTCGACCGTAGTACAATATTGTTTAAAATAATGACGGGAGTGCGTACATATGAGCATCTTCAAAATATATCAGGAGCGTCTGCTGGGAGAGATAAGATAGCGATTTTGACATTCTTCCTGATGTCGTCAGAGTTCAAGGGAAAGAATGCCAAGGCATTCTTTCTCATGATCAAGATCGGCCGATATATCGAAACGAATAAACGGATTTCTGCCGCATCCGGACGGGGTTTAATGGCCGAGGCAGCCGCGGTGTGGAAGCTGGTCAATGCGGTGTGCACACGATGTGCACGAGTCGCCCGGCTAAATTTAGTTTCGAAAGGAAACTGGAAAGGAAGAAAAAATGATGACGAAGAAGAGAGCGCGACAACGAGATGAGCTACGTAAAAGCGAGAGTGCACCGGCTGCATTCTTTCGCACGGGCGACACACTTTTGCGATTAATTCCTCAATGAACAAAAACGCCAAATTCCACGGACAAATTTTCCGGCTGTGCGGCATAATGGGTTTCAATGAAGCCTTGACATTTGCCACAATTATTAACGTCTTACTTGGCTTAACAACCTTTGTTTTTTCCAGTCGTTCTCATCGTGTATGGATATGTTACGATACGACACGACGTGATAAGATACGATATATGATACACTAGCTATCGACGCGTCTCACATAAAATCAACAGCTGTACACGCATGTCCAGACACGACGCAGATGACTTGAAGATCACCGAGACTGATGACTTTGTAAATTTATGTTAAAGCTCGATTGAAGCTTGATGGTATTATGCGGACAAACAGATGTGCGCAAAGTCAATTCCCTGTTTCACAAGATCGGGAGAGAACTATTCCGTTTGTTCCTCGCGGAAAGCTGGAAATTTCCTCGCAAATTAAGCTCCGGCACGTTCATTGTTCTCGCCATATCTCAAGCGTCGCGAGTGTTTAGGATGTTTAGGGGCTGATCGATTCTCCTACGCGCGTGTGCTACATCGAGGATGCTTTCTAACTAAAGAGTCTCGAGGAAAGCATCGTCACCTTCTCGAAGTGCACTTCTTTCCTCCCCTCTTTCTTCGTCTCCTCCAGCTGCTTACAAATGCACAAATCGCTCGGAAGAGTGCCGTAATCAATACTCGATGCAATCTTCAAGATGCAACAGAGAAAAGAAATACTCGAGAATAGGCCGGGCGGGCCGATAAATCCGGATAAAACTTGCATGATACGGCGCGCATACAATGTAAGAGAGAGAGAGAGAGAGAGAGCGACGTGTACATAAGAACGTCATAACGAATGGAACGAAAACAGACATGTCGATGACGTTTAATCGCATTATGGGCACGTTGCATTACGCGTATTGTTCTCCTTGCTCATACACGGCCAATTGTATCGCGTGCGTATAACACGCGTGATCATACTTATTTCAAGCTGTAATCTCATTTATTCACTCCATGCGCAGTCATTTTACTCGAGACATTAGAACGAAGAAAAGTCCTTTTCATTGCATTTTTCTAAATTCGAGAGAAAAGAAAAAAGGGAAGAAAGAGCTACGAGAATATCCAAAGAGTACAACTCAAAAGGGAAGTACTGTACCCTTTTAGCTGTACCTTGTTACATCTTCTGCACTTCAAACGTGGAAGATATACATGTAGCGAGTGAGAAAGCGCGAGCGAGAGAGAGAGAGAGGGGGGAAGTAGAAAAAGAGAAAGAGAGAGACAGGGAGAATCGCGAAGACGCAGAAAACACAAGCTGTAAGGACGAACAGCCTACGGGAAGTTCGACCCGACGCGATCGACGCTCTTCCTTCGGCTGTGAGGATCCATTCCTCGCGCACCTGGTGGCATGAAAAATTGATCCTCGCATCGGCATCTGCCACTCTCGAGCGTAAGAATCAATTCTCCGCGGGACATGCACACGAAAATCACTCGTGAGGGTCAATTTCTCACGCCATCGCTCGCTCGCTCGCTCGTTCGCTCGCTCTCTCTCTCTCTCTCTCTCTCTCGCTCTCTCTCTCTCTCGCTCTCTCTCTCTCTCTCTCTCTCTCTCTCGCATCGTTCCTCCAACGCGACGCACTTTTCGGGTTCTCTCTCTCACCTTGCCGCTCCGGGCCGCCGGCGAGTTCTCGACGATGTCATAGATGACGTGGTGGCCGCGCAGACCGCCGGCCGCGTTGCTACCGAGAAGCGAGAAGCCGAACCCGGCGCCGCCGCCGGTGTCGCCGCGGTTCAGGGTGACCAGCAGCTCCTCCTCAGCCATGGCAAGCGGGCACAGGCAGAGGAAGGCAGGCGAGCAGGCACGGTCACATCGATCCCCACGTCCTGTCCGCTATCATTTGTCTCGTCGAGACGCTATCGCGTCACGCGCTTCTCTCCGTCGGACACACGCTCGCACTCGCGGCCGCACTGCCACTCGCGCTCAGGATCACTCAGCACTCGCGTTCGCGCTTAGCACACGCACGCTCGCGCAAAAGCGAAAGGAAAGGAACAGGCGGCCGAACCAGACGCGCGACGCGCCACCGTGTCCGTCGCGCGGGTTCCTGCGTGTGCTTCTTTCTTTCTCTCTCGCTTACTCACTCACTCACTCACTCACTCACTCACTCACTCACTCACTCACTCTCTCTCTCTCTCTCTCTCTCTCTCTCTCCCACGTCCTACCGCGCGCTGTCAGTCGACTACGGCGGCAGCGGTGTATCTATCCCACAGGCACGCACACCCACGCGCGGTCGGGAGGCGCCCTTCCCTTCCCTCCCTCCTTTCCTCTCGCCAGCCGCACTGCGAAACGATCGGCCGCGTTCGCGCTCTCTCTCTCTTCCCCTCTCTCACCCTCAGAGCCTAGCGACGCGCTCTAGCTCTCACTCCTTCTTGTTCGCTCGCTTATGCCTGTTCGCTGTCATTCACCGTACGTCGCGGCGAAAGGAGGTAGAAGGAAGGGAGGGAGGGAAGGAGAAAGAAAGAGAGAGAGAGAGGGGAGACGCGGCAACGCTGCTCGAGAGATACCGTATCATATACGCCACACCTTCAGGAGGGCGAGAGCAAAGGCTTTGGAGAGGCTGACGGAGGATCGAGCGAAGGAAAAGTGAGATTACTCTGTCCCTCTCCCTCTCTCTCTCTCTCTCTCTTTCTTTGTGTGTGGGTATCGCGCGCGCGCGCGCGCGCGCACACCACACACACACACACACACCACACACACACGCGCACACGGGGAATCGCGTGACGCGAAGCGTCACGCACATATGCAACGAAAGACACCTCTCGCCTGACCGGCGGATGCCCTACGACTAATCCAGGCTCCAGGGCCGACAAACTCGAATAGCCTTCGGGAATTTCGGTTGCGTGCCCCCGTCTTGACGGAGGGCGCTGGTGTCAACAGGGAGATTAAATTAATCCACGGGAGAATTAGTGAATTCTGCGCTTTGTACTGCTGCCAATTTTCATCCCGATTTCGATGCATTTTCGTCGTTCGTCGTTGGTAACTGCCGGGTGTGATCCATTTGACGTTTCGAAGAGTGTTTTTAGTGATATGTGTAGGTTCTCAGTGTTAATTTTCATGAACGTGAATTTGAAAAGTTGATCTCTAGAGCGACATCTGGCGGGCGTTGAGCAGAAGCGAGCGCTTAGTAACTGATGCTTGTGATTGGACTACACTTTTAGTTCTTGACATGTCGAGAGGAATGAACCAATCAAGTGAGGAGTAAGGATTGAAGGTGAATTTCTATTAAACGCTATCATGGCTGCGTTCCGGTATTCACTGCCAGCACTGAAAATCTGTAGTATAAGTGACACAAACCATGTATTTTCAGTACTAGCAGTGAATATCGGAATGCAGCCGTAAATGTGCGTAAACGACAGCTGTGGAGAAAACTGTATGGTTTGAACTTTTGGAGGTTGGAGAAGCTTCAGTTGATAATTTTATTTGTAACTATATTACGGTGTGAAATTATTTATAACTTTTAATAATATTTTATCCTGTGAGTGACAATGTCTATAGAAATTGTGCCGAAAGATCTGCGTGGACTAAGAGCGTGTTTAGTGTGTTCTTTAATTAAGGTTTGTATCTCATAAATGTACATTCTGCATAGCAATCAAATTTTAATTAATTGCGGTATATAAGATTTAGACTTATAAAATAATTGTGTTTATAATTTTATTCCACAGACCTTTGACCAGTTTGAATTTGATGGTTGTGATAACTGTGATGAATTTCTACGGATGAAGAACAACAAAGATAATGTTTTCGACTGTACAAGCTCTAATTTTGATGGGTAAGATATAATAAGAAGTATACAAATCCTCAAAAGTTAGTTTTAAAATATATACAGAGGTAATAACATCAGCAGTAATGAAAAATTTATACAGCTTTTATCTCTGATTGATTTATTTATTCTGTTCAGTTTATTTATTCTCTTAGTTAGTTATTCTCTTTTATTTCTCAGAATGATTGCTGTAATGAGTCCGGAAGACAGTTGGGTTTGCAAGTGGCAAAGAATAAGTAAGTATTATATGTATATGTACGATAATATTACATTTTACCATATAAATATTAAGAACATAATCATACTTCTTTATGTTGCTGAGAAAAAATATAAAATACTATCATTTCCTTCTCTTGTTTCATGATTTGATATTATTATGTTACTGTTGTATAGTATTTGATAATCACTCTTATAATATACTTGCATAATTTATTTTCTAACAACTGTACCTTATTGATTTAATTAATTGATATTAATATCCTGTTTTTCTCAGATCGCTTTTGCAAAGGTGTTTATGCCATATCCGTGTCAGGACGATTACCAGCTGGTGTCATCAGAGAATTGAAGAGCAGAGGAATAGCATACAGGCCACGTGACACAAGTCAACGATGAGTGTTTTACAAACTTATATAAGATAAATAATAATTAATACTAATTTAATCGCTGATTATAATAATAAAGATGTTTATATAGATGAATAATAAAATAAGTCTTTTATATATTATTATGAAACTTTAGTCTGCATATTATCTTTCTGGTATATATCTGTATGACTTTGATAGATTAATTTAAAATTAGATTTAAACTTAGTCTCAAAATATTTTTATAGATCATTTGTCATGTATTATTGTGTTTAAATTAAAAAAAAAATTGCATTGTACATAGATATTACAGATAACATTAAATATAACTTTCTAGATGTGTGTGTACATTTAATTAGAGGTAAAGTAAAGAATATCAGATTACTTGCGATTAATTTTTTGCACGATAAAGTCATAGATTTTTATGTTTTCACAGTCTAAAATGAATATGCAAAATGAATACAACTATGCGGAAAACGATCGTTACAGGAAGAAGCGATGTTTCAAGAAAATTACATACAGACATGCGATGTGAAGACAGTTTGCAAAGAAACAAAGACTATATAGCCCTGTAAAAAGAAGTGGATTAAATAAACTTGCTAGAAAGTCGAGTGGAAATATAAAACTTGTAGCTTTTGAGATCAGATGGTGCAGAAAGTCGATATGAATTAATGGATTAATTTGACGCGCTTAAACCCCGACTAAGATATTTTTTAACTTTATGTTTTTTCATCAATCGTAATCAATGTTTTGTATTCCAAATTTCGTAGTCAAAATTAATAGATAAAAACAGGGAAAAATAGAAGAAAACTTTCATCTCTCAATTTTACAAACAATACAAATAAATTGTATTAAATAATTCGCAAGAAGTCGAAAGACGTATTAATTAACGACGAAAAATTTCTTTCAATTCAGCTGTGTTTTATAGGGCCGCTCGTTAAAGAGAAAGTGTGATAGAGATTGTAGGAGGGACGTTCGTGTAATTTGGGAAGCACAGAGTACTCGTAGAGATGTATAGTGTGTATAGTATAGTATACAGTATATAGACACGACAGGGTGACATTAATTCTTCAGAATATATTTACAAGAGCAGTACAAAGAGTAACTCGATATTACACATATATATTCGTTACATAGACTAACGAGTAATAGGTATAAGCAGGTGAACAGTTTAAATATTAATTGAGGCACGAGATAATAAGGCATTTCTACAGAGGATAAACACACGATCGTACGCACGTAAGATAGAGCGCTCCGAAGATTTCAAGAGAAAACAGAAAGGAAAAAGGACATTCCAGTGATGTTCCGTGATTAGCGACGCGCTCTCGAGCGATATAGCCATCGCTTTCCCCTCGCGAATACACCATCTTCGCAATTCGCGGCAAAAAATTTGCGACAAACTAATCCAGCGTAAAATAAGGGATGTCGAGTGACAAACGTTACTTTCACCTTCTACCCCAAAGACGTTCACCTCCAAAATGCCCAACTTAATCTAACGTGTATTGCTGAAGAGACTCTTGTCGCGCGTCGCGCAAAGTGCTATTGCGTAAATCGAGAGACAGATGTGCATCGTCGAGCACATCGAACGTTAATCCTGAATCCTTGTCCTTTTTCTCTTTCTGCGAATTGTCGCGCTAGCTACGATATCAAACGAGGAAGGGATCCAGACGAGGCACAACGCGACGAAAAAGGAGAGACATTCGCGCGAACGTCCCGTTTTGTCTAAAAGAAGTTCGCGGAAAATCGCGCGTTGAATCTTGAGAACGCTTTTTGTACTCTCGCGTTACTCGGAAGGCTAAATGGAACATTATTCGCAACAGTATGCAAAATATACCGACACGAGTAACCGAGCGTCGAACGTTTTTCTTGGTTTCTCATCAGCACGAAGACGAAACGCGCTTTCGCAAACGGACGCCCCTCTTTTTCGCTCTCCCCCGCCCCCCTCTCTCTCTCTCTCTTTCTCTCTCCCTCCCTCTCCCTCCCTCTTTCTCTCGCTCTCACCTTCGAACACATTCTCGGGAAAAATCGCGTATCTAAATACCCGCAATACTAAGATATCGACGAGATATGTTTACGACGAATAGTCGCATTTGTTGGTTCCGGATCCCCTCTCCTTTTCTACAGGACTCGTGATTAACACCCTTGGCAATAGTCTATCTTACGTGTTTACAATCGTTGCAAAAATTACATTAGTGGACGTCACAATGAAGATTGGTATTCAGTGCGGAACCAGTTGTGCTACACTGAATAACATACCGACTTTTTTTATCTTAGAGTGTGTGTATGTTTGTTAGGTAAATGTATATGTGTGTGTGTGTATGTGTGTGTGTGTGTGTGTGTATGCGTGCACAGACGTGGTCGAGATCCCTAAAGTTTAGAACACGTAGCTAAAAATGTCCAATCTGACCGAAGAGAAGATGAATCAAAGAACGAAGGACACACACAGTATGTACAATGCGGAAGTCATTAACATAGATCGATAATCAAGATTAACTCCGTCGTGGAGAGGCACAACAGAAGAGACAATCCTTCGCGCAGACGATCCGCGCGTCTTCTCGTCGCGGCGACGACGTGACAATGCAAAGCGCGACCTCCTCCGTGACATCTTCTTTCACGCGAGTGAAAGACATTCGTCACATTGCGGCGCGAATTTAAGTACACAGCAAAGACACGATTTTTTTCCACGTCGAATTTTTTACGATTAAAAAATTATCACCGAATCGCAATCATCGGGAAACGCGGCAGCGTGGAAAACTCGCGGTAAAAAACGGAAGAAGCAAGAGAAAGAAATTCGACTTGAACGAAAGCTGCTCGCAGCTACCGAACTCGAAGAAGCACCCCCGACATGCGACTCAGCGATTATCGATCAGCGACTGTTAATCGGCACAATTATTTCCATTATCGCGGAGCAACGCGATAATGGAAATTCTGGACCGTAGGTGTAACTAACATTTGCAAAGTCGCTCGCAACGAATTTTGGTCTCTCGCGATCGTGAGCGCAGGTGATATTTCCCTGACGAAGTACAATTGTCATGTCACGTTCGTTCTCACTCGAGCGACTCGAAGTCACACATCTCATGTGCCGTTCCGATCGACTCACTCGAGAAACGAGGCGCCGTGCACGCCGGCGTTACAAAAATATCGCAGTTTACAGAAACTTACAAGAGAAAATGGTATACGTTAAGAAAATATCGCGTCTTCGGAGATTGCGCAACATATACGAACGGACAAACACGAACGAACAAACACATTCTCAAGACACACACATGTGTTTTGTCATCTTTCTTTCTTCTCTTCTCGATGATACACACAATTGTTCCGATCGAACAACACGATTGCAAACACCAAACACGGGAGAAACGTAACGTCGGGAGATTCTCGAGAGTTCTCGAGAGAAACGTGTCGTTACCTTACATGTTTCTTTGTTTTTTCTTGTTCGTCGATAAATTAAATTAGCGCTATCGGGACATGGCGTATAGTACTAGTCATCATCACACGTAATATTGACTATTGATTTTACAATTATTACCTCTCGTGTTAAATATTTCATTTTTTTTTTTTTTTTTCGGCTATTACTTATGTAGAAACGATATCTCGCTACAATGTTCCGAGTGTGTAATGAAGTCGCTTCGATGAGCGGGCTATCGTCGTATGTATATGTGTGTGTATCACTGAAAGACCTGAGGAAACGCAACAACAGAAATCGGCGCAACGCAGCGATCTGAACGTCAACGGCGTTGTACAATTGATTATCTAGACAGAAGAGAGAACATATTTCGGGCGATGTTAGCGTGATGTGAAAGAAGCAACAAGTACAATGACACCTTTACAACGCAACAAATTCACAATGACGGGCGACGATCGCGACGTACGAAATCGGAAGGATCACATCGAAGATCACGTCGGGAGACGCGCTGAGTATCACAACGCGAGCAACACAGCGGAGGCATGCGAGCGACATGACGATGATCTTGCAAAACGATCTCGCGGATCTCCGCGAGAAGTGTAGAAAAACAAAAGGGGGACAATGGGGGAGGGGGGAATTAAACGCGTTTGAACACGTGTACACAAAAAGTCCACAAAAGTCGAGCGCGAGCGCGAAGCTACACAGGTGGATGGAATAATACTCAAATAAAATACTGCCAAAATGTAAAAACCAAGTAAAATGTATTCTATGGGCAACATCGTAATAATCATATATCATTATGCTGATACACTGAAATATAACCACAATGTGTACGTGTGTCTTACAATGTCGTATGTATGTATGTATGTATGTGTGATGTACATAGAGCGTTATCAAATAATCATTATTTATCGCTAACTCCGACGAGATGATTATACTGACCGATAATAGGCAATATGGTAGTAATGGTCATACAGATCGGTAATAATAACGTATAACAATAATCGGGTATGTCGAGCACCAAAAAGGCATATACGTACAAACGTAGAGGAGGAGCTTTTTTTTCTTACGTCTTCTTCTTCTCCCTCTTTTTTTTATTTTTCGTTTTTCTTTTCCTTAATTCCGGGTATCATTCCGCGCGCTCTTTTCTCGCGGGACGCGAAGAAGAACCAAGTGTTCGTGTACTCAAGTGGTGTACTCGTGTGGGCGTTGAATGTGCATAAAAGAGAGGATAAAATATGTCTTTAAAGATTTCCAGCGCATAAAATTTCTCAATGGCTTCGTAATCTTATGTAACAAACTTGGCAAACATTATAATTATTATTACAAACATAAACCGAGTCTTTGTCTTCAACATTGTAAGTATTTCTTTCTCAAATATTCTCTATTATACTTAAAACGTAAAATCGGTATACCCTTAATTAGTCAGTTATGATGGCACTATATGAATTACTTTCCTTTATTCTCGCGATTATCAGCTAAACGTAACGCACGACTATAATATTGTATTGTTATTTATATATATATATGTATATATATATATATATATACTATATAATTATTAATTTTTATACATATATATCCACATATATGCATACGTCCAGTCGTGTATGCACGATGCAATCTCCCGTTTTCCTTCCCTTCCTCGTATATATGCATGTGTGAGTCTGCGTGCATGTGTGCGCGTTTTGTGTGTGTGTGTGTGTGTGTGTGTGTGTGTGTGTGTGTGTGTGTGTGTGTATACATGTAAATATATATGTGTTACGTACAGTTCTATTTAAAATTTATATATTGTACAATGTAACGATACCGCGACAAAATTAATTATAACAGTACGATACGCAATTCGAGAGGAATTGTTAAACAACCTCCGTTAAACTGTATTATACAAATATACGTATATAACTATATAATAATGTTTAAAGTATGTTCCCCTGGTCATACTTCTGTTTACAAAGTGCATTTCAAAACTAAGCGAGAAAATTAATACGATTAACTATATGTTAAAAAATATATATGAAGGTTTCTATAACTTTTGGTGTGACTGTGTACGTATCAAACAGGTTATACCATTTTTCGTAGTTTCAAAATGCACAGATACAGTTACTAACAGTAAAATTGCGATATTGTTACGATGTTTAAAAATGTGATGCTACTTGGCTTTACAGATATGTCCAGTACTTAAATCTGTATTTAAACTTAATTGTATATATATATATATATATATATTTATATATATATTTATATATGTGTACATATATATATATATATATATATATATATATATTTATTTGTGGTGACAACAGTTGTGGCTAGTACATATACATTGTATTTTATTTTACTACATTGTTACAGTGACCTGGTACTTGTGCCGTGCAATTGCAATTCGATTATTTGCGAACATTGCCTAAAGCCTTATGATGGCCCTTTTCCAAACAATCTTACTTATATTTGCAATATAAAACGTCTAACCATCCGTAGACCTCATTTATCTTATGTGTATGGCTCTTCTAACGGTGGTCCATTTCGTTCACAGCGTTCCAACAATTTCAATAGTCTCTGAGTTTTTAACTACAATAATTATCATTACTTTTACATATTGAATATCTGTCGAAATCTTGAGGCACAACTACATGATCATGTGACACACGCGCGGCGCGCAACTGAAGAGAGTATTAAAAACGTAAAACGTAAGCGAACATCCGTGTTTAGTCGCCTGAGGTAACGTGTCGCACTAATCGGCGCGATTTCATACAAACGAACAACAAACGTTTCGAGCTATTCGAATAAGAAGAAAAAGAGAACATAAAAGATCTCACGCGACAGAACGTAGTCTCGGTCTCACTGGTACTTGAGAAATTCCTACGAAATCGACGACGCATCTCTCTATCACCGTTCAAATGACCATGAGACAGCGACGACAAATCCGTTTCAGGTCAAGCAGTGCAGATCGCAGGATATAAACTTCATTATATTCTGCGACATCGATATAACAATGTATCTTCATCTTTATCATTAGTTGTGCCAATCAAGACGAATACATCTTTTTTTTTTTTATTACATCAACTTATTTCTCTCACAGATATAACTTACACGTACTTCATATTAAAAATATACATTGAAGTGTACGTACATGTACATGTACTTAACGTACATTTAACAAATTGCCTATTCTTATGGGTTTCCGCTATGCATTATTATACTGTATGTTACGGTAAAATAGATCGGATAGAGCACATATAAACTTTGCATATAAAGCACTGCTCATGCTTTTTCATCACATCACATTTGCGTGACTGCTGTAGAAGTGTGTTTGAGATGTCGGAACACTTAGAATGACCTTAGATGGACTATTATGCAGAAAGAGCATGTTTAGTTTCGGTATCACAACAGGGCATTTTCAAAAAAAGAATCAACAAGTGTTCACAGGGCTTGTAACATGTAATATATGATTAAATTTAAATTATATATCCTGTGAGATAAGCACCAAGGAAATTTAAATATTATAAATATAATATATGCCGATGAGAGAGAGAGAGAGAGAGAAAGATAGAAAGAGAGTGAGAGAGAGATAGAGAGAGAGAGATATTACACTGCCTTCTACTTCATGTCCGAAGTTTATGTAAACGTCGCAAAGAAAAATATATAATACTCTCCCCTCGAAACAATGTGAAATCGCTTTGTATTTCACTCGCGTTCATTCTTCAACACAGCAATCGAATGCGTTTAAAACGTAATAATACAAGACCTCACAATATAAACCGTTTGCAAGCATTCATCGCGAGCCGGGTATATATAATGATTTCTCATTTTCTTCTTTTTTTTTCTCGTGATATATTAATAAAATATCAATTAAATATAATAAATTTTGCGTCAATAGGAAAAGTTTAATAACTAGTGGAGACATATATATCTTTAATACATTAAATTTTACTTCATTATGAAAAATAACAATTTCTTTATATGTTTTTCTTTGATAAAAAAGTGTGTTGGCTAAGAGATTGCACTTCGTGATCATCTTAAAAATTCATGATTAAAATTAGTGACTATACGCATTACCCCTTTCGTATCTCGCATACCGATTGTTCTCGTACAGTCATATGAAACGTCTCTACTATGCGTCAATAAAGAAACTGAATGTCGAGGGTTTCACCTCACCGTACAATCTTCGGTTACATTTATAATAGAGGTTGCCTTCCCATGCTACTTATCAAAAAGTCACATTATAAAGCTTACAACATCATATATCGTTTCTTGTATATATATAATATATATATATTTATATATATATATAATATATATATAATATATATACATATATATATATATATATATATATGTATCGCTTAATCAAATTATTATTTCCAAGACTTTATTAACAAATTGTACTGCATATACGATTTGGGAAAGCATCCTAACAGGAGGGCCACAAATGGTGCCAGGCACTATTCAATCATATACCTGCGTATTCTCCATTAGTACGTTAATTACAATAATTTATCAAATACAACGCTTGAGAGCGATTTTCACCAGGACATATCCTGAGATTGTAAAACATACATTGAAACCATCTTGACACATTTTCACCTCGCTGATTTCAGGAAGAAGGTTATTCTACATCGTACAATTGCAACCCTGTTTTGCCAAGTATCTTTGTTTTCTTTTTAATTTATACAATTTACACAAACTGTTGCCCGGAAACAATCTTCGCGTCTCTGATCTATCGGAAAGATATATGTATATTCTTCCTCTCTCTTTTACAATAATCTCTTATATATCACAGAACGAACCTCTGCGACGAAGGATTTTCTTAAATTTCTTTTTTGCTTTCTATACGTAGCCACAATTTCTGAAAGTTTTCTTATTGTTGCGTTAAAAAAGGCTACTAGTTGTGCAAAACTGTTTGTGATTGGCAGATCGCAAGGCGTGAAGAAGTACGTTTAAATGTAATTTTGGTTTCATCGAAAGTTTACGATTAAAAGTTATTAATATTAATATCACTCTCGACCCTCCACTTATGATAAAAATTTCGTTTAATCACAATTTTTCTTTAGTATACGGCATCGGTATACGACCGGTGGTCATATAAACTCTCGTTACATGTTTCTTGTTTTAGGCTTCAAGGGTTGCAAAGTTTTCGAGCTTTCTTCCTCCGCAATTTTTCTCATTATCAAATGTGCAAAATACTTGTGGAAAATGTATATAACGTGTATATATATATATGTATATATATCTATATGCGCGTCCGTGTGTATATCTTTTTTTTTTTATTAATCAACACTATATAATATGTCTATCTATCTCATATTACCTTTATAACTCAATATATTAATTTCGAATCTTGTTCTATAGAATATCATGATTATTTTGAGTACAGCAGCCGATTTCCGCGTGTCTGTTGGATATAGACCGTTAATAGACTCACTATAGTTGTAAAGTTGATTGGTTAGTCTGACAATATAAAAATACTAAAATGTGAAATTTTATCAATAGAAATTTTGCGTTCGAATATACAGTACAGAGAACAGGAGGGAGACAGAATGGAGCGAGAGGAAGGATGCAATTAACAAAAGAAAAGAAAAAGTTAGTTAGCATTTTTATCAATCGGATTGGTCATCTAAAGACAAAACACTATTGTTTTCCAACAAAATATGTTCTCGCATAGCGTGATGGCAATGTTTTCGGGTAAAGTATATACTTTTAGCGTGAGGTCATATTAACGGATTATGGCATACCTGACTACTATACCATACAAAACAACAACGAATTGCGGTGGTAAGTTCTGGTCTTTATGAGTCTGAAGCCTACAGCTGACGTACAATTCGCGACATAATCCAAAACAGAATTCCGTCATTCGTGGAAAAAACATTCAATGTTTCCTTCTGTATCGTACAACGCATAAAATCACAGACAGGATTGTGTCCCGGCTTCTGTCGTGAATTGCGGATCGTCTAAGAAGTGGGCGTTATACCGTGTGTGTGTGTGTGTGTGTGTGTGTGCGCGTGTGTGTGCGTACGTGTGTGTGTGTGTGTGTGTGTGTGTGTGTGCTGATTTCTTCACAAGCTCTTTAGACTTGGTATTAGTACACTTTCAGAAATTTCACAATTGGGTACTGCGTTATTCTCTAACATACTATTTTCTTTCGCATGAATTTTTTCCAAGCATCAAGGACACAATGCCATATCGCGAAAGTTATTACGAATTTATGACATATATACAAACAACACTTCATATTTTATATACATGAAAATATATATATATATATGTATCTATATCATATATATATAATATATATATATATAAAGTTTCAACATTATGGCACCGTATTTTTTTTTTTCTTCAAATAAATGTATATTCTGTGTCAGCTTCAAAATATAAACAGATTTTCTCCTACTCCGCTAGCCACGGCGGCGAAGAACAGACATGGGGCCGCCGCACAGCTGAACGTTTTCCATCGTGGTACGAAGTACGAGATACGTGTGTCTCAAAGACGTTAAAATGAGTTTGTTTTAACATACTGGAACTCACACAAGCACTATGCGCCGTTGTACGTCGAGGTATGAAACAACTGAGTGCAACAATTCAATCGACATTAAGTCGCCCAACCCTCCGTGATCCTCGAGCGCTTCATGAGCGGCCCGTTCTCATAGTCTGAACTGTTCCCTCCGTTACCGCCACCGCTAGAATGGTTCGTTCTAATATCACCGACCGCACCACTTCCCGGCGACGGTAGATTTGTCGGCGTTATGCTTCCCGAGTGGGACGGAGGTGGATTGCTGCTCGGTCTGCTTGATACTAAGTTCAGTGTCTGAGGACCCGGATGGGATACGTGATGCGGCGGCGGAGCACCGGTGCTGGATGAAGGACCAACGTTCAGGTTCGTGTGGTGTAAATTGCTAGCATTGCTGGGTCCCCCGTTGGACCCACTGTTACCGCCGTGTGGATCCCTGGGTGGACTTATCGGTTCACTCTTTATTTTTACAGGTAAAGGCGACGTAGACGGTGGTGGTGTACTGCTTGATACAGCTAGATGAGGAAGACCGCTGTAATATCGGAAAAAGTTTCATCACGTTAAGCAGGAGAGATTCGTTATGATCAATTCAAGATCTTTAGAAAAAGAGACAGGAGAAAGAAAAAAGAAAACGAAGACATGTATGATTGTTGTTTCTTTTTTGTTTTTTTAGTGTAATGATCTATAGTAGTCTAGAGAGCAAGCAGAGTGTCGTTAATCTTTTCCCAATTTTGCGCGTCCCCAGTGCGGTGTCTACCGAGATGATAACAGGCGTGCGATCGTGCATCAGAGCCTAAATGAAAGTTAATCAACTTATGAAGTGACTCGTGAGAGAATGTACTCTTTCGAGAATAATGTCTCGTCGCAGCAGCACGACAATGCGGCTTGAGCCACACGTGTATAACGCATCCGCAGATGAACGCGAAACGTATCAAACACTGTAAACAATGTAATGAACATGCCAAACACTATTGTAACCGAAAAAAAACTATAGAACTCCAGTGGTCGATAGTATCATTGTTGTATTCAAAGACGTGATAGCGTCCCCGTCAAAGTACATGACGCATGTAGAGAATTTCGAGAAAGAGAAAGAAAAAGAGACGATCTCGAGGCAGACCGGAGGGAAACGAAGCAAAGTGAAACGATGTTGCGATGTACAAGTACAAGAGCAACATCGATTCTCCGCATGAGATTAGAGATCAATTGGAGATTAAGGGACTTCACATCTGTCACGATACACGAATGGAACTGACGGACAATTCTGTAAAGACCATGTGGAATTTTATCGCGTATGCGTAGCCGACGTTCGGAATCGATTCGCGCAATGATGAGAGAGATAGAAAGAGAACGAGAGGGAAAGAGAGAGAAAGAGACATCGTGGGTAAGCACGAGTAAAGTAATTGAAAGTATGTCATACCAACTGGACATATAGCTTTCTTTCACAACAATAATTATGAAATATGATTTACCTGATGCTGGACATGGTGGCTGCCGAATACATTGATAAGTCATCAACGTACCTCTGATGAGACCATGCAAGGTTCCCGAGATCCGAGGAGTAATCTGTTGGTCCGAAACTAGAGTATCCAGCTGGTACTGTTGGTGTTTGTAACGCAACTACCGGTGTGTTCAACGCGGACTGTGTATGGGCATTCTGCAAGTAGATAAAACACGATTCCGCATAAATTTCACACGTATATCTCTGCGTTGAGACGCACAGTACTGCGTGTTTCATCATTTTGTTTACAACTAACTTTTAGACGGAGAGGAGTGAAACACATCGCTAATAGACCGTGTGTTTCACGGAACTCTCTGTACCAATCTCACTTCACATCATACACTTTAGAATTCACAATTGATGTGATATTCCAAAACATATAGCAGATACAAAAAATGTGGCACCGGTCGCGATGTGAAAGAGGAGATACCACGACACGCGAGAATCCTTCGTTCAATTCGACAGAGCTCAATCGAGACGGCTACGATAATTACATCATAATTAGTGTCTTCGGAGAGAGGTTGGGCGAGCGGCGTCGGTATGACCACTCGAAGATTAGCCCTGTGAGGATGAGGCGGCGGTGGTGGCGGTGGAGGTTGCGGCGAATGCCTAGATGGATTGCTGCCCTTGTTCGCACTACCCCCGCCGACTCCGAGAGCGGGCGACGGTCCGGGACTAGGCGATCCACCCAACGGTGACGCTGACTGAGGATAACCGTTGCTCATCTCCAGCATTCCTCCCGGAGGATACACTGCAATGAGAGATCGTAGTGTTGAACATGTCTTATCCTTCCTTCCTCTTGAGAATCCACAATCCGATGATCTGTCGCTCGGATTCTCCGTGACTTTTACTCGAAGCTCACCTGAATCCGTTTCAGACGATGATGGACGCGGAGAAATGCTGGTATGTGCCATCTGCGGACTAGATCCAAGAAGAGATTCGCCATAACTGTTGACTGGTACGGATACTGGTAGCGTGTAATTCGATTGTCCCATTGTCTGCAATCACACAGAACCGACACGATGCTGATTAGTAATAGGCATGGTGAGCCGATGATGGTAGAACATGCAACCGCGCGGCGAGCGATCCATGGCAAATCTCGAATTTGCCGATATAGCAAACGGAATGCAAACGTTCTTTATTTAATTTTGTTTATACAGAGAGAGAGAGAGAGAGAGAAACAAGCGGAACACTTGTGTGAGAACAGTTGTAGGCTAACTAACCGCGGCAAGAGTAGTCTTTAACACGCGGTGTAATTAGGTTACTTATATTTTACACAAACATACACATACACCAACATACATGTTGGTTTCTGAACATTGATATAAAACAGCTGTCCACAGTGACAGACTGGTGGATTTGACGCCTTCGCGATTCTTTAAGTAATCAATAAATAATAAATCAATAATACATCGTGTACCTGTGGTTCTATCCTAATAACCCAATTACGCAGCGTGTTTACGTGTGTGTAATTCCGCCGGCTAACGTATACACGTTTGTATCGCCAGCTGTTGAATAAAACATCGGAACGCAAGCGCGATTTTTTCGTGCGATCGGATTCGGATTTTTCTTGGTTTCTTTCATTGTTGGTATTATTAGTACAATATTCCCGTGCGCTCTTTAGTGCGCGCATTGTGCGCGTATAATGTAATATCCGAAGGTAATGAAGTATTTGACAATCTCAAGTGGAACACCTGCCGCGAGAACACTTTCCACGATGGAAAAGAAAACCTTGCATAATCTTTTTTTTCTCCTGCTCCGCAGAAAAAGTAAGACACAGAAATAATCACGGTCCGTCCTCGGAGAAATTGATCTGCGCTTTAAATATGGCAGATCGTACAGCGATACTTTAAATAGCGCATAAAATATGTCCGCGTGTCAGTCATATTTGCGCACAATTAAATCCAAGATGTTAACCCGCTCGGGGCGATCTTTTATAGGAGGAACTGAAAAAAGTCCCGAGAGATGCCTGTATATTTTAGTACCTTATATATTTTAGTATCGGGATATTTTAGTGACGGACGTTTCGAGGATCCTCATGCCTCGGCGATATTGTTACGCAAATGGAATTAAGTACTTTTCATCTTCCTCAACGATCTAAAAAGAAAAGGAAAGACCCGAGACCGAAGATCGCCCGACTCTCAAGGTAATTGTTATGAAACGACGTTTGATCATATTTAAGGTTGTATTTGGTAAAAATTGCAAATATCGTAACTTTTACGCAAATATCGAGGCTCGATTGGCCTGCGTGACGCACGCTGCCGCGTGCGAATGACATTTAACTAAATATATTTACCCTGCTGCCGTTGTGCTGGTGCCTCTGCATCATCATCTGAAACTCTTCGTCGATCTTCGTGTATTTGGCTTCGGTGCGCGGGGTAAGATTGTATTCGATCGCATCGGGTTCCGGACTCTCCGGAGACATGGCACCCTTATGTTCCTTCTTGTTAAGCGCCTGCAAGTGTCAGCAGACAGGTTCACGTGACCACACCGCCCGAGGGCACTCAACCTTCACATGCACATTAATTTAACCACACCAAGACGCGCGCTCGCTCGCTTATTCTACTCGGTTTACTCGCGCAATTACGTCTCCGCGGCGACAGAGAGAGAGAGAGAGAGAGAGAGAAAGAGAGAGAGAGAGAGAGAAAGAGAGAGAGAGAGAGAGAGAGAGAGAGAGAGAGAGAACGGGGAGATCACCATCAGAATGAGACTGTATATCCGACTGCAAATGCGATGCGAAAGACGTAACTTGAAGACGCGTCGGCAATCGCTGGAGGAATCTACGAAAAAGCGAAATCTCAACGGCCGAAGAGAGTCATCAGCGAGCAGAGGACAAGCGTCGAGTAAGAAGAAAGCGCTTCGATCGCTCGTGATCGCTCTCAGGTGAGGCGCGCGGAGCTGACGTAATTCGCGCGCGCGCGTGAAGTAAACGTTCCTCGAGCTACACGTAATTTTTAACGTGGGCGATTCTCTTCCGGAAAGGTCTCTCCTCCACCGACAACTTGAGAAGCGGTTCGTCGCTTCATTACGAGGCTCAACAAATTCAAAGTCCGTTCAGGTAGAAACCGCTTGCGTCTAAATGAGGACCTTGTCGTCTATGCGCGACACTTAATTCGCCAGATGCCTTTAATTCGCAACAGCGTATAACTAAGCAATAAGACCCACTGAATCATTCGCGCGATGTTGAATGAGCAGCGATCTCATAATAATCGCTCCGAGTGCGGCTTGTGTCGCGACTCGCTGCACGCTCTCTTTCAGTACACCCTGTATATGTATATTCGACAGCGCCGTATGCTCGACCTTGGAGCATCAGTGATCACAAGTGTGCGATATGTGTGTTTTTTTCATTGATATTTTCCAGAGAAAGAGAACGTTCGCGAAGAGATCAATACCAGCAGCCGATTGTCACGAATTGAACGCGACGACAAGATCCTCGTCGAGAGAGAGAGAGAGAGAGAGAGAGAGAGAGAGAGAGAGAGAGAGAGAGAGAGAGAGAGAGAGAGAGAGAGAGAGAAAGAGGGGAAGAGAGAGAGAGAGAGAGAGAGAGAGAGAGAGAGAGAGAGAGAGAGAGAGAGAGAGAGAAAGAGAGAGAGAGAGAGGAGGAAAAGAGAGAAATAAGAGAGACGAGGAGGACCGGTGGTGATCGTGTTGGTGTTGGTGGCGCATATCGCATCCTCGTCCCGTCCTGAGAATCCGCGGCGGATAAATGGACTCACCTCGATGATATTCTTGTTGGTGAGGGACTCGTGGGGTTCGTTGTACTCGGTGTACTTGAGGAGAACCTTGTCCATGTCGGTGCTCGCATACTGGTACAGCTTGTTGCTCGAACTAAAGATAATCAGCGCAATCTCGCAGTCGCACAGCACCGACAATTCGTAAGCCTTCTTCATCACGCCGAATTTCCTCTTGTTAAAGGTCACCTGTGTCAGAGAGAGAGAGAAAGAGAGGGTGATATATCGAAGGTGAGCCTCGGAGAGCGAGATTTCAAGGTGTGCACACGCAGATCGGCAAGGAAACATTAACGGCGAAGCGGTTATTGTTTGCGAATACGTCATTCGCGACAACTGATCGCTCTCGCCGATTTAATTAATTGATAATCGATTATGTGTACCATAAGATGATATCAATAATTAATTAACGGAGCTGCCCTTCTCAATGCGGCTGCTGCCTCCGTGCGTGTACATTCTGTCCCTTTTCCTTTTTCGAAGACGCGAACGCGTTGTTTTATTATTCTAATTTGAAGCCACGAAAAAGTTTGAATGACGAAGTATGCATGTGGCCGAAACGCGAGCTCGAGCGTATGTGCATGTATTCTTCCAATCTTGAATATTTATTAAAACATCCGGAATATTTAAATTTTTATCTGACATAATCCTTGGACTCTTGACCTTTCTTATGGAAAAGAAAAAAGCCAGGAAACGCTTAAGATTTTATGACATTGTGGCCTTCCACGTTGTTGAATATGAGTCATGTATTAATTGCAATTGGCAGTAAGAAATTATGTAAGCGAGCGACATCGGTGATGATTGTCGCCGATGTCGGAATTATCGCTCCTAATTTTACCTGACGGTTCCGTTCGTCCGTGATACGTGAAATCTGTATCTTCTTCCGACCCATTGTTGCACCACGTTTTGGATAAGAGACAAGTCTTCAAAATCACTGGATGGAATATTAAGAACACTGCAACAGAGAAACGAGACACGCGCAATGATTATTCGCTGAATCGTTAAAATCATATCGCAGCATTATTAATCGCAGTTTATTGTAAAAAAGAGATATTCCCTTTCCCGTTGTCGCCAGCTGTGAAATAAAAAAAAATCGGAATATTTGATCGAAAGCGGTAAGCGAACAGGATTTGCCCACACGTGCTTCATTAAAATTAAAAAAAAAAAAAAAAAAAAAAAACCCCTTTCTAAAAAAGGCATGTGATCAAATGTATTGAATTTGTATCGAAATGTTGAAGCCTCTTTTCTGCGATGCTGATTGGTTGTCGCGTCGCGCCTTCACTACACATGCACTGTCGTGCATTTTGACAGTTCGTGGTTATTCGTGGTTGAGCTTCGCGAGATTTTGCAGCTTTTTCAGTTCTGAACTGCTTGACTTCAAAATTCATTTATTCGAACCGCAGTTATTTTTTATCATGCAAATGCTGTGTTCATTTTAATATAGTATAAAAGCTAGATAGAGCGCGCGCTTAGCGCGCGCCTGTAGTGTTCCAGTATAAATAACAAAAAAAAAAAAAAAACGCAATCGCCCAGTTCGAAAGCCGCTCCGAATTTTCAGAGACCCATTTCAGAAATCCATCTCCGGATCGGAGCTGCTCTTCTGCGCGCGAGAGCAGCCTTTTCTTCATTTTACGACGAGAGACACGGAATACCGCCGGGGCGACAGAGAGCCGCCGCGCGGTGCCGTCGCCTCGGATTTTCGAGCGGATTCCTACTGTTCTGAATTTAACGGGCGTTACGCACGGAAAAGCGCTCCCCTCTCGCTGCTATGGGAAACACGCGCGCGATAATAAACACGACGACGACAGTTGGCGCGGAGAACGACAGAACTGGACCGCGCTTTAAAACCTAATATTCAATGGAAACTCTCGTGCGCGTGTCACTTTCGCGTATCGATCCGTCGACGTGTGTGCGTACGAGCAAGTTTCGCAAAGCACCGTTGGCATGTGCTGCGGAGAGAGCATATGAGAGAGAGAGAGAGAGAGAGAGAGAGAGAGAGAGAGAGAGAGAGAGAGAGAGAGGAGAGAATCGTCCGTTCACAGGCCGGGGAACAAAGTGTCGAATCGTTTACCACTGCGAGATTGCGGCTTTCAAGCGGAATAATAAAAGGGAACGACGACGTGCGCGCGCGCCGACGTTGTTACGGCGGAGCGTGTTTTTCAATTGAATTGATAATTGAGCACCTCGGGGAGGCACGAGAGCTAATGTAATTGAATTTTTCGCCGAGTTCTGATAAACGTATCTGCACCGCTGGCGCGCATGCACGCGCGTGTGTTCTCTCTTCGAAGGGAGCGTACCGCAATTCTCTCGATGCAGGGTGATTTTCTCTTTGGAGAATATCGCGAGTATCGCTGGCGGTATCGCCGATAATTCCTGCACGCAACAACGATGAATAAATAGTGAAATAAATAAATTCGATGCGGCCGAAAGCAACGTGCAACTGACGTCACACGCGCATCGCGAGAAGATTCTCATGAAGAGTCTCGTAGAAATCGCAATAGGAAAATATTGCCATTATTCTTGCGGAAGACCGGGGTTTCTCTTACGAATTTTATTTATATGTATTTTTATATATATATATATATATATTGACGCAGTGACAGCAATAATTTCAACACGGGTCAATTCGCGGCGTGATCAGGAGCGATGTATGATTAGAGTTACACGCCGCAGAAAGATCTCTCGCAGAAGGCTCTCCGAAATTCGCCTCAACGTGGCGCGCGGCGTTCAGTCTGTCGCTCGCTTTTGAGAAAAAGGCGCGTGTTATCTCATTGTTGTCCGTCGCCACGGTATCTCGGGGTATCGATACGGGAACATTGTTTACCCTGACTGCCACGCGCGCGCGTCATCCGTCATCGCGCGGGGAATTGTGCGTTTCGACACCGGATGAATGTCAAGAGGTGGCGGGTGGTTGAGTATCATAAAATAATATATAACGTTAACGTATCGCGATATCAGCGCGAATACATTGATGGGTAAATAACATCGCGACACTCCTCGAGCGCTCTCGCCGGCTGAAGGTCGCGTGACCCCGAGAGGACAACCAACAACACAACACACACGTGCGTGCGAGAAACTGTCGAGCCGATCAAAACACTCGTGGACGCGACGGTAGGCGGATCGGCGGACGCGATCGCGCGTGATCGTAATTTTCGGCTTTTCCGGCTCGATCGGCGGACGACGACTTGCGAAACGCGTTGCTTCGCGAGTGTAGTGAGTGTAGTGATTTATCGACCAACAACGACGACTCCGCGTGGACTCTCTCGAGAAGGTGAGCAGCAGCACTTTTCGTCTTTTCTAATGTGAGAAAAATAGAGTCGCGAGAGAGCGTTTGTATCGCCCGATGCCCCGTGACGTTTGAAATACAATTAGCCGCCTTTTGTTCCAGATCTGACGGGCTTTGTGGCCAGAGCACGCGACTCCCGGAAGACGCAGTTTCGGTGGATGCGGGTGCGCCGTACCCGGAGGATCCGGTTCAGGCCGAGCGGGATCGGCTCGAAGGTGAGTCTCAAGAAAGAACTTCTCTCTCGCATCAAATTTAATCGCATCCAATGACTTTTACCCCATTTCTGTTGCTTATTTGCGATCGGAAGCTTGGGTGTGGTTGTCCAAGCGAAAATTATCGAGTTCCCAACGATCGCGGAGGACTGACGCGTTTCTATTTCCCTTATCGAGAATTTACTTGTCTCTTCGTTACATCTGATGACCCCTAATCGATGATGTTTCTTTTTTGTTCCAGAACTGTAGCAGAACGCGGCCGATCCTGACATCTCGGTAGTCGGTGAGTCGAAAAACAAGAGTTTTAGGTGTTGGGTTCTGTTGATGCTTGATAGTTGCGAAAACATCCACACGATTTATCGATGCTCGTAGTACTTTTATATACGCACTTAAATGCGCGAGAGGTAAATAATAATGATTCGCGTCCGACCGGCGTCCGATCGGTCGCCCTATTTGCCATCTTCGTCGGAACGAGGTGCATTATCGTCGATCTAACGGGGGAGATTTTTAATAACGACGTTAACCGCGCAAACATACACATTTATCCACTCCCGAATCCTGCACGGGCCCGTGAAATAGACTGCAAACTCGTCGAGCGATGAATTTTCATCCGAAACGCCCGCCGTTATCAGCATCGCAAAGCATTTCTAAAATCGCGGCTGCAACGTGTACGCGAACAATAATCGACGGGCGGCCGTGTGGGACGGGGGGGGGGACGTGATATTACCGTAATACACTATAAATACGAGACTATTACGGTACGGCGTAGAATTAGCCGCGAGTGCACCGCGAGAGACCGAATTAAACGTTTCGGGCCCGCAAATAAATCGTGTCGGCGTGAAGAGGTAGGGGAACTAATTTAAGCCGGTGGGTGTTTTTACGGGCGAGAAATAAGCTCTGGGTCAACGAATTAGCATCTCTCGCGCGCGCGCGCGCGCGAGTATGAGCTTCGCGTTGAAAGCGCGCTTCGCTGCTCTTCCGCTCTTTCGCTCGCGCGAGAGCGCGATTCGCCGGGAGCGCTCCGATTTTTCATCAGGCGCGAGCAGCGCTTTTATTAGCTGCTCGTGGTATCGCGGAAGGACGATAATATATCCGACAGCCGCGAACGAACGGAGGAATATAAATCGCAGGAAGGCAGGAAGGCTGCGCGTCGAGAGAAATAAATCGCTCGCGCGATTTCGGTGAGTAGCTTGTAAAACTTAACGGTTCCGTTAGTCGCGCTTGCCTTACTAACCCGCCGTAAAAATATTCCGAAGCGACGAGGGGGTTACCGCGATTTTTTCAATGAAACCGGGAATGTGACACGAGGAGAAGAATGTAGAGTGTCCTCTCGGGAAGAAAGGAAAAAAAGACGCGGGACGAGAACGCGTTGCTCTTCCGGTGAAGCTTGCTACTGAATTTTCATTAACGAGAACGTCGAGCGCTCTGATGACGACTTTGCCAATTTCGCAATATCAGATAGCTTGAAAATGAAGGATCAAATGGAGATCCGAATGCAGTGACATTTTCCTCGAATCGCGAGCAAACAGCCGCGCAAACGCTTTGTTATTCGCCCACGCCTGCGAAGCTTGATCGCCTCTTTTCATTCGACTTCATTTCAGAAATCTATATATAATCCCGGCATTTCCGCTAATTGCGCTCAGTTGCTAAGCGACAACGAAAATCGCGGAACGTAACGCTGTCACACCCTCTTCGCGCTTTCCTTTCACCCGCAACATCGTCTCCTTTCCCTAAACGCGTCGAGTAATATTCACCCTCCGTTCTCACGCCGCGGCAATTCCTCTCACCCCAACTGAAATTTGGAAAATACGGGCAATATCTCAAACACACACACCGGTATCGTGCTTCCTTAATCGACACTGGAGACTGGAGCGTGTGTCTCGCGCGGCGGCGATGTCGAATTCAAAAGGCCTTATCTCCGCTGCTGCGCAAGCGATAGCGACGCGTGAGAAATGATCTAACGAGGAGGAAGAGAGGAGAGGAGAGGAGATGTTTGGTGTAACTCGCGAGGCAGCGGTGACGCGAAAACTCCTTACGCTAATCGCGCACGATGATTCATCCCGTACGATTCAAATCGCGGCAAGTGCGCGAGGATGAGCGTAGCGCGAAATGTAACAACGTCGCGTCTGCAATTTGATTATCGATGATTGACGCGACAAACGACGATAATCGTCGTTCACTGACCTTTGTCGCTTTCGCGCACAGCTGTCACGTGGCGAGGAGCCACGCACGCACGCACGCACGCATGCATGCACGCACGGTATTCTCTTGCATTTTTCGAGAAGGAGAGGGAGAGGCGCTCAAAGAGAGAGAGAGAGAGAGAGAGAGAGAGAGAGAGAGAGAGAGATCGGTCAAAACACCGTTTAATACAATTTCGATCGAGCGCGCGCGGTTCGAAAATGTCGGGATCAATAATCGCGTCTTAAAAATGAAAATAGGTCAGACGGAGACTCGCGC